AAAAAAAAAAAAAAAATTCAGAATCAACTGCAAAATGCTCATATTTTGCCCCGAACAGTTGAAAACAGTCCTTTTCTTCCTAGCTGTTACAGTTATTCCATCTTTCAATGCAGTGGTATCATTAAAAGTTCAAAATTCATTGTTTGAAACAGCCTGGTGTGTTGACTTCATGGCTCCTATTGTACCATTTTGGGCCATAATAGGATGCCTATGCCTGTTTTTATTTTTATTTTTTTTTCGCCCGCCCGCTCCGTTATTTTTCTAGAAAAATCTGTTAACCAAGAAATAAAATTGGTGTGGCCTGATCTAAAAATAAAAAAGACAACTACATGTACATGTACTCTTATCTAACATCAACCAACTCAAACATTACAGAAAAAGAGATCTTTCGCCTTCCATTGTTTCAGAAAAGTCAAACCCACCTGACAATGACAAAGGCTCCTCGGTTGACCTTGGCCCATGAGGCCATCGCACCAGGCTCAAGGTGAGACAGCAGTGCAGGAGCAAAGAACCCTGGGAGGAAACATACACATTTTAGCATGTGGAAATAACTATGGAAACACAAGCAAACACACAGACACACCAAAAAACAGTTACTCAAGCAACTGGATATGATTTTGGTCAGACATTTCAGGTAGCATCCACTACCTTTTGTCAGTGACACTGGAGAATTTTCAGAAAAACAGGTATATAAGCACAAACTATTGAGAGACACACAGACACACTGAAAATAAAACCCGTGTACATGGATGTGCCACACTAATTTAATTTGTTGGTTCTCGGATTTTTTCAGAAAAAAATGAAGCGACAGGGCGGAAAAAAAATAAAAACAGGGCTAGGCATCCTATTTTAGCCCCAAATGCTTCGATAGGAGCCATGAAGTCAACACAAAAGGCTGCGTTAAAGTTTAAACAATGAATTATGAACTTCCAATCAAACCACTGCATTGATAGATGGAAAAACTGTACCAACTAGGAAGAAAAGTACTTTCCTCAACTGTTGGGGTCAAAATATGAGCATTTTTGAGTTGATTCAAAACCAGAATCTTTCTTTTTTTTTGCAAATGAAAAAAATGAAGAGGCGGATCCGAGAACCAACAAATTAAAATGGTGAAGCCTAACAATTGACACACCTTCAGTTTGGCCTGCTTCCCTCTGAGTTTTGTCCCAAGTCAATAGTCTCTTCAGGAACAGGTGGCCAGCTGGGTGCTCCACAAGGTGCATCTGGAGAAACCATCAGGGGCACTGGTTACTGTAAATCACTTTATATGAATGAATGAGTGAGTGAGTGAGTGAGTGAGTGAGTGAGTGAGTGAGTGAGTGAGTGAGTGAGTGAGTGAGTGAGTGAGTGAGTGAGTGAGTGAGTGAGTGAGTGAGTGAGTGAATAAATGAAGGTATGAATTTTTATTAACGTGTCTTGTGACTTTTGTCGCCCAGCCCATATGGGCTTATAAGACACCTAAACATAAATATGAACATAAACATAGGTACAGAAATCATATAAACATAAATCCAAGTCCAAGTCAAAAGGAAACATCAAATGAAATTAAAGAACTTAATACAAAATTGAACATAACACAATCGGTACATAAGTGTCAAAAGTGTCAACTCAAATTGTCAAGAGTACATAAATGCAACTCAGAAGAACATAAAGTAAAATGAACTAAGATATGTGAACTACATTTGTAATCCGGGAAAGAGGAAACAAAAGGAGAAATTTATGACTAAATTATATTTGCGGTAGCAAAAAAAATTGACATGCTTGTGGAACTATATGTTTACGGTGTCAGCAGGTGCAGAAGAAAGAAAGCCTTCAAATCATTTGTTCGCAGTATTGATAAATTTGTGGTACAGAAGTGATAGCGAAATCGCGAATATATAAGAACTGTGAATACAAAGCGATTTACAGTATCACTGAGTACATTCTGTTCACATACTGGCAAATCATGTTTCTGACATCAATGAATGTACAAAACATGTACATCTATCTTAGGCCACATCAATTTAATTTCTTGGTTAACGGATTTGCCCGCTTCATTATTTTAATGATTTGCAAATAAAAATAAAAATTCAGAATCAACTGCAAAATGCTCATATTTTGCCCTAAACAGTTGAAAACAGTCCTTTTCATCCTAGTTGTTACAGTTATTCCATCTTTCAATGCAATGTTATCATTAAAACTTCAAAATTCATTGTTTACATTTTGAATCAGCCTGGTGTGTTGACTTCATTGCTCCTATCATAATAGGATGCCTAGGCCTGTTATTTTTTTTTTTTTCGCCTGCCCGCTCCATTATTTTTCTAGAAAAATCCGTTAACCAAGACATTAAATTGGTGTGGCCTTATATGTAGTAGAATGGTTTATTTCAATTTGAAACTCAAGACATACACAATTCGCACTGACGACAGACTCCCAGGCAACCATACTGGATGCCTGAATTGCTCTGTGGTCACACAAAATATCATTAAAATATGGGTATTATTGTTAAACATTATTGCATATTATTACATATTGTTAAAATATGTAAGATCAACTTATATCAAGTTTTCTCAAGTCTTACCCTACAAAACCTACAAAAGGAGATCCTTCTTATATGTAGTACATTGTTGAAAGTATTACAGAAGAATGAGTCAAGTGTTCTCTGTTGTGTACCTCACTTTCCTCCCCGTCTCTTCCTTGTGGCATGAAGTCCTCAGCTGCTAACAAGGACAAGGCCTCATAGGCTGCAGTCTTATCACCTGATGAAATGATAAAACATACCATATAATACATGTATTACTGACTATCTGCTAGTTTTGAGCTTGGCTTTAGCTTAAGTCCACAGACACCCTAAGGTCATGTTGATTTGATAATATGGATAACATCCTCTGGGAACCCCAAAACTGATGCACGAGTGTGAATAAAAAAAAGTTTTGCAAAAAAAAAGTTGCTTTCATAATGAAATCTACGTGGTCAGGAAGGTTGAAAAAATGACACAGAATATGGTTTGGCGAATAACCTACAGTAACTCTTCAAATTCATTTCTTTACATTATCCTCGTTTTTTGTTTGATTTTGGCATTCTACGACATCGGTACTGTTTTGAAACATTCTTTTTGCAACTTACGGTATATATTTGCTCATTTTGCAACTGTTTTGTACGATTTACAGTATGGTTAAAAACTTTTTTTTTTGGAAATGGCCGAAAATTCATGCGCGCATGGATGTCATCAATCAAACCAAATTGGCCTAACTATAATCAATGATCAACTAAATATTAACATTATTAAAAAAACAATAAAATACAAATATATTAGATATTAACCTACTAACCATGTGCATATTCTAGGGTAGCTAGTGCCACTTGACTCTGTGCCTTGTCAAACACCAAGTCTTTGGTGTGTTGGGAGAAAAACTTCAACAGTGGAGCAGATACAAACTCTAACAACTCCTGTCTTCTCATGGCTGGGTCCTTCTTGCTGTACATAGACAAAGCAAATAATTACACTTAACAAATATGTCCAGTTAAGATTATGAATTGACAGTAAAAAAATATAAATTGTAATCTTTATATTTTATATTTCATATAAAATTTCATATAAATTTATACAAATATCATCTAGTTTTGTCAGAAAGACAATACGGTAACACTTGTGTCCATAATATCACCAGGGTCCATAATATCGCCACCTTGAGAAAAAGTGTGCTTTAAGATATTTTTACTGCAACATACTTTTGGTATTCACTCCTGCACACCTCAAATGTACATATCTAGGGTATGTTGCAGTAAAAATATCTTTAAGCACACTTTTTCTCAAGGTGGCGATATTATGGACACAGATGTTACTACTTTGAAACTGAAACTGGCTTGGAGGGACATGAACTTTTCTCAGTGATGTATGACAGACAGTTGTGGCGAACTAACTTTGTATGCTCCACCTCTACGGAGGATGAATGATGATGATGATGATGTTACTACTTTATTTAAATTCATTCCATGAAAAGAAAATATATTACAACACTGCACACTGCAATGTGGTAAATCTTAAGAAAATGGAACATTCACAAAATCTAAATCATAACTTTCAGTTTCATGCTGAAGTATGTCTATCTAGTGTTAGAAATACCCACCTACAGTCTGCATTTTGCAGACATTTACAATATTGCATTAGAAAAATTGGGCAGCCTCAATTTTGTAGTAAAAATCAGGCTAGGGGTTCAATGGTGTCAGCACAATATTTTAAAGAGCATTTGTGTTTACTGCTGACTCTGTAATATACATGTATTACTTTTGTGTGTATTTTTCAAACCGCATTTTAAACGTTTGTCAACATGCAATTTTGTGTATGCCATGGGTTTAGGTTTGAACTTATAATCGAGTATTTGCTGAATTATTTCTGAATTGCATAACAAAATTAAGATTGCAATATTGCAGAAGACTCAAAAAAGGATTTCTACTGCTCTCTGCTATCTGTACTGCTTCTGCTATAAAATCAACACTCCGTCTGTAGTTTCCAATGTCGGAAAAGATGTCTTCTGCAACAGGCAAAATTCTGATGAAACGTTGACCACAATGAAAACCTTGAAAAATCAGGGTTCTGTGCAGGCGCAGTACGTTCTGCCGATGTGCTATCTATTCCCACCTGGTCTCGTTACCATCTCCCTGCTGCAGTAGTTTGAGGATGTCTGGGTGGATGTGTCCGTGGTGCCGGCCACACAACAGGTACAGGAGAACCTTCCTGCCATGCTGGTCCTGGACAAGGTCAGCTACACTCTGCAGCAACTCCTGGGCAATGGAAACAGTACAATGCAAGGCCACACCAATTTAATTTCTTGGTTAATGGATTCGCCTGCTTCATTTTTTTCTGATTTGCAAAAAAAAATAAGAATCAACTGCAAATGCTCATATTTTGCCTTGAACAGTTGAAAATAGTCATTTTCTTCCTAGTTGTTACAGTTATTCCATCTTTCAATGCAGTGGTATCATTAAAAGTTCAAAATTCATTGTTCAAACTTTGAACCAGCCTGGTGTGTTGACTTCATGGCTCCTATCATATCATTTTGGGCCAAAATAGGGTACTTACATTATAGGCCTGTTTTTATTTTTTTTCGCCCACTCGCTCTATTATTTTTCTTTAAAAATTCATGTGGTGTGGCCTAAGTATAATAAAGCCCCATTCCACTCTGTGCAGAGCATAGGGGTGGTACCCATCTCCATTTCTGTAGCCCTTGGGCCACACAGTTGTGCAAGCACTACAGCAGGGGGCTAGCTCGCTGTTGTGTGTTTGACCTTCCCACACTCTTTCTCATAGATGATGAGTGCCAAGCAAAGCTAGCAGTATGAACCATTTTTAATGTCTTTGGTATGACCAGGCTGGGGTTTGAACTCACAACCTCCTGGTTAGAGAGCACTCTTTCCTATTGACCTATTGCACCGGTTACAATGTAAGTAAAGGTAAAGGTAATCCTATAGCCTTTTTCAGGCCATAAGGGCAGTGGGTTGTTGATCAACTGTTTTAGGGCACGGTATTGAAAGTCGGACCCCTTTCCTATCCTTCCACTGCCTTTTACCTCCCCAATTAAAGTCAGGTACCCATTATAAAGAACAGTGATATCACAGACTTTTATTAACACCCTAAAGCCTGAGTAACACAGTAGGAAAATAGCTTGTTTGAAGAGTCAGCAAGATCAAAAAAGGACATTTTTGTTGGACATATGGCCCATGTCTCCATCCAATGTAATTGTAGATTTTCAGTGAAATACATCCTTGATTCTCTGGTAATGTTGACAAGTGTTAGAAAAAAGTACACATACCTGCAAGATGGCCTTAGAGACTAACTTGGTGTCATCAACTACGTCAAACAGTGCCAACAGGGTGTGGTGGGCAAACTCTTCCTGTGGAGTTAAAAAAAAAGGACAACATTCAATTACCAAAAAAGGTGTTGCATCGATATCAAACAGTGGTGAAATAGCACACTCATGTCATTTTCATATGAACTGTGAATGTAAAATCCCTAATTTTGAAACGCAACGGTGGAAAAAATAGGGCGTCTTTGGGGCATCCTACAAAAAAGTAGGGCGTCCAATTTCTTCTTATTTTCAGTACAGGGCGTCCAAAAGACGCCCGGACGCCCCCCTAGCTAAAAGCCTGATTCGAAGCATAACGTTACATACAAACTACCATACTTAAAATAACAAAAACTAGAGAAATAACATTTGCAAAGCAAATGCATAATGTTTACCTTCGGACATGGTCTGCTCTGTTGATTCTTACTCAAACACATTCACATACATGTACTATACGAGTATATGGTAACAAGAGCAGAGCAGACCATGAAATTGCAACATTATGTAACCAAACACCAGTCACCATGGTGACAGACGTTAACAAATCAGGTCATTGGTCAGGTCAGAGGTCGCTGTTTGGAGAAGAAGAAGAGGAAGAAACTGAGGAAAAACAATATGTTTTCCTTCGGTAAACATAATGAAACAAACCTGGCAAATCTTCTGCACAAAGGTCTTCATTGTCTTGATGATGACTTTTCTATCCTGTAAAGAGAGGGACAGAAACCCAAATTACATGTGCAGATCATCATCAATAAGGTAATAAATTTGACACAACCTAAGTTAAGATTCTATACTTTTATATATTATCTTTATATAAGTTTATATACATGTACTTGCAAGTACAATGTTGTGCTTAACTTCAAATACTAGTATCTGTGGATGCTTAAGTGCTGGATGCCTATTGGTCACCTGAGATGTCAAAGGTGACTGGGAGGTCAGAGGTTACCTTTGCAGTTCCATGCCACAGACAGTGCATGGTGACCCTTGACCCGTCATGGGTGTGGAGAATGTGGATGAGGGACTCTCTGACAGCTTCAATCATTTCCTAAAGAACAACAGAAACTTTGTCAACACAAAAGATACACAATTCAGCACCAAGGACAGTGCTATACATGAAACAATGGTCCAGTTAAATTTACCCCTAGGGCCACACCGACTTAATTTTATGGATGACATCCGCGCGCGCATTGATTTTTTTATAGTTAAAGAGTTTGACTTGTTCTAACACAAAAAGGGAACTCACCATAAATTTTCGGCTGATCCCGTCAACACAGATGAGCTTTCATTCGAGCATTGATTTTTGCTTGTTCCTAATAAAAAATCACGTCCTCCGAGGCTCTGGCCTGGCTCCTCCATGGTAGTTAGCGACAATACAGAGCTGGTGTTAACTACGGAGGACGGCACCCAGGCTGCCGAAGCTCCACGACTCAAGAACTCAGTAATGTTACATAAAATTATGTACAGTGCCGATTCATAAATTCCTTAAAAAGTGAGCATGTGCTAGCTTTGTCGTATACATCGCTATGTACTGCGGCAAATTCATAATACCAGCTTTGTATTACTGTGGTTTGAGTAGCATTCTTATTTTTGGCAGGAATTTTTTTTATTCGCCCGCGCACACTAGTTTGGGGGTCTTCAGAGGATGTCATCCATAAAATTAAGTCGGTGTGGCCTACTAAATCAAATACTTTTACCTGATCCAACAGTGTTACACTTAACATAGATACAGTCAAAACGACCCAGAGACCCTCTTAGTGGGCTATTAAAATCTGGCCTCATGGTGGTCACTAAAGACAGGATTCTTAAAGCCTATGTCAATGGGAAAAATTATTTAAGGGACCACTTTCTGGTGGTCAGTTAGATAATTTTGTACAGGCTGGACTGTACATCTATCCCCTATGGCTACATGTAGCAATGAAAGACATTACATGTACTTACTGTTCTAAGCGGGCCCTCAGCATGAGTGAAAAACTCCAGTAATGCCTTGTGTACGATAGTGTGTTTCACCACAGTCCTGGACAAAGGTATGGGGTAAAACAGCACATCAATACAACCTTGACAAGTTAATAAGCTGCATTTTACAACATAAATATCGAGTCCCGGGCCACACAGTTACACTGGATAAGATACACATACTGGACACGGGGAAGGACTACTTTGTGAGGGGCGTGAAGGAGGCAGTTTACATCAGGGCCCATCAACCCTCTCTGAACTGTGACCATGCCCGTAGTCGGGGGGTTCGGAAGAACCCCCCCACAAGGCTCAAGGTCCACTTTTTGGTCCACTTTTTATATAAAGGTCCAAGATTTTTCTTGAAAAGATGGACTGGAATCGTAGAAAAACTGCTCCCTTTGTCATTGAATAAAAATTTATCTCTGATCTTTTCTTGGAAATCCTCTCAAAAATGCACGAAATGGCATTTTAGAAGGTTCATTTTTCAAATTTTCCGGGGAGCATGCCCCCCCCAACCCCCCTAGGAACCTTGCGCCTACAGTGCTCGAGCAGTGGAAAGAACCCCCCCCATTAAAAATCCTTGCTACGGGCATGGTGACGGTGGTAGATTCCGTCTTCCCGCCACATTTGATGCACTCCTGACGTCATCACACTTTTGACTTCCGGAGAGTCAGTGAGTGCATCACACTTCTGACGAAGGTTGACGAGATCGACCAAAAATTTATGGTGAGCTACCTTCTTGTGTTGTGTTGGAACAAAGCTTGAACTTTACAACTAAGGTATATTCATGTTTACCCAAGGAAAACATATTGTTTTTACTCAGTTTCTTCCTCCTCCTCATCTGTTCCAAACACTAACCTCTGACCAGGCCAATGACATGATTTGTTGACGTCTGTCACTATGGTGACTGGTGTTGGGTTACATAATGTTGCAATTTCATGGTCTGCTCTACTCCTGTAACCATATACTCGTAGTACATGTATATGAATGTGTTAAAGTAAAAATTAACAGGGCAGACCATGTCCGAAGGTAAACATTATGCATTTGCTTTGCAAATGTTACTTCTCTAGTTGTATATGTATTTGGTAAAAGACACAGTGTACTAGTACTTGAATGACCCAAAGATAAGTAGCATTAACAGTGAATCCTAATGTAACTCACTTCTCCAACAGTGGGGTGAGAGATTCCTTGAACTCTTTCATCACGAGCTGCTTCTTGTCTGGGTGAAGTGTGAAGAGGTCCTGCAAAGTTGTGGTGTCAGGAGCCTGAAGTACAATGGAGAGACACAGTTTTAGCCTCCTTAGCGGGTTCTACAAGTCAGGCTTATTGAGGGATTTATTATTATAATTATGTGTTGTTTTTTTCTAATGGCATATTAGATCTCAGTACTCAGTTTATTGTGGCCCACACAAATACGTTGTTCCTATCTGGACTTATTGGCTTTTAAAGATTTCGCCAGAAAGTCCCCTACAGTTCCAGAACAAGCTGCTAGGGGGACCAAACCCACACGACTTATTCCTGACAGGAAAAGCTATCTGTCACCAAAACGTCAAGACTATAGCATGTTCAGGACAAAAGATACAAAAACCGGAAGTTCTGCTGCAGTACCAAGGTCATCCACTAGGAGGCCCATATTTGACCTTGACCTTTGTCTTCCTTAGACTTACCATCACACCAAATATCATCATAATCCATAAAGCCATTATTAAGTTATGCTGACGACAAATGTGCGGAAACACAGACACACAGACACTCCAAAAACAATACCTCCATTTTTCATGGAGGTAAAAAGCCCATTATAAGCCAAAAAAATGTAGCATGGAGACTAGCTGACTGCTGCCCATCCCTGTGTTAGAACCCCCTGAGCAGTATAATCAAAGACTGGATACTACTACTGCAGTACCTTGAAGACCAGGTAGGTGTTCCCGTATAACTCCTGCAGCATGGCTTTCCTCTGCGTCTGATTGGCCCACTCATTGTAAGCATACTCCAGCACACTGGAGGCTTCCTGGGGGCCAGGTGAGAAAATCATCAGTACTAGTATCTAAACTAGGATACATGTACTATTACTAGTATTAGGTTGCCTGCTCAAAATTCAATTGTCATTGTTACTTTAACTGTCTAAAGTGGATTTTAGTTGCAAATTCTGATAAAACAGAGAAAAGACTTGCTGAAGTAACAGTATTTACAAACAAAACCTACCGTGTGTCTGATGATCTTCTTTATGTGACCATGAAAACTCTTCATGATTTCAGCTTTTTGTTCTTTGGACCTAGAGGAAGGTGTACAAAAATGCAATGAAAGTAATTCAACCACAGCACACTAAAGGAACCTCTGTATGTAACCCATAGAAGCAAGAATGTAGAATATTATATCAGGGCTTGAAATACTGGGTGCATGTCTACCTTAGTCAGTGCACCCAAATTTGGAGCTGTGCAACCAATTTTTTTTCTGTGGATGCACCAGTGCACCCAAATACTTTCTTAGGTTTAACATATGTAAATATGTTGAATGTATGGTTGTCACAGCAATATGCTTAACATCTAAATGTCAGAAAAAATACTATACTAACTCATTTGTTATAGTACTTTTCTTGAAATGAAACAGTTATAGTCTTTGCTGACATTCTACTTATTTTATTTCATATGGTGCACCTAAAATATTTTTTGTGTTTTTAGGTTGGGTGCACCAGTGCACCTGTTCCCAAAAATGAATTTCGAGTCCTGTATATACAATGCATTTTGTACAGTTCTCTAAGGGAGATACATTATAGTTTATACCCAAATTATACACAGATGGCACATGAAGCAAAGCATCTACAATGTACAGTACATGCAGATACTCACCCATACTTCAGTAACTTCCTGACACTAAACTTTGCATACTTGGACTTAGACAAATTCACCAAGTCATCTGGAACAAAGGACAGGCAAAACATTAAAACCTGTAGGATCTAAATAAACTGTCAGTAGTTTTAGAAAAATGTGTACAATTTGCAACCCAAGAATTATAGAGGTATCTGTATATCTGTATCTGTATAGCTGGTATAACCGCCTTTACGCATAACACACCAGCTTCGCAGGCACGTGACGCGGCGGCAGCTGGCTATGTTATACCGATTGACTTATTACACCTACCCCTTGAACTTGTAACTCTAGACATTGTTTAAAGCTATCTAATGACAATGCCCCTACTGTACTTGGTGACAGTGAGTTCCAATCTGCGATAGTTCTAGGAAAGAATGAATTCTTGAACACCTCGATCCTTGGTTGATAACTCTGGTACTAGTACTTGAAGGCATGGCTATTTCTTGTTCTCTTCTGGGCTGGTATTAGGTACTTAATAGTTTGGACGTCCACCAGTTTATTAGTCCTTTTGTACATTATGCATAGTCTGGACATTTTTTTTCTGTCTTTCAATGAGACCCACTCCAGGTTTCTTTTCATTTCCGTGACACTAGCACCTCTTTCATAGTTGTTCATACAGAATCTTGCAGCTTGATTCTGAAGCTTGAAGCTTTACATTCATATTTGTTGCAAGTTTAGAGTGCATAGAGTGCACCTACCTTTGAGTTCCTCAAACAACATTGCCCTCTGCTCCGGTGTACCAAACTGGATACAACACTGCATCACTCGCACTGAGTCATGGGCATTGGCAAGCTGTTGGACACAAACACGGCATTATCTTTTGCGACAGGAACATACATGTAAAAATTTAAAGCAATGCCACAAACCACCATCACTCAGAAAGACTGCATGAAATTTAAATGTCTTTAAATTGTTTACCTCCTTGACCCTTCCCTTGATGAGTCCATACAGTTCTGTCATCAGCTTGGCTCTGGTCTCTTTCTTACAGTCATGTCTGGAGGGAGGGAGGCAAAAGTAGAGTGTGGCGTTTTACCTTGATGCTTGTTAAACTGAGGAATGAAAAGACTTCTAGACGTTCAATGTTTTAAACCTAGTTTCAAAAGCTAGCCTCTGTATCTGTATCAGTATCGCTGGTACAATAGTGCTGTGTACCGGTTCACAGGACTTGGATCCGGACTTGTAAGAATGTTTAGGTTTCTTTCCAAACCACCTAAAACCTTCCGTAGATTGCAAAAACTTTGCTGCAAAATGAAGAAAACATTGCCTTCGGGCATCGTCAAGTGTCGGCCTCCATGTTATGTGGCCAAAGTTTCACCAACACAACATTGCAAGGTTGCCAACATGCAATTTTGTATATGCCATGGGTTTAGGTCCGGACTGAACCTAAACCCCTGGACTTGAATCTGGACCTGAACCTAAATGTGGGTTTAGGTATGCAGCACTATCAGGTACATGTATAATATAACCACCCTTTAGTGTGCCATACCAGGTCAGATTCATCTTCCACTCAAGGAGAACATCGGGAAAAAAAATCATGTGATAACAAAGTACCTTCTGACGACTTCCCAGATTTCCTTGGTCCTCTTGAGGAGTGGGTAGTTGTTCTTCAGCTGTCTCCGGACCTCCTTCCGATCCTTCTTCTTCATCTCTACAAGCTTCTGCTTCTTTTCTGGACTTTCCCCTGAAAAAGTAACGTTACATTTGCACCAAGAAGTGATTAACAAAGAACTGTTCCAACAACACTTAAGTTTCTTACTACATGTGCAAAAAATGTGCAAGAAAAATCATGGACCATTTCATTGAACTTGGGACAGAAATGCTGGATTTTTTTCTGTCCTGAGCAGTAAAATTCCATCCTAGGACAGACTCAATAGGACATACATATAAAAACACAGTAAAATTTATGCATCATGTACAGAACAACTCACCACTCTCTCCCTCTCCTTCACTCTTTCTCTTCTTCCCTTTCTTCTCTGGTAACTTTCTCTTTTGTCCTGTCTTCTCTTCCCCCTCTCCATCTGCAGATTTCTTCACCTTGCCATCCTTCTTAAACTTCTTACCCCTGCCCTTCTGGTCTCCTTTCTTGAAAAGTTTTCCCCCTGCGAGTTCTTGAGACTGGTCGTTGAAGGACTTGACTTTCTTGGTGGGAGGGCCAGCAGCTGTCCCTTTGGTGCGTTTGATCTTGACCTTCTTCTCTGGTTTAGTGTCTTCCATTGTTACGGTCATTTCTTAACAAAGCTGAACAAAACAATCAAGTGATACCAGTGTTAGGGAATAATAAATTTTGAAAGAAGCCTGCTTCTGAATTAAAATAATTTAAAAGTATGTATGGCCAGCAAAGAAAGAAAAATAAAAACTTTTTCATCTATCTTAAACACATTTTTCATTTATTTGAACAGTTTTACAAGTAGAAGCTCTGTATGATATTGCTAAAAAAAAAATAAGATTATGTAGAGACTGCGATCGTAGGCTAGCTTTCTCGTAGTTTTCAGAGAGTTCGGCGTAGCTTTGCTTTGGGGAGGGGGGCGAAGTTTGCGAAACGGGACATGTCCCAACTTTGAATTCTTCAACGATCGAGCTAATTTCCTAAGAAAACCGTGGGTCATTAGTTAAAACAGAATGACTTACGAGCATCTAAGATATATCTGAAGTAGTGAAGTGTTGAATCATCTAGAAATGTGAAAAACTTACCGACAAAAACCTCTTGGGACACACTGCACTGTAGCACGCACGTTGCCTACTGTCGACTTCACCTCTAACCCGGAAGCGGTAACGTTACAACCCGGAAGTACTAGGACACCGGCAGTAGGTCGTAGGTTAGGAGGTGTGTCTGTGTGGTTTTCGTCAAGAAGTTGTGTAAGAAGAAGTGCCGTTTTAAGCTTTTGTTGTCCGTCTTAGTCTGTTTAGAGGAGGTTCAGGGTTTCGCTGAGAAGTCAGAGTATCGTCTGAGCCGTCTGTGTGCCAAGAAACTGCAAGATATTCAACCAAGCGAAGGAAAAAACGTGAGTACCCAGTGTAGACTTGAACAAATTTGAAACTATTTGAGAGGTCTTGTGCAAGTGTGTAGCATGATATACAAAATATTTGTTATACTTTTGATGATTTATGACTCATAACATGGAGTTAAAACTTGAAGTGTTAACAGTATGAAACTAAAGCAAAGGTAACAGTACCACCAGTGTTATAATAACTTTATCATATGATTATGAAGATTGACATTGCTAATAAGGACTCTATGCTGGAACTTTTGCACCAATTTTCGGTCAACCACATCTGACAATAGTATATTTTCCCTCTATCATAATAGTTCATAGAGGCAAATTCATGTGTAAGTGGCCATTGAACAGCTTTTGCTTTGGTCAGTCTTAAAATGATGAGGATGACCTTTGTACCAAAGCAATTATTTGCAGATGTTACAAAATAGAAGTCAGTAAAATCAAAGTAGTAGTTTCGTCTCACATTTAGTTCTCAAAATTAAGATCCGTATGCTGTAATACCCATACGTTGTAAAATGTTGAAATGGCCCACTTTATATAGAGATGGGAAGTTTTTCTTGATTGGCTTTAAGCAATGTCGCCTCTCGGGACCTATATTGTACTGTTCCAGGTTGTGTATTGCAGTATTACAGAGTGCAGGGTTGCGTTGATGTACCTTTGTTTGTTTCTGGTACTGACTCTGACACCGTGGCCAGCCTGGTCACACGTACAACACTACAGAGCTCAGGAAGGTAATGATAAACTTAAAGATATCTTCATAGTAGGCATGGTGGTAGGCTAGGCACTGGTAGCTCAGCTATAGTGGTATTGAATCGATACAAGGGCCTGTATGTTGTCTGTAAATTTAGTGTTCAAACCATGAACCAAATTTTCTTCAAACTGTAGTCAAAAGTGGTTTCAAGTTAGGCATCATGCATAAAGGCTCTAGCCAGGAATCCATCTATTTTAGCTCGGGTTGGTGACTCTGAAAACATGGCCATAATGACCATGGTGAACAGAATAGACAATATGCATTCCCATTTTGATGTTCTTAGTACATGTACATTCCAAATGCCTGTTTGAACCCTGTTACTATATATATATATGCTGTGAGAAAGACTGTGTGACTTGGAGCCAATCAAAGTTCTTTTTTTTTTAGATCTGTATTGACTTTTGTACAGCATTGATGAAATTGAAGTGTTGATTTTTCCTTCTAGACGACCCTCCACCAGCCCCCACGTGTCCCGTTGATGGTTGTCCTCCTCCTAAGATGTTCTCTAAGCTTCTCCGTGCCATCATCATGGGCCCCCCGGGGTCAGGGAAGGGCACCATCTCAGGTCGGATCGTCCACGACTTCGGGATGAAGCACCTGTCCAGTGGGGACCTTCTCAGAATACAGATTATGAACAGCACTGGTAGGTTTGCTACTATAGAAATGTAAATAAGGCTACACCAATCTAATTTCTTGGTTAACGGATTTGCCCGCTTCATTTTTTTCTGATTTACAAAAAAAAAAAAAATTACAGAATCAACTGCAAAATGCTCATATTTTGCCCTGAACAATTGAAAACAGTCCTTTTCTTCCTAGTTGTTACAGTTATTCTATCTTCCAATGAGGTGGTATATATATATCATTAAAAGTTCAAAATTCACCAGCCTGGTGTGTTGACTTCATGGCTCCTATTGTACCATTTTGGGCCATAATACATGTAGGATGCCTAGGCCTGTTTTTATTTTTTTATTTTTTTTCCCGCCCGCTCCATTATTTTTCTAGAAAAATACGTTAACCAAGAAATTAAGTTAATAATAAAAATAATAATAAAATAAAATAATAATAAAATGATTAGTTCTTGTGTCATCACTGTAAATCTTGAAATATTCACAGTGGTTTAATTTTCACTGCAAATTTATGACACCAAGACTACATGTATATGTTTCCAATGTATTACTGTATAGTACAAAATTGTTTCAACTGCAGACTACGAAGATTTCTTTCCTCTCTCTCCCACAAAATTCAGTCCCTGAGAAACTTAAATAATCTACAGTATAGACAGTTATCATGAAAGTTCATCTGTGTTGGTAGTTACATGTTTAAAGTTAAACCTTTTGGTCCAACACAAAAAGTTCTCTCACCTAGAGCTTTTGACCAGTCACTCTGGTCTTCCTCAGTAGACTGACCCAGTGAAGCTTGTCACATGGCTTCTTTGAAGTGTGACATCAACACTGGGTCCAAGGTACCTGGCAGGCTTTCAAAATATTGTAATGATGGTCAATTAGCAAGTTGTATTTTAGCAATTCATCATGGGAATTATACAATATGTTATAGAGAAGGTCTGTCCTTAGTGCTGAACAAACTGTTATTTTGATTTGCCTACTCAAGTTTATTTGAGCTTTCCATGTTAGAGTAAAGATCAGCTAGGAAGTATTGCAGATATTTAATGGTAGAATAGGGCCTGTCCTTAGTGCTGAACAGACCATCCTTTGCCTACTCAAGTTAATAGACTGTATACATATGCAGTAGCAATTGCCACAAATAAGTGAAGAGAGACGATTCTAGCACTATGCTTTGCCTAATTTGACTTAACAAAAAAACTGTCTCCTTATTTTATTTCCTGTATCAATTTTTATGACTCATCCATAAGATTTTTGATGGCAACTATGAAAAGATCTTTGACATATTCTAAATCAATTGTTACTAAAACACATTGGATATCATTAGTAAGAAAAAGATGCATTACAAATCAGCTGGGATGTTTCTTGAAAAAATTCTCCTCCTGTTCCCCCCTCCCCCCTTTAGGCGTCGGGTGGTGTAGTGGTTAGAGCAATCGACTATGAAGCGGGGAGACCCAGGTTCGATTCCGAGTCGTACCCGGGACATGCGCCCGACGTTGTTCCCGACGTTGTGCCCTTGGGAAAGGCACTTAACACGAATTTCCTCACTCCACCCAGGTGTGAATGGGTACCTAACTTCGGTTGGGGAAGGCCATATTGAGGTCAACTTGTGGCGTCGAATGGCTGCCGCACAGACCCTTGCGACAGTTCCACAAAAAATAATTGTGGAACAAATATGTGTATCATGTGTATTATTTGATTGTTGTAATTGTTGTGATTTGTATTATTATGTGATACCCTGCATCAATTCAGCCGTATAAAGGCTGCGACTGCACGGGTACTGTTTGGACAATAAAAAACATTTTTTATTACAGCTGCTGGTTTGGAAGCTAAGAAGTTTATTGACCAGGGTGCTCTGGTGCCTGATGAAGTCATGGTACAACTCATCCTCAACGAACTCAGGGAAATAACAAACCACAGCTGGCTGCTGGATGGTATGTATAATCAATCATGTATAATGGTGAAAACAGTTATGTATAATTATGTAAAATGGTAAAAATGAATATGTATAATGTTTGATGGGGAAAGTGGTTATGTATAATCCTGCATAATGGCAAAAAGGGATATGTATAAATTATGTATAATGGAAAAATCATTATATATAATTATAGATAATTATGGTATAATTATATATAATTGGACTATTCCCTGGGGACTAATTATCCTGCTTAATCATCACCCTCTGCCATGTACTTAAGAAAAATATAAACTTTTAATCATTTAAATAATTCTGGAGTTATTGGCCTGGAGTCCGGAATTACATTGCGGCTTGGTTTTGTTAATTTCCATTTTCTAATGCATTTTACAAAACTGGAATGATCACCTACTTGCAAACTCTTTAAATCCAAACCAGTTCAGGTTCATTCAATAGGATTATTGGAAAGTAGGCATCATAGGTTTCATATTGCTATTTCCAATTTTACATGCAAATACACCTGCAAACGACTGTTTTGTTGATACTCTGCATTTGTTTGATTCATTTTGCATTGCACATGTATTTTCCATAATTTGAGGTTCAAAGAAGATGGACAAGGTGCTTGCAATTCATGCAGAGTTCTTTTCTGTTAGCACTGTGAACATATCTATCAAAAGAATAGAAATAAAAGTGACAGTATAATGTTATTCAGAATCTACATACATGTAACTGTGTTCCTATCATTTTTACCCATTTTCTTCCCAGCCTTGTATCCTAACCTTTAACCTGTGACCCGACCTTTGACCCATGAACCCAGGTTTCCCCAGGACAGTGCCCCAGGCCGAGGCCCTGTCCGACAAGCTGGACATTGACGTGGTCATGAACTTGGACGTGCCTTTTGAGACCATCAAACAGAGACTGACCGCGCGGTGGGTCCACCCGGGGAGCGGCCGGGTCTACAACCTTGACTGGAACCCTCCTCAAATCCCTGTACGTTGGCAGGATAACACTAACCTTTTCTCATCACTAAGGCCACACCAATTTAATTTCTTGGTTAACGGATTCGCCCGCTTCATTTTTTTCTGATTTGCAAATAAAAATAAAAATTCAGAATCAACTGCAAAATGCTCATATTTTGCCCTGAACAGTTGAAAACAGTCCTTTTCATCCTAGCTGTTACAGTTATTCCATCTTTCTATGCAATGGTATCATTAAAAGTTCAAAATTCATTGTTTAAATTTTGAACCAGCCTGGTGTGTTGACTTCATGTCTCCTATCGTACCATTTTGGGCCATAGAATAGGATGCCTAAGGCCTGTTTTTATTTTTTCGCCCGCCTGCTCCATTATTTTTCTAGAAAAGTCTGTTAACCAAGAAATTAAATTGGTGTGGCCTAAGGCCATGATGATTTGATTATATGAATGACATCCTCTGGGAACCCCAAAACTGACGCGAGCGTGCTAATAAAAAAAAAGTTGCCTTCATTATGAAATGAAGGTTGAACAAATGACTAAACATACAGGGTATGGTATGGCCAATGGCGGACTCTTCGTTTTCCTTTCTTCTCATTTTCTTCTTTTCCTTTGGAATCGATTTTGTTCTTCTACAACATTAGTATCATTTTCAAATATTATTTTTTTGCAATTGACAGCATATATTTGCTCATTTTGCAGGTGCCGTAAGTGATTTACGGTATGGTCGAAAACTTTTTTTGGGGGGAAACGGAAGAAAATTCATGCACGTGTAGATGTCATCCATATAATCAAATCAACATCACAGAAAGTGTAGCATCTGTCACAGATTACAGTACTTACATTCAGCTATTGAATTTATCTGTCCTGAATTTGTTTGTCTCACCAGGCACCAAAGGGTCGGCAGCTGCTAACATGGACACCAACCTTCACAGATTGATCTTAACCAGCCTGATACAAGCTAAGATATCTGATACAAAGTACATGTATTCAATAAAATGAGCACTTGCAAAGCAAGGGTGATTGTAGCCTTGAAAATGTGCAAACAATGCATGCCCATTTTCATATATATCATGGTCTATGGGCTTTAGGAGACAGGGTGGTAAAGATTTTGTCTGCTTCCTATCTTCATGCTAAGCAAATGGAGGGCATAAAATCTTTAATTGCAAACAATAGAAAACAGAAAGTATCAAAATCTTATTTTAAGGCCTTGGAAAAAAATGTTGTGTTTCCTGTTTCAGTCCTGAAGAAATTAGGGTCGGTAGGTAGGGATTATCTTTTTTTCCTTTATTTTTTATAGACTTCAGTGGTATCTGTATAGTGTTCCAACTTATACAATACAGTTTAATAAAGTATAACTTGCATGAGGACACTTTTATTTTCAATGTCAATGAAAACCAACATTTTATCACTCAGGTGTCAGATCATGGAGCTAGGAAAGGTTGATCAGCTCCAAAAATTTATGTTCCTTGTAGGGGTCCACACACAAAAAAAGCCTAGAGCTGGCAGGTTTTTCTAGGGTCGGTCGGGAAACAGGAAACACAACATTTTTTTTCCAAGGCCTTATTTCACTCCTGGCAGTTCCGGGATAACTGATGGTACTAGATGTAGAGAGCACGTTGGCAGAACGTCCTGCGCCTGCGCAAAACCCTGATTTGCGACGGTTTTCGTTGGATTTTTGGTCAACGTTGCATCAAAATTTAGCCTGTTGCAAAGGATATATTTTCCAAGTCAACATCTGGAAACAACAGACGGGATGTTAACCTTATATACGCGAATACAACCTTATAGAAGAAGAACTTTATTGCACGACAATTGCACAAGGTACAATGTATGGCAAACTACATGAAGAGAGTAACAAACAATAAAATAAATGTTGGATAAGACCTAATGTCGAATAAAACCTAACATATCTTAATTATTCAAACAGTAAGGGCTAGCACAAGTCTTTGATGATATGAGACGTTCTGCCAAAGTGCCATGCACAGTACATTACGGGTTTTGCGCAGGTGCAGTACGTTCTGCCGACATGCTGATGTAGAGATGGTGACAACACGGTTGTTTTCCATCCCCAGGGTAAGGATGACGTGACGGGTGAACAGCTGATCCAGAGAGACGACGACAAACCAGAGACCGTCACGGCCAGGCTCAGGAACTACGAGAACCAGACTAAACCACTTCTGGAGTTTTACAGGTAGGTTCTGAAAACAAGTGGGCTTGTTTCTTTAATTGTTTGGGCCAGTAGGATATATGGATAGTTGGTAGAGGTGACACTAGCGAGGACAAACGAACTATTGAAAAACTCCTACATTGTCATGTTAGGCCACACCAATTTAATTTGTTGGTTCACAGATTTGCCTGTTTTATATTTGTCTGATTCTGGTTCAGAATCAACTGAAAAATGCTCATATTTTCCCCCAAGAAGAAAAGTTTAAGAAAGTCTACCTGGTCTATCATTGCAGTGGTTTAATTGAAAGTGCAAATTCATTGTTTTAAACCAGTATGGTATGTTGACTTCATGGCTCCTACCATAGCATTTTGGACCTTTACATGTATTTATTTATTTTTTTGCCCCGTCGCCTCATATTTTTTTCTGAAAATCGAATCGAATTGGTATGGCCTTATCCTGAGCCCTGTGAGCCTCTGAGAATGACCTATACAGAAGACTTTAGTGCATCATTATTCTGCTAAATATTTGGAAAAGTCATACATATTCTGTAATTTTTTGTCAGGATATCATTTTTTCTATTAATAATTTTTGCAGTGCTGCTGGAAAACTGGTGTCTTTCCACGGAACAGAGTCCAACATCATTTACCCAAAAGTCAAGGACTTCCTGGCCACAAAGATCCCTCCTGTCACAGATGACCAATCACAGTCTGTGAAACAATAGTTTGAATGTGAAAAGTGGTGCTGTGGTACGATCCTTCTCATTGGTCAAAGTGTACTTACACTGATTTGCTTGGTTAACTTGCAGTGATTCTCTGATTGTTGAAGAAATTGTTGTAACTGTCTGTGAGTTGCTATTAAAATGTACCTCTTAAATTAAGTACGTACACTGCACTTTGTGTAGTGGCCTCATGTACATGGGAAATTTCTCTCTGATCTATGTAAAAGTAGATGTACAAAAAGTCCCTAAAGCTACTATACAATTGAAAGAATGGTGTGAAAATGATTTCCTTTCACTGTGATTCTTGCAAAAAAATTCTAACATTTATAAATATAATTTATACAAATCATGGTGAACTCATTGTTATACCTGGAGTGAGTTTTAGCAGAAGCTTATCTAAAGCACCTTTTCAGACACACCAAGTCAATAGACCCATTCGACTTTCACGGATTGTATAAACTACTTACGTACGTCACAGGGGGGACATTTCGAAAGAATGCCGTTCTAGAACGCTGAAGTCGAACGCTGCTTGCGCTTGCGGGGTCCCCCTGGCAGATCATTGTTTTTACTAAAAGGTAGGTAAGTGTCTATTTTTTCCGTATGACAGGAAAACAGGCACCAACTTTGTATGGTGGCATTCTGTACAACAATTTAAGGGTTATTTTGTTCTGTGACGTAGGCAGTTTATGCGATCCGTGAAAGGAACTTTCGAAATGTCCCCGTGACGTAATTTCTATTTGAAGTGTCCCCCCTGTGACGTAAGCAGTTTATGCGATCCGTGAAAGTCGAATGGGTCAATTGGGAAATGATAGTGTGTTACTGTCAGTGGTGCTTTTGAAATCAAATTGGCATTTGACTTTTTTCTGTCGTGTGAACAGAAGGTCTTGATAACACTCACAGGTGTGATAGATGTGATGGCAGAGCAATAATACACAATTGTAATACAAACAAGGTAATACAAACATGTTTGAAAATAGACTGCCACATGTTTACTATAATAGTCACTTATCCTTCTCATCCCTGTTGAGATTGACCAATAGTGATGCATACCGGTTCACTGGACTTGGATCCGGACTTGAAAGAATGTTTAGGTTCAAGTCCAAAAAAACCTAAAAAAAAGTCAAGAACCGAGTCTGGACTTATTACCATAAAAGACCATTTCACATTCCCCCTTTATTTCCAAACCACCTAAAACCTTCCGTAGATTGTAAAATCTTTGCTGCAAAACGAAGAAAACATTGCCATCGGGCATCGTCAAGTTCCGGCCTCCATGTTATGTGGCCAAAGTTTCACCCAGACAACATTGCAAGGTTGCCAACATGCAATTTTGTATATGCCATGGGTTTAGGTCCGGACTTACAAGTCCAGAACTGAACCTAAACCTCTGGACTTGAATCCGGACCTGAACCTAAAATTGGGTTTAGGTATGCATCACTATTGACCAATGTTAACACCCCTACCATAAATTGAACCTTTATACATGTATGGTCTTACTTCTCTCGGCAACCATGTTGTCTGGCAGTCTGTTCACTCTTGCAGCTCTGGGGCCAAATTTTTTTACCAAATAGAATGTATTTTGACTGTAACACTTAAGCGGCAAGTTCATGTTGAATACATGTAACCTTCATGCAAAAATGGTTCCTATACTTACATTGATAAAGCTACTGTGGCCACAATGTACTTGCACTGTTATGTGCTGAAGTCCATTCCTAAATTACATTGAATACATCAATGTATATCAAGACTTCTACTGTCCAGGTCACCATTTTAAGAGATCTGTTCAGGGAATGTAAATTTAACTCGTTTATTTTATGCTGTATTAGGTAAACTGACTTCCCATAGGCTGGACAAGGAAACTAACTTTAAGTTAACAACAATGTACAGCATACATTTGTACAAGTAGATGGGCCTTTAAGTTAGTAACACATGTTAATTTGAAGTTTTCACAGAGACTTGTGTTGGTGAGTTGTGTCTCAGTACCTTTCATAAGAATGTGAGTGCTACAAAATTTAATGTATGTTGAAAATCTGCTCTGCAGAACTATACCTGTGCACAGAAACTGACAACTTTATTTTAGCCAAAGATCTCTTCAATAATGAGCACAATCCCATGAAAGTTAGGTCAACAATGACAATTACTACAACATGTAATTGGGACCTCAACACTTCTTGTAAAAATATTTTATGATTTATGTAAAAATGTAACCACATCAATGTCCCATGCACCTTATGCATTTTTAAGTATGAGTATTATTGTCTTGTTGAATATTTGTTAATGAAAAAGAAGCACACCTCAAGAAATGAAACACTTCTCTGCCACTGTTAATACTCCAAATCAGTATTTATTTTCTAAAACATGTTGATGAAAACAAACAATGAAGAATAAGAAGTAATTCTATTTTTCAACATGTCAAGGATTTATGATGGCATTTTGTAGAGTAAAACAAGTGACTTTCATATTTTAATTGTGTCACTATTTGTAATGTGTGTGAAAAATGAATAAAATCAACATTCCCAGACTACATTGCTGTATTGCAAGTGTCTTCACTTATCTCCAGTGTAAAATAATGTGGGATATGAGAATTATCAAACATAGGAAATCACTTAGTTTAGCCTCAAAAAGGTGCATCTTACAAAGCTGAACAGAAGTAGAAAGTACTTAACACACAAGTGAGTTTAAATGCACTGCTCACTATGTCTACAACACTGTATTCTACTCTAGGTATACTTGTAATTCTCTTGATTGCAAGATAAATTTTTGGTCAGCAAAAGACATTCCATTATCAATCAGTGGAGTATCAATTTTCCTTATTTCCACAAGCAAACATTGTAAACCTCTCAGGGCATGAACAAATAGCAAAAATTGGAATTACTGTTACAATAAATTGAATTATTAATCATGTTAGATCTTCTTTCTGCCAACATTGTATTTCATGCCCTATAAATGCTCAAGTCACTTAATAGTCATAACTATGCAACACAATTAAGTGATAGAATTAAAGTAGAATTACATGTGCATGTACATGTAGCTTTTTCATAATTGTGATTGATGAACGCAAGGAGCAAGGTCTTTGGTCTAGCTATAGGTGCAAATTGGAATGTGCTCCGATCAATTAAGTTAACACTCAATAATCATTAGTTAGTCATGTAAATGGATAATAACTGTGATTAACTTTCAACATCTGCAAAGCAGATTTGTTTAAATGTTACCTGTATTATGAACATAAAGTTAATATGTCAATATATCATTTGTTAGTGAAAAATATAGATTTTGGTTATAATTGAAATATCAAATTTGAGCATTATCTATATTGAAAGACATGTCAGATCTGTGCAAAATTTAAGAGACAAAATTTCTTATGTCATCATTTATCATAGTACATATCATAGTACAAACAATTTAGCATTATTATGTTGTAAGTATACATGAGGCCACACCAATTTAATTTCTTGGTTAACGGATTTTTCTAGAAAAATAATGGAGCGGGCGGGCGAAAAAAATAAAAAACAGGCCTAGGCATCCTATTATGGCCCAAAATGGTACGATAGAAGCCATGAAGTCAACACACCAGGCTGGTACAAAATCTAAACAATGAATTTTGAACTTTTAATGATACTACTGCATTGAAAGATGGAATAACTGTAACAACTAGGAGGAAAATAAGTGTTTTCAACTGTTCAGGGCAAAATATGAGCATTTTGCAGTTGATTCTGAATCTGAATTTTTTTTCAAATCAGATAAAAATAAAGCGGGCGAATCCGTTAACCAAGAAATTAAATTGGTGTGGCCTGAATAAATTTTGTAAGTTGAGTCTTAGAACAAGACACAACTGGTCACTGTGGCGTTGTTCAGTTCACCCTGACGCCATCGTGAGTGGGCACAGGGCGGGAAGGAGCCTGTGGCTCCGTGGCCAGCGGGATTCCACGCTTGGGGATGTACGGGACGGTACGCGGAACCATCGTGATGCAGTCGATGATGGGACAGACGCTGACGCAGAGCGTACAGCCCGTACAGTCCTCCGTGATGTGAGGGAGGTGGGTCTCAGGGTCGAACGTGATGGCCTGGTAACCTGGGGAGAAATCACCATACACAACATTATTATAGTTCTTGAATTTTATAAGTACAAATTTATAAGATTAGTACAAATACCCTTCTAGTATGCAAACCATATGCAATTTGATATTTCTTGCTATACCAGTATGTTTTTTTTTTTTGTAAAATCATATCGTCATCATCGGTTGGATGCTACACAGTGACTGCAAGTTTCCTAAAAATCATGTATGTGGAAAGATATGATGCACATAGACTTAGTACAGCTACTTTCAACTATATGTTTTATGGACTTGGTAGGATGACAATCATGTAACTTGAATCTTGTTATATTTTTTCTGAGCTTGATCACGACCTCTTCCCACATGGCTTCGTGTTTTTCATGAAAAAGCAAAGGCTAAAAAAAATGAACAAACAAACAAACAAGCACACCCACCGGAGTCGTTACAGGTCATGTAACACTTGCCACAGTTGATGCACATCTCCTCGTCTATCAGAGCCACCGTCTGCTGCTTGTTATCCAGCTGGCTGTAACTGGTGATGGTGGACAGGGCTCGACCAATCACATCCTGTCATGGTTCCACAAAAAACATGAATATTCTGAGATGCCTCTTGTTACATAAAACATCACGGGGTGTTTGCCAAAGCACCAGTTACTATGATGACAGTCTAATCCAGGTCAATGACTTTTTTTTGTCTGCATAATTATGCAGGTGGTATTTAGAGCCCTACAGTCTCTTGCCAACTTAACATATTCATATACGAGTACGTTGCGGGCTAATAAAAAAAGGTGGTAAGAATCAAGTCAAAATACATGTAGGATGTATATCAGCCTATTCTTATTTGAAGGTGGAAACGTTTAAAGACTGTTAATATGTGTACAGCAATATACAAGCCTGATTGTCAAATACAATTGTATAAAATAAAATAAAGTGAAACACAAATTATGATTCATACCAGAAGGATCTTTTGGAGTTTTACACTGATTGCTTTAATTAAAGGTAGCCACAGGGCAATGCTGGTGAATTTTGGGGAGGTATCAAAAATGGTACTTAGACCTATGTATGGATCTTGATTTTTTTCTCCAGGTACCTGATTGCAAGATGATAATTTATGCAAATTATTATGACGTCATGATGACGTAATCAATAGTTATAGGCTACACCCATTTCTACAAAGCAATTTTTTTGTTCAATAATATGTCAGCAATGAATTCATCTTGAGCCTATTACTAGTCATGCACATGTAGGTGACTAAAACAATAAGAGCTCGTCCTGATAAACCCACCTGGACAGTTGGAACAGGTTTGTCTGGCACACGTGCGGGGCGTTGCGGCTCTGGCATGTTCTGTTCTGCCAGAATCTCCGATGTTTCGTGATGTTTGGCAATGATTTCCTCACGCTGGGACATGTAAGGGCCGAAGGATGGCAGGTGCTATGTAAAACAAAACAAAACAAAACACAACATTGGATTGTTGCAAAGTTTAAGCTTTGGTCCAACACAAAAGGGAACTCACCATAAATTTTTGGTTGATCTGGTCAACCTTTGTCAGATGAGTTATGCACTCGCTGACTCTCTTAATTTTCTGAAGCATGAGGACATCAGGAGCGTATCAAAAGTGAATCTAGTGTTCTGTACTAAATACACACATCATGATCAGCAGACCTACATGTACAGTAGGGGACAGTCAGCTGCATTCCCTTCAAAAGTATCTCAAAGACAGTCTGTGAATACAAAAAAATTGCTCGTGTCTACTTCCATTAGCAATGTAACTAGTTACTAGTAGGGGAAAATAGCAGAAACTGTCCTGTCATAGTCATCAGTGTGCAGCTCCAAAGCATCCTCATCAGGGAAAACAAGAAAAGTAAGACTTGCATGACTGCTACTACCCAAAACACCTCAAAATACATGATGATCATCATGCTTACTACATACTACAATGTATGCTTGAAAAGTGTTTATTTTTTTTTAGTAAACACAACCAGAAGATGTCTGAGAGAATTAAAGTTTTTAATTTAAATTTTTTCGCCTGCTACTAGACAACTATCTGCTGACTGACCTTGAACCAGGTCAGAATCGTACCTTTCCGATGACGTCAGTGACCTTGACAGGTTTGCCCTTCTGGTGGCGGAGGGTGGGGGGGCTCTGTCCGTCCCAGTCGGCCAGGTCGTCCAGGCTCTGGAGGTACAACATGGCCTTCAGCCCTGTGATGTAGTCCTCAACCACTGTGAAGTCCTGGTTCTGTACTGCACTGCACACCTGGGGGGGAGGGGGGCAGTAAGGGTATTTTGCCATCTTCTCACCTCTTTGTAACAATTTCTCTATTTACTGTATACAATTGGAATATACTGCTATGTCCCTTTTTCCTTATAACTCCATGATAGGGACATGATAATCTTGCATCCTTGCACATATCTAACACATTTACATGTGACCAATAGAGGTAATTCTAAGATTATTTCGGCCATTTGAACCGAGAGAACTATATTTCTTGATACTTATATTATGTCTTTTTACTTATACATCAATTCCTATTTTTTTATGTTACCTGCTAGCTGCAGTCTACCTTAAAATTTTACGAGACCAAATAGTCTTCAAAATATGTAGCTGGAGATGGCTTGTGACACTGCACACACAAAGTATGGCTTGTAGTTAAACATTGGTTCTAACAAAGCCGAAAGCCTGTCACCTGTAGTACAGAAGCTCCACAGTGCAGGAACTGCAGTCCAGCTTCAGCAGAGTCGATCCCGCCCGTGGCCAGGATGGGGAATCCCGGCAGAGCGCGAGCAATGGCGGACACGGCACGGAGAGCGATGGGGCGGATGGCGTTCCCGGAGACACCTCCGTACGTGGTCCTCATCTCCTGTCCGACGGCAGGCCAGGCGCGTGCGTTGGCCTTCAGTCCCATCAGCCCTGACACGGTGTTGGTGGCCGTCACTCCGTCAGCCATGCCTGGGGGGAGGGGGGGGTGGTGGAACATCAAGGTCAACATACAACTTTTACAAGGTCAAAAGTAAGCCAACTACAGAACATCAAATAGTCCTGCAACTTTACTACCAGACTGAGTACATTAGCTCTAGCTAATATTTACCTTCAGCCTGCTGAGGAAGCCATTTGATACCAAATTTAAATTGTTACAGGGAGAAAGGCAGCAGGAATAAGACTTAAGACATATATCAGATGAATAGCAGACAGACTTAAAAATGTCTTGAAAAAATACACTTTTGACTACAACATGTCTGAGCAATGACATGTAATATCTGTGATGCATTATCAAATGCAACAAAGAATTTTATGGCAAAGTTGTTACTGCAGAGGTTTAGACAATACATAACTAGTTAGACTACATTTGTAGGCTTAACTTCAGTCTCAGTATTGACCTTAGACTAATTATAACCTATTTGTGAAATTGAAACCTGACAGGGCAGATTTACCTTCCTTTGCTGCCTGAGCTATGACAGTGACATCAGTGATGTTGGGAGTCATCTTGGCAAAGAAGGGGATTTTGATGGCAGACCTGACCCAGCGACAGATGTTACGCACCAACTCAGGATCCTGCAGAGGTGTCATTGAACAAAAACATCCTGTGTAAATAGTTTTTAAAATGGTGCACACTGCTTTCTCTGCTTAACACTTAAGAAAGAGAAAGTCAGTTGAACATCACTACAAGTTGACTAGCTCTTTGCCATAGAGTAGCGCTTGCAAAACTGTGTGGCCCAATAGCAATAGAAATGCAGACAGGCAATAACCTTACCCTTTGGAAGGTAGGGGGAAGATTTTGGATGTTTAAACAACAATCAAATGCCAGTCTTCTTCAAAAATATTTACATCTAAGACTGCATAGAATGTTGAGCTTGTTTTTCTGTGGCCTTTTTGCACACCTGCAAGTGGTTGGTTTTCATAGAATGTTGAGCTTGTTTTTTGTGGCCTTTTTGCACACCTGCAAGTGGTTGGTTTTCATAGAATGTTGAGCTTGTTTTTTTGTGGCCTTTTTGCACACCTGCAAGTGGTTGGTTTTCATAGAATGTTGAGCTTGTTTTTTTGTGGCCTTTTTGCACACCTGCAAGTGGTTGGTTTTCCTTTCCTTTGGAAGGTGTAAAGTGCCTTTCCCAAGGGCACAAGGTTGGTGATTTAGGAGGATTCAAACCAGGGACCTCTTGGTTCTGTGCCGAATGCTCTGTCGATACACCAAATGACCCCACGAGTACCCACCTGTCCACAGGCCAGTCCCATGCCCCTCTCCCCCATGCCGTGAGGACAGGACAGGTTCAGCTCCAGGGCATCAGACCCTGCCTTCTCCGCCATCTGGGCCAGTTCTATCCAGTCATCCTTGTTATAACTGCACATGATGCTCGCTATCACAATCTGCAACAGGGGGGGGGGGAAATCACATTTCATCGACTCATATGATGGTATATACGACTGGATGGGACCTATACAAAGCTCCTGCGTAGAGCTCAGAACATATCTTGAACACAACATGCCAATGTACACTATTTACGGTGGTCTTCCACGGGCGTTCGAAAAGCTCACGCACCAACGGGTTAAGTTTGCGGGACATTGTTTGTTGCAGAGCCAAGCAAGAGGTAGTCTCGAACGTCCTCCTGTGGAAACCGAGGGGCAGAGTGCATTCCAGAAGTTTGACTTTCACTGACTCTTTGGTTAAAGACACTGGTATTGACTTTGACTGTTTAGAAAATGCTATGTTAGACAAGGATCTATGGAGAGAAATCTGTACTTGCTTCGGGTCTCGGCTGTACAGGCCGACAATAAAGAGATAGATACAATGTAGATACACAACAAGACACTATTTAAATCTGCACCAGGTGAAATATTTCCAATGGTATGGATTATAATAGACAATTCCTTGTTAGGCATTTTGCAGGCAGAAACAGTCAGCAATGCAACTAAAAATCAACATGTACACAGACAATATCCAGTTGCTGGTGTGCCTGTAAAGCTGGTGTGTTACACCAAATGGCAGTTATACTAGCTAAACAAATACAGATACAGTCGAACCTGTGTATAAAGACCACTCAAGGGACTTAAGCACTTTGGTCACTTGTCTATAAACAGGTGGTCTCTATAGAGATGGTGGAATTGGCAGCGTGGTGGCGGGGTGGTTGTACTGGGCGGCCTCGGGCCGTCTCGGGACCAAAAACATGTGGACGCTGGACATATTGGACAGGTGGATGCAAAAGGCAGAATTGTTAACGCTTGAGTCAATGGGAAAATTCAAGGGACCAACAAAAAGTAGTCATAGTGGACAAGTGGTCTCTATACAGGGGTGGTCGCTATTACAAGTTCGACTGTACCATTACAAGTCAGGTGCAGCTAGACTTCAGGGATACCTGCGGAACTCCAGATCAAGTTTTACCTGCATTATCCTTCATAAAGCATTATGATATTTCAAGACAAGAGTCATCTATGCAATTGTTTTCTCACAGCTGATGAAGTACCTTATCAGGGAAGTCCCTCTTGAGCTCAGTGACAGTCTGGCACCAGTAGGCAGCCGTCTTCTCACTGATGAGTTCAATGTTGAGGAAGGAACCCTGCCCGGGACCATAGTGGTACCCTGAGGTGGTGCCCTTTACGATTCTTGGGGAAACGTTGGTCACAATATCCTAGACAGAGAAAACAGCAGAATGTTGAAAAGAAAGCAAAGTATTTACCATTCAGTTACTTCAAGTAATAATGTTGAAAATACGACTAGTATGTAGTTATACTTCATAACTTACACCCCAATGTTCTGATCCCCAATGTCCCAACAACACGGGGTAAGGAGTGTTAAACATAGGGGAATAGAAAATAGATGTGTAACCACTTACACATGTAACATCTGTGTCCATAATATCACCAGGGTCCACAATATCGCCACCTTGAGAAAAAGTGTGCTTAAAGATATTTTTACTGCAACATACCCAAGGTATGTACATTTGATGTGTGAAGGAGTGCGTACCAAAAGTATGTTGCAGTTAAAATATCTTTAAGCACACTGTTTCTCAAGGTGGCGATATTGTGGACCCTGGTGATATTATGGACACAGATTTTACAGCATGTTGACAAAGCACATACATTTCTTGGTCGTGTGAAAATTGTAATTATTCCACTGTATATGTCTGAATAGAAACAGTAGCACTTCAACATTATTACACACAATACTGTCACATGTACAATTTCAAACACCACCACACCTTGTCCAGTGCGAATGTTTTGGTCAGTGCAAACCCCCAGCCTGCCTCGAACGCCCTGCGGATCATGGGTGCGCTGGTGGTGGGCGGGGCGCTGGCCAGGCCGAACGGGTTGGGAAACCTGATCCCACACATGTCCACACTCAGGTCCACCAGGTCTATAGGTGTGTAGAACTTGGGCAGGGCTGGCTCACTGGGGACAAACAGGCCATGTAGGGACTGCGGGAGGGGGGCACAGAGACAATGTTGGTGGAGTTAGTTTTTCGTTTTAAATATATTACAGCAGTGTACAAAATACTTTTTTGAACCAGGTTGCCCAGTGGGCAACCTAAGGCAAAAATTAGGTTGCCCATCAGAATTTTAGGTTGCCCCACCTATAAGTTACTACTTTCCTCAAATTAAGTAATGTTACATACATAAGCCTTTGACAATACAGTCAAACCTGTACTAGCGGTCACCTTTGTATAGTGGTCACTCGGCCGTAGCGGTCAGTTTTTGCCGGTCCCTTGAATTTTTCCCATTGACGTAAGCATTAAGAATCGTGTCTATAGCGGTCACTGTTCAACGCGGTCAGCGGTCACCCCATTCCGGTCCCGCCGGCATGTCAACACCGCCGATAGCGGTCGCGGCTGGCCGTAACCCGCTAAGCACCACGGCCGTAACACCACCCCACCTCGGGCTACGACCGTTATGAGCCTTGTGATAATTTTCCGATCGCTACATTACTAAAATGTGAACTGAAAATTAAACTCCATATGTGTATGAAATAAAGGAAAACTGGCTTTTGACACGAAGTTTCTGCGGTCGCGGGTGTCTTTGATATCTGCGTTTTCCCCAACACCAGTGCCGTGCGTGCCGCATTGAGCTTTCAATGGACTCGGCCGATCGGCGAAGATTACGGCAATTATCTTTACAAAAAAACTTAAGAATATCCATATTTGGTTTCTCGATTCCTTGAAATGCGTAGATATGTGCATAGCTTCCGTTTTTCATGGGCATAATTCAAGAAATTTGGCTCGAAAATGCGTTTCGTATTTTTCCAAGATGGCGCACGTTAGCTGCAGAGGGAGGTCAATTGGGGTCATCGGAAGACTCCACTGTGATGGAGGTAGATAAACCGAGTTTTATTTAACTTCATTAGCGTCAAATGATGTAATTACATTATGAAAACATTTGAAATACATTACTACAAGTAATTTTAAATGTAAATTTAACACTGTAGTGGATATTTTAGAAAAGATATAAGTCTGAAAGGAGAAAAGTTTCTGTTGACTACCACATTGGCATAATGGTAGAGGCAGACAACCCACGCGGGGAGAAACCCAAGCCGTAAACAAAGGAGAGTTTTCGCTAAGTTTTCATGTTCAAAAACGACCAAAAACGGAAAGTAACTGGCAACTGACGAACAATTATTTTGCTGTTAACTAAATAGACAGCATCTTGGTACAAAATAACTTATTTACGTGGTTGGAATTCGCTGTGGCGTATGTCGGTCGCACGAAGCAAGTGTTCACCAAAGAACAAAAACATGGCGATGTCGTTCTCTTCCACTTTTCGACTAACAACAACAACAACTACTAGTAACGTGGCGATTGCGGAGAAACGATGGCGAAAGCGGAAAGACGGACGCCGAACTTATTCCAAAAGGTGGAAGTGATCCGACTGGCAGAGAGAGTGAGACGAAATCGTCGAAAGCTGAGCTTAGAGTAAATGATTTTGCAGTCGATAGAAATTTGTTTGGAGTTGAAAGTTTGTTGCTTGATTTCTTTTCTTTTCTTTAGCCACATGTAGTACTAGTATGTACACAAGAACAGTAAATGACAACCAGTGATTTTGTATGTTTTAATGTGAATGGTTTCATTGTCCCAGAATAGATGAACTGAATATGTTGAGTGTATGTATCTTTGATGTCAAGTTAATGTTTCCTTGCAATATTTCTGTATTTCTTTTTTTTCTCAAGCAAGTACAAAATAAAGTACAACTAAAGCAAAAGAACAACAAATTATTGAACTAAGACATGTACATATAAAAAGGGGTTTACCTTTGCAAATGTATGTATTCATATGTTTCAGAATAAAGACATCACTGTTGGTACTCAAAAGCATGTGTCCCTTTTTTGGGGGGGGGGGGTCAACTAACCGGCTGTTTCTCTATAGTGGTCACCTGGCCATAGTGGTCAAATTTGGCCAGTCCCTTGAGTGACCACTATAGGCAGGTTTGACTGTATGTCTAACAGCCTTTAGTTAACTGATACATTTGTACTAATAATAGCCATTAATACCTAAAATTAAAAGGCATCTGCCAGATACATGTACAGTGGTGCAAGCCAAGTGGGCATGGTTTTTTTGGGGGGCCATTCTTAAAATTCAGGTACCACACTGGGCTACCTAGGTTCAAAAATAGGTTGCCCCAAGTAAAATTTGGTTGCCCGGGGCAACTGGGCAACCAGATATTTTGCACACTGCTACATGAAATTAAAGAAAGCTGTTACTCACCTTCAGCTCACTGAAAAAAGTGATGAATACAGCAGTGATATCTGACACAACAATAGACAGACACAAAGACAACTATGAAAAGTGAGAATCACTGATGAACTACATTTGTACCTAGTTGTCATTTTCGCAAACCTTTAGGTGAAGTATGTGTCCCTTCTTTTCCATCTGTATGGAAGTGTCCTTAGGATAGCTTTGAGAAGAATGAAACACAGTGACAGAAAAAAAGTCAAGGATTCTTCATGAACAAACTGTTATATAGATATACAGAAAAGTGATGGAAACTCGCAACAGACAAATGTTAGAATCCATACTTCTTTCAAAATAGCATCATAAAAGATTGAAGTTTGTAAACAAAACACTCCATGACAACGTACTAAAGATATTGCAAGACTACAGCATCTGTAAATTTTGAATTTTGTGTCTTAAAGCTTACTTATTTCTACAGTGACCTCTCATCATGGGCTTATCACATTGCAAACAGACACTCCAGTCTTCCATTCAAGCTGCCACTACATGCCCCGGCACCATATCTATGTGCCTTAAGGCCAATACGTTAACGCTTTAGAAAAGAGAGAAAGAATTGTGACAGACAGAAAATGTTAATAATGTACATCGTGTCAAAATGCCATTTATGTTATATTTATGTAGTTTTAGTTTCCAGAAATAGACTAGTATGATTGTAAAGACCAAATTGTCATCCTTGCCATACATAGTACCATGTACAACTGTTGAGCAATAAAGATCATTCATTCATTCATTCTTATTCACTGCAGTCTCAACAACACCACTTACTTTTGATTTTTAACATCCCAAAGTGCAAAGTGTACAGTACATGAGTGCAGTACCTGCAGATACTTGTGGAGATGCCAGGAGGCCTGTTTGCCGTCGTTCACACACTCCACCGTGGTCTGAGCCACCCCGGCCAGGTCCCCCCCACAGAACACCCAGGGTGCACTGGTCTGCATGGTCTCAGGGTCGACCTCGGGTAACCCCCACTGGTTCAACTTCACAGGAGACAGGGCAGACACAACTGGGGAGACAGTCAACATTAAACCAGTCAGGCAGCTCAACTTAGTAGGTTTTAAAGAATGACAAACCCTTCAATAAAACTGTTACTGTCAGTAACGTTAATTATTTCAGTTTAGTTAAGTCCTTCCTGCACCAGGTTGTTGTGCCCATTCCCGGTTCAAAACGTCTTGGGCCATATGATATACATGTTTCCTGAATGAAATAAGTATAAAATAACAAAATTAGGAACATATTCTTGATTAATAAGAATACACCTAGCACAGAATTTTCTTGCCACTTACATTTGTTTATTATGAGCTTGGCAGTTTTTTTCACTGGGAAGCTGTATTGGGCGGATAGCTGTATCAATTTCCCCCCAATTCAATTCAATTTCAATTTATTTATTTAACCAGTAATTACAGCTCAGGCCATTTTGGCCTGCTTTTCAGGTAATCCTGGATACACATAAAAATACACACAACAAATACACAGTACATAAACTATTACTAATTACAACATCCTATATATCAACAGTGTCAAGTCCTGCACCTAATGAACCGTTTAAAAATCCTGAGAAGTCCTGCTCCTAATGATCCATTTAAAAGTTCTGAGAAGTCCTGCTTCTAATGATCTGTTAAAAGTCCTGAGACTAAGGAGCTGTCGATGTTGTAGCGGAAGAGTGTTCCACAGGTAAGGACCATAGTACTGTAGACTGCTCCTGTACACCATGACTCTTGCTGGTGGACAGAAGAGTAGGTGAGCGTCGTAGTCCTTAAGACGCCAATACAGCCCTCCTCCCGAAAAGTACTCACTTGCTGCATGTGCAATCACAAAAAAAATGTAGGCTGCAAGAAAAGTCTGTGCAGAGGCTAGAACCCCCCCCCCCACACTCACCCTCAGGTTCAGACAAGGTGGATCCGAAGGCAGAGATGATGTAATCAGCCTTCAGTTTGACCACCTGTTCCTCATCCACGGTCCAGTTCCCCTCGTCATCCTGCTCCGTACGACAGAACTCCATCCCCGCGATGCGACCGTTCTTCAGTACAACCTTCTTGGGCGAGTGGAACGGCATGAACTCACACTTTTCCTCACGGGCAAGCTCCATCTGAGAACATAGTTTACACATAAACATGACTCTCCAGGGCTCGAAATTCATTTTTGGGAATAGGTGCACTGGTGCACCCAACCTAAAAAATTGGGTGCACAAAATTTTCTGTGGGTGCACCATATAAGATAAAATAAGTAGAATGTCAGCGAAAACTAATCATGTTTTGTTTCTAAAGAAAAGTACTACAAGAATGATTTTACTATTTTTCTGACACTTAGATGTTAAGAATATGCTGAATACTAGTACTACAGTTAACTCTAAACTTAACATCTTGACATATACATAAACCTACAAAAAACATTTGGGTGCAGTGCACAGCTCCAAATATTTTGAGCCCTGTTCTCTTTACATTTGACTATGACTTTTATTTACGTCTGTGTGTAAGAAAGAAACTTTATAACCTAAAACGGCCTTAAACTGGAGACCTGTTGGGAAAAGGAAAGGAGGCAAGCACAACACCACTTGAAAAATTGTGACGAAAGACCTGGCTTCCATGGGATTATCCTGGCAATCAGTCAGCTTCGAATACTATGGACAGACCCAGATGGAAGGAAGAAGTCGTGGCCTTGTGTCTCACTAGGTGATGAAGAGAATAAGTAAACACATCTGTGAGTGTGTGTGTGAGTGTGTGTGTGTGTGTGTGTGTGTGTGTGTGTGTTTGTTACATACATTACTTACATTGCATACATACATTAATCTATGTACATGTAAGTTAAAAAGCAAAGCTAAAAACATGGCCTGACCTCCTCCGGTACTGCCCTGATGGTGGTGAAGCCTTTACGGAACACGATGAAGACTCTCCGCGCGCCGCAGCGCAGGGCGGATGTGGCGCAGTCGAAGGCGGTGTCACCCGCTCCCAGCACGATCACGTTACCTGACAGCTGAGGCAGCTGAGACTTGCAGCTACACATGCCTGGAGTCCAGTAAAGTGAAATGAGTGATAAAACATTGTACAATTGGTTTATTGACATTGAAAATAAAAGTGTCCCCATCCAAATTTTACTTTGTTAAACTGTACTGTACCCCTATATAGATATCACTGAAGTCTAAAAAAAAAAGATAATCCCTACCTACCGACCCTAATTTTTTTAGGACTGAAACAGGAAGCACAACATTTTTTTCCTAGGCCTTATAGCCATAATTCTGTACACAATGAACATTACAGATTTATTGTATACTAGTAAACACTGCCTTCAGCTCAAGCATCACAGTTGAAATGACAGCCATATGGATGGATTAATATAATATATGGTTGACTCTCAGTAAGTAAGTATAAAGATCAAAGTTAGAAAAGTGAGTACCAGGTTTGCTGGCAGCTGCCACCAGAGGTAGGTAGTCCTTAGACGTGTAGAAACCCTGTTCAACTGTCAGATCCTGGAAGATGGCAGCCCGCTTGGCCTGGGGGAGACCTGAAAAAAAGCTCTTGTTATTCTTGTACAAAAACTTCCAATACTCAAATAATGATATTAATTTCGACATAGGTATCTACATGTCTGAACAGTATTTGTATTTGGCAGAGTGGCAGAATTATGACGTATAGACTTAGTATCTGAACTGAAATCTGTTCCCATCATTAAGATTTTACAGCCACCATACATGTTGGTGCGTTGGTTTCAAGTGTATAGTTTTTTAACGCTAGACTACATGTACTAAATACATCATCCGTATTCATCCTGGTAAAGAATTGAACACATGTACAAATGTACATGAATGTTTCTGATTGACAACAAGAATTGTGACTTAGCACTGTGAAACAATTATGTTCAGAATTGATGAACAAACAAAAGCCTTACCAATTCCAAGGAAGACAGCCTCATACCCTGCTTCTTTCAGAGACTGCAGTGTCCAGCCCCCCTCCCCACCTAAAGCCTTCCCACATACAATCTGAAATCAGGAAAAATTGTGTCAACAACTGTCAAAATAAAAGTCAAAATAAAATGAATGAGATTCTTGAGGTTAACATAGGTAAGGTTACATTATGTACAAAAATACTGGACACAAAACTCCAGGGACATTTTTGATTTGATTTATTGAAATTGCAACAATGCAATACACGCAGAGCAGAGGCAGCTGTTGCTGGTGTTGTGTCCCGCACATAGAAACGAATACTGGACAGACAATACTCATTTTCACTTGAGTCTAGTGGGGAAAGTCGTATAAAGTGCCTTTCCCAAGGGCACAAGATCGGTGGCATGTCAGGGCTCGAACCCGGGACCTCTTGATTCGAACGCTGCCGTTGCACCACACAGCCCCACACTTTCCTCACCTTGACTCCTAAATCCTTCATCTGGTCCACCTCGAACGCCACCACGTTGTACGGCAGACGGAACTGGGGGATCTCAGAGGAACTGAAACAGAAACAATGTTCGCAACATTTACTACAAAACTTCCTTCAACATGGATCCAAAGTGCTCTATCACTAAAATCTTGTGAGCTATTGCCATGACACAAACTTTGTCTCCATAAATAATTTCACCAAGGTTAGTGAATGATTAAATAGCAAAGTTCTTTATTCACAACCAATTGTTTAACAAGAGCCAACATTTTGGTGACTGTCTGTCATTTTCATTGGGGCTTTATTGTGTTACTGCATAATAGTAGTCATAATTGCCCTGATGAAGATGACAGACGGTCATTGAAATGTCTCTCTTGTTAAAAACAAGTGGTTGTGATCTTTGCTATTCAATAGTTGATGCCCTGTCCAGAGGTGTATATGGTGAAATAATCCCTGGTCAGGTACGATTACCACCGAATAAACCACCGAGTGAGTGTAGCATAGCGAAAATAAACTACAATACGTTGTTTAATAGATGAACACTACTGTCAGTGTCCTGTCCCCTGTATAATGGTACAGTCCAATAAGTAGTCGGTTATTCTAAATAACCACTTTTTTCATTATTCACCACTTATGATGCTACATCCTGATAACTGATGGGAAATGGAGGCTATATGATAATAAACATTCTCATCATGTACCTCAGTCCTCCTATGTAGTCATTCTTCTCGTAGATAGTGAGATCCGTGTAGCCGAGACGTGCCAGGAACGTAGCGCAGCTGACACTGGCTGGTCCACAGCCAATCAGAGCCACCTTAGCCTGGTAACTCTCCGGTAGCTCATCCAGCGGCGGCAGGCTGGGATCCTGGATCTGTGGGATCTTCATCGCCATGAAAGTCTGGATGCAAAAGGAAAAGGAACATAAGTCAACCTCGTATTGCTTTTATCAACTTATTTGCATTTATTTAATTTAGTGTTTACATCAAAAAACATACAAAGTTAACCAGTGTTCTAGCCAACACCCATCTTTCCACCATTTCACGGAATTTTGCTGCTCATGATGGACAAAAGTTTTGTCCAATCCGTCATCTTTGACAGACAAGAATCGTTGTGTAAAAATGTGGAAAGAGATGTCATTAATGTGATTTCTGATAGTCTGCCAGCAAAATTTACCCCTTAAAATGCAGGAAATATCATTTCAGAGGGTCAAGATTTCAAAATTTTTCTGGGGGAACATGTCCCTGAACCTGCCTAGATCAAACAAAATTGAGATGACAGAAAAAGAATGTCATGCTTGCTAGAACACTGATACAAATACACACACACAAAAAAAGCATTTACCTACCTCAGTGGCAAACTGCTGGAGTCCGCCGATGTTGATTGGTCCCTCCTCTGAAGCGAACAGGTTACACCCCCCCACACACAGGTCACTGGTGGGACAGACCATGCCACATGTCAGGCCCAGGGGGTTGTCTGAGAAAATGGCCTTGGCGGATCCATAGTAGTTCTGTTAGAAATACAAATGTATCAAATAATTTTCTGTAGGGTCAGTGCATCACTTTGACCATGCCTGCTGTTACTTTAGCTAGAAATCTAATACTGTAAATCAGTTTGTTTGCAGTAGCAAAAGTTCTTGGTCTAAGAAAATGGACATTGGTTTGTGACATGCAACATGAAAGTAAGTTGCAAAAAAATCGTGAATTACAGTAGTACGGTGGTTATATTTAGATGATTTGTGTCACACTGAAGTTATATCTGACCTGTGGTTTGTTTCTGGACTCAAATTGACGCTCAAGAAGAATGTCATTGTGTAGTACTCAATTACCTCACTAGACGGAGCTGTTTTGTTATTGCAAGTTTCAGTCACTAAGTTAATTGTTAGCATTCCAATGTTTACGCAACAGTTTTTTGGCTGACCTAGATGTTGGGCAAAATTACTCCGTAAAATGTGAGCCTCATGGTAATATCAACAAATCATGAAGTCAGTTGCTACTTTAAATACTCAAGTGCACAAAGACCTTTATCACATGCAACGATATACTAAATTGTTTCCCCACAAGTCTTTTCTGGGGCATAAGTCACTCTGCCAGCCGTACTGAAGCAGGACACTGATTTACAGTCCTAATGTTGGGTTCCTGCCCAAAGGTGCAGGTAAATACAGAGTCAAACAGTAACAGATAGTTATCAGCACACCTGAATGAGGTTTTGTTAAAAGCTGTTTGTCCTGACCGTAACAGGAGCACAATTTTAGCCAGGCTAGACAGTAGTAGACTTTGAGATGATCAAATATGCCCAGAAATTTAAAGATAAAATAGATCCCAATGTTGATTCAGTCAATTATGAAAATTTATATCCCTGACCTTGGGTAGTGGCAGGTACCCACTCAATGTAAACTGTACTTTGACCAGTTCTATTTCACTGAAAAGGTTTCAGGTCGAGTTTGCGGATGTATGGTTGTCCGGTGCCAAGCATAATGCCTTTGTAGGGTTGTTTGTGAATAGGGGAGTGGCGTATTGGTTGACTTCTTCTCTTTGGGGTTTCAATTCAACCTCAGGAGTGTTAAGTAAATTTGACAAAGTCAAATAATGTGTGCGGAAAGAAAAACAAGCAACTCTACTCTCTTACACCTGTGTGACATCACAAAATCTGTGCTCTTGTGACTTTAATAAGTATGTGCACAATAAGCATTGAAATGTGCCGGCATTTTAATGTACAGGTATTACTAAATGAATTAATCTGGTTCATGACAGAGTCAGTGATGTCTTTGGTTCTTGTACATTGGTCCCGGGGTAACAGACCAATAACTATTGTCTAGTATTGGCTATGCAATTGGCTACATTGTACCCAGAAAGACTGTATGTCACACCACACTATGACTGAGTATGAGAGTCTAATGTGTCATAGTCTTTGGCATAGAAACAAGTGGAATTCAAGCTACATGCAAAATGTATCAACTTTTGTGATATGATCCCTTCCCTTTCACAGATACCTACATTCTGAAATTCCAGCCGTGTTGCTACATCATGATAAACAGCAAAGTTCTTTATTCACAACGACTTTTGTTTTAACCACTTGTTTAAGACAAGAGCAATAAGTGGTTGTGTACAGTACAGTTTTGTCACCTTAGTTGAGATACTGCTGATGAAGGTCTTGATGTCCAGCTGCGTTGGACAGCTCTTCTGACAGGGGGCGTCGGCGCACTTCAGACACCTGGCAGCTTCCCGCAGAGCGCCCCGCTCGCTCAGCGTCGTGTGTTTGATGTCGTCAAAGTTCTTGGTCAGATTCGCCGAGCCACATGACTGTGGGGTGGTATATAAAATATTTACCAAGTTAAATCTACATGTGTAAGTCTGGGTGCTTTTCAGGCGATGTGCAAGGAGCCCCAATACAAATCGGATGGCACCCAGGCTACAAATTACATGCTTTTTCAAAATATACAAAAATGTAATTGCTGTAACTCAAACAAGTCACACAGCAAGGCAACAAAATCTTCTTTTTTTTTCAAACAGCAAAAAGTTTTGCAAACTCTTTGCAGATTTTCATGTGCAAATTTTTCACAAAATCCCAACCCTTATGTTACAAAATGTTCTACTGATACTTGCATTAGGACATACAGATTTAGCATGATTAGCCTTTTGGTAAAAAATCTGTGTTAGGGGAACTTAGGCAGCAGGGAGAAGGTTAACTTGAAACTCACGTGACAGCCTTTCTCTCCGTTCCTCTTCCAGTGTTTCTTGTGAGCTTTAGTCACCTTGGACGACTTCAGGGTGGCATGATGAAGAACTCTGGGGTTCAGTGCTAGGATATTCTGTTCAAGTGGCAAGTGTAGGAAAGGTGTAAAAGGTATTAAAAGTGACATTAGTGTCCGTTCGACGTTGGAATGGCATTGTTAAGATGTACGATCTAAAAACAAACACTAAGAATAAAGGAGGGCCTGCAATGCAAAGGGGGGTCCCGGGTCCCGACAACACTCTACGCTGAATTTGGAACCTCCTCGATTATGCTTTACGATAAATTCCAAGTGGCCACAACGCATTACGTAGAATTAAAACAGCGAATACGCTCCACACAAAATGCGCCAATTAAGCCAATTAAGCTCTACGTTGAATTACAGCGGTCCGTCTACACTCTACGTAGTACTATTAAAACGGCCGATTAAGCTCTATGGAAAAGGGCTTGCGGGCCCCCATAAAGTGTTTTTTTTTTAGTTGAAGTCTTAGCATTTAGACTTCCTTTTTTGTGCTCTTGCCTCTCTTTTTTCCTTTCACCTCCGGAGCTTCATATCTTGCAAAGCGGTAGACCCGAGGGAGGAATTCAACATCATCATCCTCCCATCTTTAGTACACAAGCACCGTAGCTCAGTTACACATTCTACTAGTTATAAAATTATTAGGAAGAAAAATCTGGAATACCTATAAACTTGTCTGTTATTAAGGCCACACCAATTTAATTTGTTGGTTCTCAGATTCGCCTCTTCATTTTTTTCTGATTTGCAACATTGCAACAAAAAAAAAAAAAGATTCTGGTTCTGAATCAACTCAAAAATGCTCATATTTTGGCTCCAATGGTTGAAGAAAGTCATTTTCTTCCTACTTGTTACAGTTTTGTCATCTATAATTTATAAATGCAGTGGTTTGATGAAAAGTTCAAAATTCATTGTTTGAATATTAACTCAGCCACAGAGGCTAGTATTCCGGGGTGGATATAAAAACCCGGTGTGTCAATGAATAGCCACAGCGATTAAGTTAAATCATCCAGAAACACCCCTGGGGCTATGTAGCTAGGACTAGCAGAACTCAAATTCTTGTCACACCTGACTGGAGTACTTAAAAAGACTTATAAATGTTGAATACTCAAGCCCTCTATCTTTTGTTTCTTGACAAATAGTCAAATTGTAACGTCTCCTAATTACCTTGTCCTGCAACCTTGATATTCATTCAAGCAGCAATGAATTTGTACTCTCCAAGCAGACGTGGGGGAATGATTGTTAGCTTTTTATATATGGCCGTTTTTTTTTTGTTTTATTTTTTTCTTGCTAATCCCAACCTTCTCTGGCTGATGGATACTGCCTGGCCAATTTGATACTGTCTTTTTGCCACCGATAGGGATCTGCTTGGAGATAAATGAATTTGTTCATCAATGCCCAAGTCAAGCTACAACACAACAAGATCCATGTTTGAAGATGTTGCAACTTATCTGTATGTTTTGTCATCTCCATCTAACTCCATGGTTTTGTCGAAGCTCTGAGTTTTCTTTTTCTGCTTAGATAATGACTTCCAGCTTGTGCTGAACAAAGCAAGGCTGCTGACGTCATCACGTTATGGAATCCTCCCACCCCCTTTTCAAAACTTCGATTTCCGCTGTTCAAACTGCCCTTGAAACGCAAAATTCTACACTTCAAGAAAGACATGGTCTAATATGCAAGCTTGGAGTAACCAAACCCTATGCTCAAGTCGACACCAAAGACTTTTTAAACGATCAGCAACTCTACGTGATCTCATGACAAAGTCGACCGGGAAAAATTTCGAGACGTCCTTCGTCCAAGGTCCAAGTTTGTGCCTTTCCCTGAAAGCCTGCAGACTTATAAACTTCTCACACATTTCCGTAACACGTAGGAACGTTAGGAGTACCTCTATATCAGGAGGATCCTTGCTCAGTAACTTCTGAGTTGCCATCTCGCGCTCGCTGACCGCCTCCAGCACTACCAATCAGCTGACCTCGAGTGAACTTGTTTACACGGTGTCAATATCCCTCCTGATTTGCATAACGTTATGTATACAGTTTGACGGCTCAGCAGTGCTGCCTTGCGGGTTTTATTTGAACTGCAGCACAGTTTACAGTTCAGAATTTCTTTGTTGCTTGCTGCAGTACGGTAACGTTACACTCTATAACATAAAATGGGTCAAATCAACTTTTTCCAGCACAAAACAAAACAAAACAAAACAACAACAGACCTATATGAAAGCTTGCAGTGTATATTTTTGCACTTGTTGTAACGTTACAGATGCTAAGTTTAGCAACGTGAACTGGGGCATATATTGACCGTGCCATATGTGTTTAATCTAGAATATTGTTCACGTTAACGTTAATCTTACACTTATAGATTTCTTTAAAATCCTTGCAAGTAAATATCACATATGTTCAGTAGCATTTGAGCTTTTGCCCTCCGGACGTCTGCAACGGTGAGCAAACAAGAAACGTCAGGAAACAATGTAGCTCTGACCTCTAGTTTATCAAACACAGCGGCGCAATATAATGATTGTGTATAAAACATACGGCCTGTGTTTGCATTGCTATAAATATCGTTCAGATTGTGCGTCCTCTTATGATGGCAACGCCCTGTGTGTTGTAGACTGAGCTTTTACTGAGCACTGGGCAGTATGTTTGCCGTGCGTACATGCTTAGATATCAAGCACTATATTTTACTCAGTACCAGTTCACGGTAGCCATGCATTTGAGGTGGCTTTGCACTGAGACATTAAAACAGTACGATATATACTAATACAACGTACTGGACCCTGTATATGCACGCCCGAGGCAACTTCAGGCTTCGCAATCGATTGGGGAGTATCGGACAAGCAGTGTGTGGACCGCTTTGCATTGTGTAGGGGCGGTTCGTTGTTTTCTGCAAATGGAGCCGAAGAAAGAATAACATACACGTAAGCACGGTCACTACAATATAATATGCACCAGGTGAACTACTTTGATACAAAACTAGGTAGGGCGTGTGAATACCTCCCCGCCCCACAAAAGAACACTGAAAGAGAAACATCTACTAGAAAGGACCCGCGGTTGTTACTAGGCTAGAATGGTTTTGGGCATTGAAAGGCCATATACGAGGCCGAATTAATATAGCAAAAAAGGCACCGGTCCGCGCTAGGCAAAGTCAGAAGCTACTATTATAGAAGTAATCCATGTATTTGTCAAGAGAAGAAAACGACATTACCGCACTGCTCGTGTGCTTAGGTTAGCCCTCATTAGTGCATCATTAACGCACATTATGGGTATCCTTTTTTTCACATCACCAGATAAAAAGAACGCCTGCCTTGGAAAGAAAAAACACGGTTGACTCAAAGGTTTTAATTTTGTTCTTCTTCACAACAGCAAAGCCCGAACATACTGTCAAACAAAACTTTACGATGTTCGCTATAGCAGTGGAATGTCCAGTGTCATTGAGTGTATGTTTACTGAATGGCCGCAAATGTTTTCAAAACCTTTAAGATTACCTTTAAATGGCACAAGAACCCCTTTAGTATATATATTGGACGATCCCCAGACTTTGACACCATGATCTGACCGTGTGTGTTATTTGGATGCAGCTGGCACAAGCCGCTCTCGCTGACTTCAAGTGAAGTCAAGAACATATCCTTTTTTCAGCTCCAGCCTCTCCAATGGTGTTCCAGAATGTGAGAATTTGACTGGTCTGTTTGTTTGTACCGGTAGTGTACCGATTGAGCACAGAACAGTTGTGTTGTCCTAGTATGGTGGACGTGACTGGCCGGTGAGAGGTACTTTAAACAACCATAACCAGGATTCTGACAGGTGGTCGTGGAGCTAACAACGTTAAAGGGCACTACTACGGTGGTACCACAACAACAATCAGGCATGGACAAACAGGGACAGGCCAACCTAGGAGAGTTACTCGTTCTCAAGGATGAACTGGTGGGTAGCTACGGTCACTACATACGTTTGTTTGGTTACAAAATTATTCATTCGTCATGGAATGAATCAGATTATGAAACTGTACGTGAGGGTCATTTTTCTATATCAAAAGGGCAGAGCACGATGACTATGTTTCCCTTGTGCTCTTCTGAGAAAAAATGGTGAGGATTTTGTGTCACGCGTACGTTTTTCATAAAATGTCATACATACATACATACTTTTATTTGGTTTATGTCAGAATGTGAATGCACTAAGTATACAGCCCAGTGACTAAGAGTAAGTCGTGCGTTGTTGACATAAAATAAACCACGCTCTATGAATCAACACAGGTCATAGACAAACAAAGAAATGATCGTTTCAGACAGTCAATTTGCGTCTGAAAAGTGGACATTTAATTCAAACATGGCCTCAGAAAAATATGTAATGTTTGATTGCGATGCTGCTGGTAATCAGCTAGTCTGACTCATTATTGCTCACATAATTGGGCATTACGTCCTGTCTATTACACTAGATGGAAAATGAACAAATATCACCCATAAGGATACACATGATATATAACAGGTACAATTTCTTTCCATTCCATTCCAGACCAGCTTGCAACAGGGTGACCGGCGAGTGCTGACTCACACTGCAGAACTTGAGGAGGTCATTTACAGCCTGCAACAAGTGCACTTCAACAAGAGTCCGCAAAGCGGCGCAGTTGGTCCCATGGGAGAGGTGACATCGCAGGCAAACGGAGATCATCATTGCCAGGACCAGATTCGAAATGACACAAAAGTTAATCATCATCAACCCGTAAAAAGAGTCAGATTTGTTCGTAATTACAAGACAAAAAGATAGTCATTGATCAAATAAAACAACATATTTGTATCTACGTAACGTTACCCACTTTGTTGTCCAATTTCTGGCGTGCATATATAACATGATGATCTTACAGTTATAACTTACCATTATAGACACCAGTATAGACACTAGACACTTAAGTGATCGATCTTAAATAGAAATTCTCGAGCGAGTAAACTATACGTTAGATCAACCATAAGCAAGCAAGTACTTGTAACGTTACATCATTCTCCGTAAACATTACAACAACAGTTAGCACAACATATTAGATTCAAACTTTCAGTAGTACAGAGGGTTTTTGGTCAGCACTTTAGATTGTTGTTCCCCCAAGAATACTAAACCGAAAGCCTCACAATACTGTCAAAATGTAGTTGCAACAACGTAGTCAAGGCTTTATTTTTTTAACGTGCAATAGCGCACCTAGTAGGATATAAACGTACTGCAGGAATGAGAGCCAAATTCCATTGCATGACGGGAAGGAAAAAAGGTCACTTTTTGTGGGCGCCATGTTGGAGACCTTGTAGGAGGAGTTGTTATTTTTCCACCGAAATAAAACACAACTTTCCGCCGACATGGGGGCCGTGATGACCCACAATTACAAGGCCTACTGGTCAGAGGCGGACTACACTCCGAATCCTGAGAACATGCCGTCTTTTGACCCCAATTTCGGCTTCCAGGAGCCGAGAGAAGAACGAGGTAAAAATATGTTACACAAATAATTTTTATAAGGGTCATACTCGGTCATACTCTAAAGGTTCGTTCAGGACTAAAGCCTAAAAAGCCTAAAGGACTTGAGGGAAGTATATTGGAATTTGTATAACCATACACACCCCCTATTAAACCAAAGCTAACTAACTAGCACTAACAACTTGCTAGCTTTTATTTGTAAGTTTGTCATTTTGCCAGGCTATTTCCAAATTATTGAAGTACTGTAGAAAAGTTGTCATGAGTAACTTATTAAAGGCATACAGAGTACAAGTAGATAAAAAGAGTTTTTTGCCTTTTATAACGTATGACATCTGCTGTGAAAATAATATGTCAGATGTCATCATTTTGTGTGACGTGTACTATAAATCAATTACTAAGTATTTCTGTAATGGTATAGCCGCCCTTCGGCCGCTAACACACCAGCTTTTGTGCAGTGTTGTAGATTACAAAGCATAAAACAAAATGAATTTACTGTAGTAGAAGATCATGTAGGAACAGAGTACATGTAGTCATCCTTACATCTATAGATTAAAACAACAATGAATTACATCTCACTTTCCTCCAACACAGTGATGGTAGCTACACAGAAGGAAATGGCGGACGCGAGGGTACCGATGAAACTACGGGACTACTGCGCCCACAAGTACATGGCCTGGATGATGTGTCGACGTGACCACATGCCCAACATTTGGGCCTGCAAACACGAGAGGCACGAGTGGGACCAGTGTGAATTTGACGAGTGAGTTGTGTATGAAACGGAAGTTATTCTGAAGGCATGTTTTAAGTTAAGGGTTTTCATTTGAAGTTTTGTTGATGTGATGGTTTCTGACTTAACCCTTGTCCCGCTGGCATTCCTGGCACAATATTTTTCAATAATTTCATGTCTTAATTAGATCATAGGCCCCAAAACTTTTTTGCTCTGCAGTGGCATAGTTACTTCCTGTGCATGTGCGTTGTGTTTCGCTTCTGTGTGATGCGTTGCACGAGAAATACCCCCAAATCGTACCTACACAAGGTGTTATATAGATGGTACTGTATGTGCAGAACAACAATGGTTAAGGACCTAAAATTGTCACTTTGATCAGTCTCCAAGCAGACGTCGGGTTGCTTGAAGGTTTTACATTTTAGGTAAGGCCACACCAATTTAATTTCTTGGTTAACGGATTTTTCTACAAAAATAATGGAGCGGGCGGGCGAAAGAAAAATAAAAATAAAAACAGGCCTAGGCATCCTATTATGGCCCAAAATGGTACGATAAGAGCCATGAAGTCAACACACCAGGCTGGTTCAAAATTTTGACAATGAATTTTGAACTTTTAATGATACCACTGCGTTGAAAGATGGAATGATTTTAACAAGAAGTATGAAAAGGATTGTTTTCAACTGTTCAGGGCAAAATGTGAGCATTTTGCAGTTGATTCTGAATTTTTATTTTTATTTGCAAATCAGAAAAAAATGAAGCGGCGAATTCGTTAACCAAGAAATTAAATTGGTGTGGCCTAACGGTATCTTGTAAAACCTTGGCCATATGCCTGGTATTATTGCCTGGTCTTTTGACCAACCAGTCACATTTGCTTTTACCTGTTTTTCAGTTGGGTACATCGCATGAAGGAGTGGGAAAGGGAACGTCGGCTACTGAAGCGGAAGCAACTGAAGAAAAGACTGGAAGCAGAGGAAGAATGATGAAGACATCTGCTCTATTCAGACATCTCTCTCCCCATTCTTTATGATACATCATTCAATACAGAAGATTCTTTATTTGCTATGTGTAACACATCATTCTCCATACACAACAATTGCATCTAGGAAGTCTTGTCCAATATTTTATCAAATGATTTAGACATGTTAGATACATACCCATTCCCTCTCAAAAGAAAAATTAAATCTTCATGGAACAACAATTCTTTTTGTTTACTGAGTATGACACATTGAACTGTAGTTCTGAAGTAGCTGTGTGCCTCAGTTGTTGATATGCAGGTAAAGTGACATTGGTTTTGATCGCTCATTTACCTGTTCATGTACAGTACAATTACAAAGTATGGTGTGTGGAGTAAACACAATAAAACACTATAGAAATGAGTGTGGTCTTGGTTTGGTTTCCTTGTTAATGCCCACGATCATGATATTGATCATTCTGGCATGCTCATTTTCACCTGAGTGAAGTGAGGAAATTCGTGTAAAATGCCTTTTCCAAGGGCACAAGATCAGTGACAAGGTAGTGTTCGAACCCGGGACCTCTTGGTTCCGAGCCGAACACACTACCGGTACCCCACACGACCCCTTGTTATCTATGATATGTTTATTGACAGCTTAGAGCAAGCTAGAATAGAGCTAAAGACATCAAGTTCATTCATAGTTGAACAGAAGATGATAGAGGAAAATACGAGCATATATTTCCCTTGCAACAGCCTGTATTTGAGTTCTGAGCCATAGAACAAAAATTTAAGCTTCCAATCTTCTACAGAAAATATTGAAGAAAGCATGGAATGTGGTTTATTCCACCATACAAATATAGACTGGCATTTCCATCTTTTTTACAAGAAATGCATTTTTACTTTCCCCCTCAAGAACATTCAGAATGGAATGAGGGCCTGCAAGGGGGGTAGTGATTACGAATTACGCAAAATTTTCGCCGCATATTACGAATTACGTTAAAGTCTCAGAGGTGATTACGACTTTACGATTTGCGGCTAATGTCCAATTACGAATTACGTTGATTTTTGCGGAGGCTGCCTACGAATTACGAAGTCTAAAACGGCCTGATTACGCCTTACGAAAAAGGGCTTGCAGGCCCTCTGGAATCGACCTCCACTGTTGCTGTGGATCTATCCATTAGATAATGGGGGTGGTTTTCATTGTTTCTCGGGTCTTTCTTCATCTTGTACACGTAAAACACTACATAATTTCTGATTCAAAATAGTTTAAAGTAGCCAAATACTATGTTACCGTAGTTTTATGTACATTGGGGCCATTAGTACATGTTTATAAAGATAGAGAAAAGACTACATCATTTGAATGCCCCTTCTGATGGAAGTGAGACAATCCATGGCTACTGGCGGTCTGCAGACGAATTTTGAGGAGATCTAGACCAAGCGAAGCAAACGTTCCCACTCATTCCCGAGCTTGCCTGCGGTTATACAGGTAAGCACAACGTTGTTGGAAGCTGTGAGAGCTTGTTTGTATTTAGTAGCGTTGCTTTGATATGTGAAATTATTTGACCCCGATCCAAAAGTCTGTGGTTTCTGGCGGGATCTCCTTTGTATAACGGTCCCTCGCACCATCTCCTTCTATATATATAAACTCCAAGCTCGCACTGAAGGCTAAAAAATTTGAAGACATTAATTCGTTCCCTCGGGGTGGTTAGGTCGTGGTGCGTTTTGATATGCACGAAAAAGATGTTTGTGTGCTTGGATACGTGTTCACTAGCGTCGACCCGACCAACCTTTGACCCACAGCGGCACGGGTTCGCGGAAAAGGCTGGGTAGCCTGCAGGCTAGCCTGGCAGGCTTTTGGGTTTACGGAAAAGGTGGGCAGGGCTAGGGATACTTTCCAGTGTTTTCAATTACTCTTGAATCGGGCTTATTTTGCTGGTAGTCTTATATGTAGCTATATATAGCTGTATGAGGGCTACATATAACGTATACCAGCAAAAATATGTAACGTTATGTCGGATTCAAGATAATATTAAAACCATGCGAAATACTAAATGTTCAAGTTGTGACAGTGCAGTTGGGTTCAAGTACACCACTAACTGATCCATTTCAATGGGTCTAGACCTTTTGGCATAGTGGTTAGCGTGCTGGTGGGGTGAGCTGGCTGCACGGGTTTGGCGTGGGTTCAATTCTCGGCGTCCTGGGAGTCAGGTGTTTTCCTGTTTCTACTCGCTCTTAACTGTTTCAAATTTAAATTTAATAATTTATAAGATATGCTGATGAACTAAAACAAACAGTATTTTGCTCATTGCTGTGTATGTAAGGATAATGATCACCTAAACCTCAAGTATTTTAATACTTGAGGTTATGATGATTAAAATCATCATCTTTTCTAAATGTTAAATGCTAAATATTCTTTTGGATCTTTCCCCAATTTCCCATAGCAGCGATGACGACTGTCCTGCATGATGCTGCTGACTATTACACCTGGATGGTGGAAAATGGAGGTATGCAAATAATTAATATTGTTTGATAGCAAATAATTGCTTGAGCCGATGTTTGAAATATTGATTGAAATACATTTGTATAGATTATGATTCTGATAATTGTCAGTTAACAAACAATGAAATGAAATGGTGGAACTCAAAGCTTTAAGTTTAAATTAAATAGATATATTTTCTGATTTTCTCCTTTTCTTTACACCAAAAAATTTCAGATCCACGCACAGATCCATGGTTCCTGGTGTACAGCCCCCTCCCTATCTTTGTTCTGTTTGTCCTGTATGTACTACTCTGTGTCTATGGGCCAAGGGTCATGGAGAAGAGACAACCCTTCAACCTCAAGACCATCATCATTCCATACAACTTTGCCCTAGTGGGTTTGTCTGCGTACATGTTTTATGAGGTAAGTATAACATGATATTTAGATGTAATGTTTAGTTATGATTGTGACAACACGCTCTGTCTATTCTCCGGTCATCCTTCTACCTCTTGGTAGGATTCCAACGAGTTAACACCAACCACAATGCCCTAATCTCCTGGTTTATTCTTCAGTCACTCAACAGACCTTCTTCAGGCTCAGAAGGTTCTTTTTCTACTCCTTTATTCATGTGCCCATATGTTAATTAGGGCTTCTATTCTTCTAAGTTCTAAACTATCTAACATGTATACATGTTACAATGATCACACTTATGCTAAACTTTAAACTGATTTTAGCAGATGACTTTTAGAACAGTTTTAGTATAAGAAGCATGTTGCACTGTATTTCTTCACGCTCACAGTTTTTCTTTACAGGTTTATATTACTGAATAGAAACACAGTATTACTGTATTACTGTGTGTTTTTTTCTTTCAAAATTGAACCTGTGGTCATTTTCACTCTACACTCTACATATTAAATAGTGTACACATTGATGTAAGGTACAATAATTCAGTTACGTCAAAAAACAGTTATTCAAGCAGTTAGATATGATTTTGGAAATGGTCAGACGTTTCAGGTAGCATACTAGTAATAAATCAGTATTTTTTTCTCTCTCGCAGTTTCTTGTGACAGCTTGGTTGTCTGGATACAGCCTAAAGTGCCAACCCGTGGACTATTCCACCAACGATCTTCCTATGAGGGTATATTAAAATCTCTTTATTTAATGTTGTAGTTCATCATTTATACACTGTACTATGGTACGCTTTGACTGTCTTAATTATCCTGGTTTGGTTATTTTATGATGAAAATGTTAACTTACTGATAATCTAATCTAATCTTTGTCTGTAGATGGCCAGAGTATGCTGGTGGTTTTTCTTCTCCAAGGTTATTGAGTTGATGGACACAGTAAGTTCACCACACTTTCTGCAATATTTTTTTTTCTCAGTCTAATAGCAATGTAATAATCTAATACTAGTATTTTTCTCAGTCAAGTTGCACTGTGAGAAAAAACAGTCAATTAATATTAATGGCATCTTCAACTCTTCATTCATAACTTCCTTGATGGAATCTTTTAACATGTATTGTATAAGTTGGAACACAAGTTGGATCACTAGAGATTGCCTAAGTCTAATATAAGAAAGAAAGAAAGAAGGAAGGAAGGAAGGAAGAAAAGAAGGAAAGAGAGAGAGAAAGAAAGAAAAAGAAAGAAAGAAAGAAAGAAAGAAAGAAAGAAAGAAAGAAAGAAAGAAAGAAAGAAAGAAAGAAAGAAAGAAAGAAAGAAAGAAAGAAAGAAAGAAAGAAAGAAAGAAAAAAGATAATCCCTACCTACCAAACCTAACTTTTTCAGGACTGAAACATGAGATTTTTCCCTAGACCTAAGTCTGTCCGTTACAGGTGTTCTTCATCATGCGGAAGAAGTCTAACCAGGTGACATTCCTGCATGTGTATCACCACTGCACCATGATCATCAACTGGTGGTTAGGGGTCAAGTATGTAGCCGGGGGACAACGTGAGTAACTCAGCATTATCTACTGTACAATGATTCAATGGCTAATGAGTCAAACGCTCTTCCTTGTTGCAACTGAGGCTCACTTGTGTTTCAAAGGTACGTAGCGGTGAGGCTCCTTCTTATAATCTTAATGACGTTTTCTTCACCCTAATGGAGAGAAGTATTGTTTTTGGCTTGTGTGTATGTATGTTTGTGTGTGTTTCTGTGATTCCCCATACATGTACACACAATGCAGTATTGCCAGGTCTAGACATCCTCAATCCTAATATTTTTCGGTTAGGACAGTAAGAGTTACAAAGCAGATTGCCTTGTTAGCCCTTTATTTGAAGTAATCTTGTATTATTGTAGCAAAAATAGCCTATGTCAAAAATGCTATGTATATAATATTGAGATACCACTCTTTTACTAATATGTTGATGACTCTTTTGTGTGTAACAAGTACCTTTTCCCCGCAGCCTTCTTCCTTGCCATGTTGAATTCTTTCATCCACACTGTCATGTACCTGTACTACGGCATGGCTGCCATCGGACCACACATGCAGAAGTACCTGTGGTGGAAGCGGTACCTTACCTCCATGCAGCTAGTAAGTACATAATGTACCACTGTTATTCTGTTCAATATTATTTGTTATAAAAAGCATGCTTTTAACCCTTGCCCTGCTGGCATGTTTTACACAATATTTTCATGTCATTCAATAATTTCATGTCTTAATTAGGTCATAGACCCCCGACTTTTTTTTGCCCTGTGGTGGCGTAGTTACTTCCGCATTTGTTGCGTTTCGCTGTGGTGTAATGCATTGCACGAGAAATAGCCCCAAATCGTACCTATACAGAGTTCTATATAGATGGTACTGTATGTGCAAAACTGCAAAACAACCGTTGTTTTGCAGTTTTGCACATACAGTACCATCTATGATTGTTGGGCTCCGCAGGACAAGGGTCAAGTCCTTTCAGTAAAAATATCATTTGTACTAGAACTTATGATAATGAAACTTTGTGTTTTGTGATTATATTAAAGCTAATCTTCTAACCTCTAAGATTTCACAATTTCAAAAGACTGTTGTGGCTAATTTATGAGATACTACATCAGCCGATAGAAAGATAAATTTGATAATTATATTGTGATAAAAAACCTAATAGTTGCATCATGTTTTTATCCTTCAGAATTCATGTAAAATGGTCAAATTTGGTGTGTTTTGTTCTCCAGATGCAGTTTGTAGCCATCCTGACCCACACGACCGTGAACTTCTTCTCAGACTGTGATTTCCCACAGGGTTTCAACATTGCTGTCATGGCCTACATGGTGTCACTCATTATTCTCTTTGGCAACTTCTATTACCAGGTAAGACAAGGTCAAACAAGACTGGCAATGAAAACATACATTGCCATGGCGACGGTGGTTGCTGTTAGGGTTATTGTTTGCATGGCACTGCCATCATTTCATGATTTTGAGGAAGACTTGGTACCTGTTAAGTCTAGACAGATACAGTGCACTCCCCCCCTGAGTGTATAGTGAACGAGCCCCGGGGTCACAGAAAGTAGGGCCATTTGGGGCAGAGAGGTCTTCCCAAGGGTTTCTAGGAATGTGGGCATAGATGTGGGTCAGAGACATGCCTGTGGACAAAATGCCTGTACCATTCCTAGAAGTCTTGCAAACTGCACAGAATACTGTACCATTAGGCTCCTCCCTGAGACGTCACCAAAAAAGATAACAGCCACAATATTGAAGGAGGGGTTCATTCACAGGACATGTTTCAAAGCTTGTTTGTTGACGTCATTGTAGTCCTTAGGAAGTGTCTTGTGTAAGGATATACCAAGTGCTTGTCTGTAATGTCTAATTTGATTCAGTCACTGATTCTATCTCAATTTTGGTTTCAGGAATATGTGAAGAGAGCCAGGCAGAAGAAGCAGTAAGCTGTGGGCATTTCATACTTGCAGAACTCTTTTAAACCTCAGTCCCATCTACCAGAGCCAAGTAATATTGCCATTTGAATGGATTCTTTGATTGTACATTTTTATTGTCATCTACTTCTCAGCATGAATTTGTTTCATCCCAGACCTCCAAAATTTCATCAAGCTATGATAGATAAATTAATCATGCCAGATATAGAGATTACGTAAGTCAAATGTCTAGTTTTCCGTAGCAGATACTAGTAGCATCATGAATAAGCCACAGTTAGGGGCATGTAATTATTCCAAATTAAAGTGGTTTCATAATTTGATGGTCTTATGATTGTATTTTACCTACTGATGTTGCTACTATTTAAAAAAAAAACTATGAATGATGGTGCATTTTGTGAAAGTTTGAGATTGTTCATAATACAATTTTGGATATCAGTTATAATTCCGTGTGTTTTATACTACTGTATAAAACTGATGCAGATAAACTGAATAAATTATTATAGATTTTAAATTCTTAAGTTGTTGTGTTATATGTCAACTTGTCTGCCATTGACCAGGGATGCTTATTACTTAAAGTGAAAAACACACCATGTCACTGAAATAGACCATTTATTGATGTCTTATATTGCTATTTACTCACACAATTTATACAACTTTTTAGGCTTCCACGGAAGACTGAATACTCCATATTCTGTAATCTGTATGCTTAAAACAACCATTGAGAACCTTCACAAGTATATACAGTTAGTGCTAATCTCTTTTTCAGACATATATACACATTTTGTTCAAACAATCAGTGACAAGTGCTTTAAATTATGATACAGTCAAGTATGCTGTTAACTTCACATGGTGCATAGAATTCGGGCACTATATACAAATACAAATTGGCTGGAATTCATTATATATCTGTGTTGAACTATGGCATGCTTCGTCTGAATTGCCTCAAGCATAACTGCTACTTCAATTTGTTAAGAACCATCAGCATGTTTTATATATGATGATGAGGACAAAACATTCAGCATGAGAGACTGTGCTACATATCACTTCTCAGGCTCAGGAGAGGCTGGTTTTCCCTCACCCTCCTGTGTAGCCTTGTCTTCCATAACCTTGTCTTCTGTAGCAGAGCTAGGCTGACCGTGCATGGCCATCACACCCTCCCCCTCTTTATGCACCACTTTGTGCGCTGCTAGGAGATGTTTCCTCTGCTGAGTCTTGACCTTCTCTCGCGTGGTCTGCTTCTGAACCTCTGGTAGCAGGAAGGAGTGGACCAGCTCGGACACGATCTCCTCTGATTGCAGCTTGGTGCGGCTCTCTTCGATCTCGTACGCGATGTCGTTGATTTGCTCGGCCTTGCGCTGGACCTCCTCGCGGGCTTGCCTCTCTGCGGTGGCGTCCACGGACCCGATGATGATGTCCTGGAGGTAGGTGTCGACGGTTTCCTGGTGAACGCCGATCACCTGCTTGAAGATCTCGTCTTCCTCGCGGCGGCGACGCTCCTCGACCTGGCGACGCCCGCTTTCCTCTGCCTCGCGGATCCTGCGCTGGCGTTCTGCCAGCATGGAGAAGGCGTGGATGCGGCGCTCCTCCTGAAGACGGATGAGCTCCTTGCTGAGGAAGTCCAGCATGTCACCGATAGCTGCGCCCTCCAGGTCTGCCAGACCCTCGTCAATGTTGGACTCCTTGTGCTGGTGCATCTGCCTTTGGCGCTGAAAATAACAGAACAAGATATCAAACATTTGTACCTAAAATACTAACAACAACATCCATCACATACACACATGATTCTGAAATAAGAGACAACTGATCATGAAGGTCCTTGTATCTTATTTTCAAACAATAGATGATAAAGATATAATTTTTCAAAATATGCAATGCAGTCACATTTTGTTGTTTTTCTGTTTTGCTTTTTCGTTTAAAGTACTAGTATTTGTTTGCTTTTTACACAAACAATTCTTTCTATTTGACACAGATAACAGAAACATGGGTCTGAAGTACAGTATTTACACAAACATTTTTTTTTCATTAACTCCTTCCTAACCCAATAGATTGTTCTTATTACCTGTAGTGTAAGGATGGCCTCCTTCTCAGACTTCTTCATCTGCTGCTGCGCCTCCTGGAGGGCGTGTGTAGACTGCAGCTCCAGGATCAGCTCACGCCTCTTCTCCTTACCCTCAAACATCATGTTCTGTAAAACACAACAAAAAATCAGTTACAGTACTTTAGACTTCTGAAAGAGGAAATTTCTACATCCTAGTAGTTAAAACTTAGACATTACTATCTCTTCTTGGTCATCTTGCGGATGGTCTTGCCAATGGGGAAGAATGTATAGAGGAAAGGGATGATTTTTTCTTACATTTTTGAAGTAACCTGGGTGCAATCCAATGTGCAATGGGGCTCCTTGCACTCGGCATCCAGGCTAGCACAATGAGATTGTTAAAGTAGATTTTTCTCCTATCAAAGCAAGATAATGTCTACAACATAGAATCTATAATAGAGTGTCAAAAGTTGGCACTGACCTGGACAGCCTTGCCCCGGATGAGTTTCTGCAGGAAGATGACAGCCAGCTCCTGATCTTCCTCCTCCTGTGATGGCACCTCCACTGACGGAGTCGGCGGGCGGGGGATGGGCTTCTCGATCTTCTGCAGGAACCGCAGGGGTTTGGGCGCCTCGTCTCCCTTCAGCTTGTTCTTCTGCATCTCCTCGTAGATTTCAGCGAGCTCCTTCTCGCGCCTGTTCTTCCTCTTGACATAGCCGTCCTTCCCCACGACGCTGCGCTGTTTGGGGGCTCTGATTCGCGGCTGGGTCACAAAGTCTGGTAGCGAGCCCTCCAACTCGAGGAGACCCTCGTATGTCGTTAAATGGCGACTCTTCACGACGTACTGCTCCGACCCCCTGTCCAGGAACACGCCAACTCTGGAGATGGGGGCGTACGTCTGAGAGGCGTGGTTCGAGTAGTCGTGGGTGATGTCTCGACGCTCCACCTTCCCTTCTACGTTAAGGCGCTTCTTGGTCAGCTTACGGATGGTCTTGATGTGCTCTCGCCTGATCCTTGTCACCTTGTCTTCTTTGTGCTGCTGCTTCTTGGTCCAGAGCCGGTCCAGTCGCTTGGTGGTCAGCTCACGGTGGTTCTGTTCTCGCTGCTGCAGCAACTTCTTAAGGACTTCCAGGCGGGCTTCTTGTAACTTCTCGATCTCTGCCTCCCGTATGGCCCACTCTTTTCTCTCCTGCTCGTCCATCATCTTCCTCCTCTTATCCAGCTGGGACACGTCATTTAAGGGTGGGAGTGTCGCCTCCCATGCTCGCTTCGCTCGTGCTCGTTCGATCATCTCTACCTCGGCCAGACCCGCGGGGAGACCGCGCCCAAAGGTGAGCGTGGCCAAGGTGAGAAGCTCAGGAGCAGATCCAGGACGGACCACATACTCAGGGGAGTAGGGCTCGGTCTGAGTCTCACTGTCCCTGTAGTCAGTCTGTATTGCCACCGTGCGAGTCATGGGGGTGGGGCCGGGCAGCTTGTTGGGACTCCGGAGGGGCGAGGGGGTCGACTTTGTTGGTGGCAAGCAGCACATCAGGCGGGACTTGTTGTAGGAAGGGGATGATGGGGCGACGGAAGTACTGATACCTGTTCCGTCCGGACACCTCTGCATCGGGATAGCTGACCTGTGGGATCTGGACACTCGGGTCGTAGTTGAAGGTGGTGTACCTGACAAGTGCCTCCCGCGCCTGGTCTGCGTACCCCCGCCACTGCCTGTTGATGTACGCCGGTACGGGGTCGGTGGGCCTCCCAGACGGACAGAGAAGCGAGGGTGATGTCGCAGGCTGCTGAACATCGTGTTGTATTCGGGCACACGTTTGATGCGGTCGACGCTGGTGTGCGCCTTGAAGGTAGCCCGGGCATGATCGCGATCACTCGACACAGAAAACAGCGGATCGTACAGGTAATCGTGGGTCCTGGACGGGTTGGACGCCGCCTTATTAATCGTCTGAGTCACCGACATTTTGTCGTAGACTTGAACGATCCGGTTAAAACGCTAGAAAACTCAAAACTCGTCTTCTTTTCCTTGCAATGTTTCTAAACAACGATCTCTCAATGGAACATGGAGAGGACGTATTTATCCTGCAGCAACCTCGCTCCCATGGAGACCGGGCATGCGCAAAAGGCTCTGACGTAGCCCTTTCTTTTGGCGTGTGATTGGTGGAAATGCTTCAATTTTTCCTGACATTCTGGATTAAAGCCAATCAATGGAGAAATATTTACTTCAAACCACCAATCGTCTTTCTACCTTTCTAGATTATGGCCAATCACGCTAGAGTATGCTTTAGACGTACGGAACACGCCAGGTGGGCAAGACAAAGTCGCGTGCAAGGAACGTTTCGAAGCACCAAAGTTGTATTTTGGGCCACGTTACGCCCTAAAACGTGACGATTTTAGCTCCGAAAGGTTTGTAAAAGAAGCAGAGGGACGCCATGGTCAAGCTTACACCGGAGTTAATCGCGCAGTCGGCGCAGTATGTCAACGCCGTCAGGGAGTACGAGCTCGATCTCAGAGGTGTGCATGTCAAAAGTTTTTTCCCGCGCATGCAACAAAATTTGATGAGATTTTGGTGCTTGTTCTAAGTCCCTGCTAACAAACAATTGTAGAATATGAATCTTTGATCTCTTCATATTGATGCCAGCCATATTTTGCTGTATCTTGTACGATAATTTTGAAAAATTGGCATATACTGTGCTGTGGGGGGGGGGGCTGTTGTTTTGGGCTTGATAACGTTATGATAATTTTCAGACAAAAAGGATATGAGACCATGATTTTTTACCTCCATGCTGACACAGCGAGTATGTTGTCAACGTTTCCATCTTTCCTCCAGGTTACAAGATTCCTGTGTTGGAGAATCTCGGAGCAACTCTGGTGAGTAGATGAATATGTAAATGATGAACAACAAGAAACTAACAAAATTATGAGTAGAATATTAACGTTAACGGGAGGGGTCCTAATTCCGACCTATGTTCCATGCAAACGCACATACCTTTGGTAATGGTTTGTCTCACCAAAAACCCGCCTAACACGAGCTATAATATTTACAGATAAAGATAACAACGATTAAAGCTAAATAGCTGTGTATTTCACTTTAGTGTGGCGCCTTGCACCCAAGCGTAATGGTTCGCGAAACTTACGGCAGGTTTTTCGTCATTCTGCCGGTGGAACGTTCTATCGCAAAAGGGGTGCCCTAATTCCGACCTAGTATCTAACAAAGGCCAATCTGAGGAGAGAGTTAGGTATCTAAAATACACAAATTATGACTAAAACAATCTATAACTATTTTTCTGTCCCAAACTTGCTTCTTTGTACCATTACGCTACTTGCTCCAAAGCGGCTGTTTCAAAATCAAAGCTGCGTTTTTTAACACGCTCGTCAACCCCCGAACAAGCGTCGAATTTATACAGATTTTTCAATCGTCTGTTATCGGAGCGTGCGAACTGGAACAAACTTTGTGAGAATACCGATATCAACACAGAAACTTTGTCCATTCTTGTGGTTATTTATAGGCACGTGCTCCCATGCATAGCGCGGCGACAAGGATTTTTCAAACTAGTACGGAATTAGGGGTAGGTCGGAATTAGGACACCCCCCGTTACCCTATAGTTTGTGCAAAAGTCAAGCTCAACACGACAAGGCAGATAACAATATATATTTAGATTTTTTATTCATTAATGATAATTGATGCTGGACCAGTGAGTGTATGAGTGTTATTAAGCCTGTTCAGACATATTTAAATCTATTATTAATATGGCATTATGCATCAAACTCTTTTGCACCACAAACCATCGAAAAAGCATAACACTTTGTCACAGTCTGACTTGACATCATCTTGTTTGCAGGACCAGTTTGACACCATTGACTTCTCAGACAATGAGATCAGGAAGCTGGAAGGTTTCCCCCTGCTGAAGAGGCTGCGCTCTCTGCTCATGAACAACAACAGGATCTGGTACGACTCAGGACTAACCGACTGATACCTTAGCAGGGTTCTCACCAGGATTTTTTTCACAGCGTAGGGCCGTAGGGGTCAGGTTGACTCGGGTACAAAAGGGCGGTGCAAGTTGCTCATTGAGGGGGTCCTGCAAGGGGGGGTCCCGACAACTCTCTACGCTGAATTCGGAAACTTCTCGATTACGCTTTACGATAAATTCCAAGTGGTCACAACGCATTCTGTAGAATTAAAACGGCGAATTACGCTGTACGCAAAATGCGCCAATTACGCTCTACGTCGAATTACGTAGAATTAAAACGGCCGATTGCGCTCTACGGAAAAGGGCTTGCGGGCCCCCATTGAGTTCCAAAATCTTGACCATAGTAGGGGATCTGGTATTCACCATTCTCCTGAAAAATTTTGAAACTCGTAACCCCGTGAGACAACATTTCTCACTTATTGAGGGACAGATTTTGTGATGTAAGGTTTTCCCTTTGTTATGGTTTCATTCTAAAGGTGTAATTTCATTATTTTTGAAAGATTTATGAAGGTTCTCCCCAAAAAAAACACCCCTAATGCCCTATGCAAAAGTTGTAGGGGGCTAAACCACAGCATAGGGGCCCCTATGCTCAAATAGCCTAGTGAGAACTATGCTTAGACAGTGCACCTCTACCAGTATCTTTTCAGGGTCTCTAAGTTCAGAAGTCACTACTGACAAGACGAAGTTCACGTTTTAATCTGTAGTGTTCCAGTTCTAAGTTTGACTGCATATTGGAGTTGATCACATGCTTTTTAACATTTAATCATTGTAGCATCAAAATTATTGAATTATCCAGAGTGACACTTCTCTATTGGCAGTATTTTGTATGTTTATAGATCATGATGTGAATGAGTATGTATGATAGCCTGCAATACCGGGCCAATCCTTGTGTACTAACATGTACCTCCTGTTGCTGATCTCCTACAGTCGTATTGCTGAGGGTCTGGAACAGAATCTGCCACGTTTACAGGAATTGATTTTGACCAATAATAATGTACAAGAACTGGTAAGCTGACAAGAACAGATACCCACTACACTTGATACTCCATGTCTGGTCACAGAAGTGATATCCTTCTAGTTTGAAACTGCAAAGTACATGTACATGTATACACTGCTTTTGGGTTACTCATAAAATCTATGTGTCTGTGCATACGTATGAAGCGAGAAAATTCCAATTCAAGCTTGAGTTTGGGACCTTTGTGCATATACAGTAAATTGTTTAACTCAAAGAAAGAAGTGAAACAAAAAAAAAACAAATAGATTAACAACTTTTAAGTTTTTTCTTTCAGCTAGAGTTAAGTTGTTGTTGCCAACTTGCCTTTTTCTTGGATGTACTTCCTCACATTTCTACTCTAGGGAGATTTGGATCCACTTGCAGCATTTAAGAACCTGTCACACCTGAGGTAAGTATGTTCATCAAATTCATTAGTGTGGAGTCTGGTTGTTTTTTTAGCCATAATAATTAATCCACTGTCCACTTGTTTAAGAGTAAGTGTCAGATTCACAAACTAGTGCAGTTATAGTCAGTTTTCTGTAACTCTGTAAATATAGAATACAACACGGGGTATTCCGTATCGGCCCGACCGCGGGTCGGATCGCGGGAGGGCCGGGACTGAGGGAGATGCGGAATACACCGTGTTGTATTTTATTTATGTCATACCCACCCAAGAAAACGCGCCTTTCAGTGCGAGATGAGCCAAAAGTTGGTGAACCTAAACCCTCAAATGCAACATCAGTTCCAACGTTCGGATTCTGTATTTGAATTTTCGAAAGTGGCGCACGCGGTTAGGGCGAAACGCGTTCGAATTGTGATATGGAAGCCATGGAGCCAGGGCCGTACCGTAAAGTACGGCCCGGTCCGGAACCCGTTATCGAACGTTATTGCGGCCCGGGTATGATATAAGGCAGTTGATATAAGGGGCATTATGTAATATTTTGGCCTTAAAACTGAAAATATTGTTGAGAACAAAACTTTCTCATGAGTGGGATATAGAATGACTTTTAGCATACAACAATTGCATCATTATTTTGTATTTATAGTGCTTGTGAACTGTGCAAAAACAAGGTGTGCAACAATGTGTAGATGTTGGCCATTTTTTTCTGCCACAGTTTGCTGAGAAACCCTGTAACCACCAAGGAACACTACAGGCTGTACGTCATCCACAAGATTCCCCAGCTCAGAGTACTGGACTTTCAGCGCATCCGACTCAGGGTTAGTGTTGAAACACAGCTTACAGTGTGGTCACATAAACTCTTAGTCATTTAGGTTGCTATACAATTTTGATACCAGATGGCATAAGGATATAAGATGGCCTTTTTCGTAAGGCCTAGGAAAAAAATGTTGTGTTTCCTGTTTTGGGGGGTGGACCCCTGCAAGATACATATTATAAATGTTTCAAGCTGATCAATCTTTTCTAGCTCTTATGATCGATCTGACACTTGTGTAATAGAACAGTTTTCCAACATTGACATTGAAAATATAAGTGTCCTGATGCCAATTTTAGTTTGATAAACTGTATTGTATAAGTTGGATAACAACTTGGATCACTAGAGATTGCCAAAGTCTAATAAAAGGCAAGTCTTACCTACCGACCCTACTTTCTTCAAGACTAAAACAGGAAACACATTGTTTTTTCCTATGCCTACCAAGACAACTGAATTTTGACTATCCCAAAAATTTCCCCATGAAGGTTCCTTGCTTCACATCTGCTTGACTTTCCTTCCAGGAGCGAGAGGCAGCGGAACGAACATTCAAGGGCAAGAAGGGAGAGAAGCTGGCCAGGGAGATAGGCAAGAAGTCCAAAACGTAGGTTATAAAGGTTGCTAATGATCTGTTGAATCACAAATTATCTATGGATCTCCAACATTGTCTGTAAAGGATTGCCCTGGAGTTTGAGTAGTGGTTGAAAACTTTTGAATACGCTTTTATGTAATTTTGATATAGTTGGGGTAAAAGTAAAAGGTAGTAAAGGTAGTCCCATACTATAGCCTTTTATAGGCTTTAGGAGCACATCAGCAGAATGTACTGCACCTGCGCGAACCCCGATTTTTCATGGACGTTTGGTCAACATCTCAACAACGTCGTCATTTGCAAACTACAGACAGGATGTTAACATTATTTGCGCGAATATGACCTAATATAAGATGTTCTGCCGAAGTTCTATGCATGATACATAACAGGCTTCGTGCAGGTGCAGTACGTTCTGACGACATGCTGGCTGTAGGGGCAGTGGGGTTCTGTAGGCATATGATAGTGTTGGGATATGGATCCCATCAGTGATCACTCTCCTTCAATAACCTTTTACCTCCCCAACTGAAGTCAGCTACCCATTTTAAACCTGAGGAAAATCATGTCGTCAAGTTCCTTTCCCAAGGACACAGCATCTTGCCAGGAATCAAACTGCTGACATCATGGTCTTGTGTCCACTAGCCTAAGAAACCATTCCTTGATGTTAAACTTAAAGCGATTATAGATGTGTAATGATAATGCTGCTAACATTGTCGAACATTTGTATGCAGGTTTACCCCAGGAGCCCCTATTGCTGGTGTGAAGAGAACAGGACCCTCACCCCAGGACGTGGAAGCTATCAAGGTAAAGAAGGGATCATGTTACAGTACCAGTTCTTCTTTGTGTTTCTGCCATGGCTCAAAATACCACCTGCATTGCATATGCAGGCTAGTACAGGTAAAATTGGAGCTGTGCAGGTATTTCTGATGTCTACCTGCGCTTAACCTGTACTGGTCCATGTGCTGGGTATATGCAGGTTAGTGCAGGTAAAATTGGGGCTGTGCAGGTATTTCTGATGTCCACCTGCACTGGGCCATGACATGACCAGCCTTAGACACTAGGGGGACACATGACCAGTGGTGGTCAAAAACTGATTTGCAGTCTTTAAAGTAGCATCATTGAAGACAGTAGAGAATGTAGTAAAATAAAAAATGGTGCCACTTGAATGATGTTTTTTGCAGTACCTTTCAATTTTTTGTAATCGACCCCTAGGCAAAGAAACTGTAGTGTAGGTAAAACCTGTCTGGTGCAGGTAATTTTGACTGCCTGCCTGAACCAGTGAAGGTATGCAGAAAAAAGCCCTGGAAAAGTCCCAAACATGCCCGAAAAGTGACAACCTTGATTTTTATATTTATATTTATTTATATACTGCTGCCATAAAACTTAATTACTGCTAGCATTGTAGACTATATATGCAAGATATCCTATTGTTGACCACTGAAGTGTATTTTCTGTTTTGTGATGTGATGTGCAGAAAGCCATAACTGAGGCCACATCACTGGAGGAAGTGGATCGTCTGCAGAGACTACTGCAGGCAGGACAGGTACCAGGCAAGGACTCCAAGAGACTTCCCAGAGCCGAAGGTAACAAAGTAGTAGTGCTGTGTACGGCCAGTTTGTTACAACTTGTTCCGGACATGTAAAAATATTTAGCTTCAAGTTAAAAAAAACTGAAGGTCTGGAAACAGTTCCAGACTATGAAAAAAATCATGTCACATTTCCCTTTTGATCTAAACCATCTGAAATCTTCAATAACCAAAAAATCTGTGCTGCCAAAACATTTGCGCCAGACCTGAACCTAAACCTCTGGACTTGAATCCAGAAATTGACTTACAAACTACAAACTAGACATTTTTAGAGATTAGACTTTTGAAATTACTAGTCTTTATGATATTTGTGTAGTTGTAGTGATTGTCTAATGAAATAGTGGTGAAATATTTTTGACATTGTTTACATTTTTATTTCCTATCGATTTTCAAAACTGATTTATACCAACTCGTCTTGTTTTCGTTATTTTTGCCATCCATCTTGTATCTACTATGTATTGCTTTTCTTTTGTTTCCTTCAATGTATTGTTTTTTATGTATTTGTTCATCTATGTTTGTGTCCAGTTGTCATTCTGTAGCTATGCCTATGCATTGTTGAACTGAAAATTTCTAAAACTGTCTTGTTGTTTTTGTTTCCAAAGGTGGAGTAGAGGAAGAAGAGGAAGACATGGAAATGGACATACAGAATGGAAAGTAGTCATCATTGATGACTCATCAAACTTCAAAGCTTTTTGTTTACTAACAATATAATATACGAGATGTAAACAGGCTACTTTGCTTAAGCAAAGGCATCAGTTTGATGAATATTTGTATACAAATTATTTTTCGAACACTTTTGACATGTACAAAGTTAGGTTTGTTCTTTTGTTTTCCTTGTTGATTTTAGTTCATTAACTACAACCTTTGGTATCCTTTCGGATGGATTTTCCTGATCATACCTATTTAGAACTAGTTTAACCAGTCGAATTTAAGCTCAAGTCAAGGCCTGTAACTAGTGTAAGGAAACTAGCCAGTCCATGCCTAAGTTATGTCAACAGTTTAAGGTAAACTGTGATGAAAAGGATACTTTTTTTCACAGTTTAAAGGTATTGATGAGCATGGCATTGTATATTCAGATACTTTGACTTTAGGGGGTAATGTAAAGTAATACTTATCATTTTCCTGGCTATCAGATGCGCCATCTTATAAAAAGATGGTCAACGGTAAACTGTAGGAGTATTTCTGGCTTAAATAAAGACATCAGATAAGATGCAAATGTCTTTTTTGTGCTGTTCATATGTTTGTTTACCTATCTGTGACCATCTTCTATCAGAGGTACATGTTACCTTGCTAAGGACATATATTTACTGCGATCTGGCAATCCTGGTTATGTACAAGTCACTGTTATACACAAAGATAGTTTGCAGGGCATGACCTGGTCAAAATCATACCTGCTCCGTGATTGCCAATATGACACAGTGGATAACAGCGAAACACCTTTAAAAGTTATGAAATAAAGACTAAACTTTAACTGCCAAAACTGCAATGAATTGGGACTTTCCCCATATTTTCGTCTGTCTCCTTCAACCTTGTTCACGGAATGGATCCATCTACTCTCGGAAATTGACGTCCGAGACCAAGTGCCAATTCATTGCAGTGTTGGCAGTAAGGTTTAGTCTTTATTTCATAATGACTTGTACCAACTTAGATGAACTTTCATGCTACATGTAAAAGTTGTCTACTTCTACATGAGTATTATTTACAAGGACCTCACGAAATCTTAAGTACTAGTATATAAAAATGCACTTGATATGTTCTGATATGTTACAGTCTAGATATCATGATCCTCCAGACAGAGGACACACTCATTCATCTGAAGGCTTTTGTTCTACAGTAGTGTCAAGAATTCCAGCAGCATCAGGCCTATCAATGTCTATCAAGGCTCTGTGCACTTGTTGCACAGTTGGTGTTTGTGTATTTGTAGCATACATGTCCAGAACCATCTCTGTTGGGTTGTGCTTGCTCTCGATGTAGCTGATGTCCTGGAAGCACAGTCCCAGTTCGTCAGCCAGCATCCTCCAGTTGTTCCCAAAGATGGGCGCTGGAGGGTCCAGCAGGATGGACAGATGTTGGATGGTCTTGGTGTCCAAGAGGCCATGGCCACCTGTGTTAAAAAACATGTCAAATATGTCTCAATCCTTCTCTAATGGTCTGGGTATTCCAGTGAATTTTGTTACACTATAGCGCACTTGAAAGGTAAATTGAGATGGAAAATAGCAACATACTTCTCAGCTCGAGTGTTTTGCTGCTCCCGTCCGGCTTCATCGTCTGGGCAACATCCAGTGTGGATTGCTGTTGAGATGAAAGGGTGCTTTGCAGTTAACTTGTTTTATATCTTTTTATATCTCTGCATGCTAAAAGCTACACGTGTGTGCATATCCAGACAGTGCATACAAACGGTATTAGGTGGGAATAACATTAACATACATGTAACGTTATCTGTACTTTTTTCTGGCAGTATGTACAAAATGTACCTCGATGAACTCACATGTTGTCCTAGGTCCACGTCAAAGGCTTTACCTCGGCACATCAGAGTTACTTTCTCTCCGGATCGTGGGAGCTCCTCGTCATGTCCTGATACCCTCAGGATGTGTGGAGGGGCGAACGAGCTCTCTCCCTCATGGTTGTTGGATGAGCTGCATGCTGGACATGGCAGTCCCACTGTGTAGTTCAGGTAAGGGAAGTCCCTGTCTCGGATCTGCTGCAAGTCCTTGTGGAGTCTGGACAGTAGAGAATGAGGACCTCTGTTCGGAGCACACTTGACGGTGACCTGGATCATGTTCTGCTGCACGGATTGACACACCAGCTCCACTTTGTAGTAGAAATCGTGTCCCTGGTAGAATCTACCCACATTTCTGTAGACATCTCGGTCAGCACCACGGCCAAGGTCGTGGGTTTCCTGGGATCTTGCCAAACATCGGGCAAGCAGGCGGAGAAAGATGGCTTCGGGATGGAACTTGTAGAATTTGAAATAGAGAACCGTGTCCGATTCTGCAGTGTTCCAGAATGCGCCACGACCTGTCTCCACTTCCCTGGCTTGGGTCTCTTCGCGAGTCTCGAGAAGCAAAGGCACGAGATACTGCTCTTGTGAGATCGGACAGAGAATGTCAAATCTCTCGAACAGTTCGATGGCGGAAAGGAAATTCTCCGCTGTCAGGAATTTCCACACTCTACGCAAAGAACTGACATGGACGATTCCAACGTCATGATCATCACAATCAAACTCCACAAGCTCAACGACAAGCTGAACCAAAGCTTTCAGATTCAAGACTACGACATCACCCATGACCTTGATTTCTCCGATTTCGTCGTAAAACTTCAGCATCTCTTCAAACTCTTCTCTTCCTTCTTCAGCTTCAGTAACGCCTTCCTGTCTCAGTTTGTCAAACAAGGTTCGTTTGTCCAGGAGACACGTGTCAGTAGACCCGGATTTGTACTTGCTGACGAAGTCACTGACTTTGAGCCACTTGATAGGAATGTTTCTCTTGGATTGGAAGGATGAAGAGGCGACCTCCATGATGGTTTTTCGCAGGAGACGGGCCTGTGTATCTTTTCGAAGGGGTATGGAGTTTTCCACACAGAACACAACATCATTTTTGCTACCTGGTTTGCCCACTATAGATTGAGTAAACGTCTCATTGCTAAGCAACGCTTTGCTTACTTTACTGGAGTAAAACTTTCTTCTATCTATCGGCAAACTGTGTGCATGTGTTCCAACAATGAAGATGTGAGGATTGGGGTTTTGCACGTGGGCTATCACAGACTGGACCCAGTAGCAAATACGCCTGATGTAGTCTGGCTCCAGAGCTAATCGTTCCATGTTGAAGACAATAAGTTGAATTGAGGAATTGGATAAAAACAGATGGTGTGTGCAGTGATAGACAGTATCTCCAGCAAAGTCTATCAGGGTCAACTTAAGAGGCAAATCTTTAATTTTTCTAAGGGCTTTCGCGCTGCTGCTAACTAGAAGTACCGGATAACCTCCTATCTCCTGAAAGGCCCAATATGCCCTTTGTATTTCTACTTGTAGAATAAGATACATGGCGACTATGTTTGGCACTATGTAGTACACATCTTTCCACGTCGATGGCAAAACCATCTGCCAGCCAAACAACCAACACAATCCAATGCCGTAGACAAAACCTATCGGACCCATAACTACTTGCAATTGGAGACCACGACGATAGGAACTGCATAGGTTTTGCATGGTATGAAAGGTCGCGTAACCTGTTGCTCCTGTAATGAATCCAGCCACGAAACTCAGCTCGTACTCCAACGTTTCACTGCTGCCGTCAACAACGTCTGTTAAACACCACGTTGTTAGTAACACCACCAGTGAGGCTGGCACCAGACACCCACTTGATGACGCTACGATGCCACCAAGTGTGGCCGCAACTGTAAGACAGTCATACGGTAATCTATTTAAGGTTAAAGAAAGATTGGAAGCCAAGTCATCAAAATGTAGCTGAGAAGGTGAGCACATGAGGCAGAAGGCCAGGGCCATGCCGGGTCTGCCGCCCACAGGGAAAGGTATCACAACCACAGACGTGATTACGATTATAAAAAGAGCAAACATAACCCACTGTAGGTAAGGGTAGACAGTCGACTCTGGTTTGTTTCCAAATGCCGAGAAGATATCTAGTGAGATATTCCTTGCCCAGAGGTTGACTAGTACGACGTGTACTAGAGTTACATTAACACCATATATTCTGGCGACGTTGTAACTCTGGCCGAACAGCTTGAAAATCCCCGTCGTTAATATAAGTACAACACCAAACCCAAGTTGAAAACCGACTGGCCCCGTAACCATGCTAGTCACTAAAATCGTCAGTGCGTAGTTTAAAAACGCAGTCACAGCTGCCTGGGGATTGACCACAGACTCAGCCTCTTTCAAAATTTCTTTGACAACATACTGGGCGCGGCCGGTGTCGTATCTGCTGTAAGGCCCTACATGTACAGTTTGCCAACATTCATTGACCTCCGTTACATCTGTCTGTACCAGGTCAAACTCAAGCCCTTTGGTCGCTTCTTCAGCGGGATCAAACGACTGATTGAGCAGGTGTTTTTCCAGGCTTGTCTTACCAGCTCTGGCATCTCCGAGCAGTGAAACAGTACTGTGTCGGGCTGGTAGACTACTTTGGGGGGCATCTCTTTGAAAGACGTCCCTTGCAGCGGAGGAACCTGCCAAGTGATGCGGGAGAAGAAAACTCAAGTTGAGTTCACTGTTTATGGTCTGTCGTGTGTGACTGGCGAGAAGAGACCTCCTCTGTACAAAACTGTGAAGAAACAAAAATAAAACAAGGTTGGGAATAATAATCATTACAATGGCAACGGTTACTAGGTTAGGATTTTGTGTCATTTGTCTTTTTTACCTTCGCCAAGAAGGTTATGTTTTCGTCGGCATTCGTGTATGTGTGTGTGTGTGTGTACATGTGTGTGTGTGTGTGTGTGTGTGTGTGTGTGTGTGTGTGTGTGTGTGTGTGTGTATGTGTGTATGAACACGACGATAACTCGAGAAGGCTACCATGGATTGTCCTGATATTTGGTAGGTAGGAAGGTCTTGATGAGACCTCTGAATCATTAGCCCCCTAAACGGCTTGTTATGGTACTGCAGTTGACCTTCCGGTTTTGATATCTCATTATCTAGACATGCATGGTCTTGTGCTGGGGAAGATGTCACGCGAGTTCCCCCCCCCCTCCATCCCCCCAGCGGCTTGCTTTGAAACTGCAGGTGCGGTTGTTAAAAATATTGAAAAGATTGATAACTCAAGAACAGGTTGACGGATAGTCATGATTTTTGGTATGTAAGTAATGTTTGACATAATTATGTTAAATTATGCAAATATATGTGCAATCTGTTTCTTCCACGGAGATATATGTAGGGTTGCCGGCTGGAGCTTCTATTGCGTGTGATCTACGATTGATCAGAAAATACCCCCCCCCAAAAAAAAAAAAGACCGATCCGGGAACGCCTGAAAAGGAGGCTAGTGTAGGTAAGGACTCTGGATGTTGTGATTTATGATGAAGCATTTTGTCGGGTCAAACGGCCGCCAGGGAAAACATTTTGCTCTCACTGAAAGTTGAAACTACCTCTGTCCCCTCCTACTGAAAATAATTCTAGTCTGCGGATGTACCGTTAAACAAATATAGTAATAGTTAACCTTTTTTTTCTGTTGGGAGAGTTTTTCGCTGCCGAAAACTCGACCCAAAGGTTGGACTGCAAATCAAATCCGACATTCTGGCGGCGCGCGGCGGCAGTCGGTACGTGTATCATGTGAACCCAGGGTCCACATACAATGAAGTACTCCCCACTGTGGCTCTTCCAGCAGCTTGAATAGTGAATTGACCCCCATAAACACATAAACACATAAACATCCCAGGCTGTCTAGTCTCTTGAAACAATGACAGGGACAGATTAGCATAATACCGGTCGATCGGATTCAAATATTTTTCCTTACTGGTTTTCAAAGTAACATCACAAAATTATGTAGAATGATCAAGATAATTGTACCTAAGTCAAGTAATCAAGAAATTAACTATAATGTATCAACAGCTTCCAGTCTTTGGGAAATCAACCCTGTGTTCAATTTCAAGTTTTATAAAAAGCCCAATCAGAGGTGTCAGTATTTATATTTGTAATTTGAAAATGTCTTCCTTACAGCTGAATTTGCGTTGACAGTCAGTGTGTCTAGAGACATGTCTTCTATTTGTGGTGTCCATTTGGTGGTCTAAGAAAACAGATACAGCATGTACATGTAAACTGGAGCTCTGTTAGAACTGTACAAGTAATTGAAATATTAAACTGCATTAGCCAATGTCTAACCAAGGCTCTGACACTACCAGGCAGAGTTTGACCAGCCAGTGTTGTCATTATAATATTCTGGATTTGGTGACACTAACTTCTTACAACAGTACTTCAATTCCTATTCAATTCCTTATCTGTTGTTTTAGAATGTTGAGAAGAGAAACTTGTCTTGGTCACTCACAGTCTTAATAAATTTTAGCCAGGTATCTGCCCATGTTACCACCACGGTAGTCAGAGGTAGACTGAGGTCCGGTAGTTTATGTTAGCCGAATTTTTTGGGTGATTTTATAGTACAACATGCAAGCCCCGATCCCGCGCTGATTGTGACGGACGTGTTCGAAAGAGAACATGTCGGGGGTTCGATGTGTTCGATCTAAGAACAGTCCATTGTAGCCTGCTGGGTGCCATCGATCCTTCGTAGTCCCTAATGTGCCCTTATGTGCCCAGCGACATTAGGGAGCGGACGGAAACTACGGAAGATGGCACCCAGGCTATAGCTACAACACTTAATGATCTTGTGATCTTGTTGCAAACGTCTCAACACCTGTTCTTTCTGACAAAAAGGGAACAGAAAGGAAAAGATATGGAGAGAAAATCTCTAAATCACGACCTCAGTGACGATGGAGGACACGTCATTCGACACCAAAGTTATCATGTTTTTGGGTTATGACGTTACACAAATCAAAAACTCACTTGTCTCCCGTTTCCGGGGTCTCGCGCGTCTTTCCGGGTGGGTTAGCAGCACTTATTTGCGCAGCCATCTTGGCAGGAACTTCAGTAAGAAGGCGTACGACAACAAGTGACGTCGTTCTGTACGGCACAGTGCGCGGATAAATTGGAACGATCCATCTCAACCACAATGGGGGGTATCCTATTTTCCTCAAAGTTTGCATGTAATACCTATGTACAAATAACTTTCATTTCATCGTCACCTTTCGTACTCTCCTTTGGTTATAAAAAAATTAATGATCTGGTTGCCTCAAACATGATACTACTAGTGGTACCAACTGGAGTGCAGCCCGTCTTCTCATTTTACCATTTTGGTACCAGCCATTGAAGTGTTCCTCTTTCACAATTTATAATTCCGCAAACATTGGGTCCTTAGCCTGTGTATACAAGCTCTCGGCTGGACGTTAATGACCCCCACCCCAAGGGGGGCGGCAACCTAGGGCGGCGGCCGCCAGGAGCGCGATTTAGTCAGGCTATTGGGTCCTTAGCTCGATACATCCAGTATACCCGTAGCCAGGGGGTGGGGTGGGTTCGGGGGTTTCCGGAAGAACCCACTACCCCTTATAAAGGTCCAACTTGAAAGTGGCTGATTTGTAGTAAATTGTACCACCAGCGGGGCTGGGAATCCTAGTATGCTTATCCTAGAACTGCTCAGTTTGTCATTGAATAAAAACATGGAGTTAAAATCAATCTTGATTTTAACTCCATGATAAAAAGTTATCTCTGATTTTCCTTTGAAATGTCATATCATAACATAAGGTTCAATTTTCAAAATTGTCCGGGGGAGCATTCCACCGGACCCCCTATATCCCTTTATGGCCCTATATATGGGGGGGGGGGAGGGCAAGCCCTTTTCCGTAGAGCGTAATCGGCCGTTTTAATTCTACGTAGAGCGTATAGGCGGACCGCTCTAATATTTTTGCGTAGAGCGTATTCGTTTTAATTCTACGCAATGCGTTGTAGCCACTTGGAATTTATCGTAAACCGTATCACTAAATCGAGAGGTTTCCGAATTCAGCGTAGAGCGTTGTCGGGACCCCCCTTGCAGGCCCTTCGGCGCTTGCTGGTCCGTCAGACAGTGGAAAGAATCCTCCCAATGAAAATCCATTCCTTAGCTCTATAGGGAATTTCGCTATAAGCTCCTGGCTGCAATATATCAAGGAGGTTTGATTTTAAACATCCTTGAATATATCCATAACACAACCACATTTGCTCCACGTGGACCCGCATATGACGTGGCACTGATTTGCATCTATCCCCGCAAAGCACTAACGGTTCCCCACTGTCTAATCGTCCCCACATGGTCGACTGACCCACTTTCTAAAAAAGACAACAAATATTGTAAATATTTTGCTAATTATAAAATTGGAGCCAATTAGCAACTCATTACACTAACGTAAATTTATCAAATGGATTAAAATGTATTACTATAACTATAATAGCAAGATAAGTAAATTTTTCTTCGGAAACTGAACTTTTAAAAAACATTTCCTTCACACGACACCCCTATTGTAAACATTGGTGGTTTGCCCCGGGGTCTGTTCCCTGTCTGTGGTTTTGGCAACCGGACACCGCAGACTGATTTGCATGCAGGGTAAGCTGACACACTCTGACTTCTCTCCCCTTCGGTACAGACAGCCATCTTTTCTCGCTCCCCAAAAACGCTCCTAAAAATGGTCCTCATGGCTGCGATCCTCGCTGCCGTCGTGCAGGTACTGGCGGGACTCTCTGCGGAGGAAGTTCAGGTCGAGGTGACGTTCACGCCGGAGAGATGCACGTTCAAGTCCGAGGAGGGCTTCTTCCTGAGGTACCACTACAACGGGACGTTTCCAGACGGCAAGAAGTTCGACTCCAGGTTGGTAGAGAAGAAGCCTACGTGGCACCCATGGAAGGGGGAGGGTTCTTAGCATCAGTGAAAAATCATATGCGTCGACTTTTCTCCTCAAAGTTACCTCGTCTTGCTTGCTAGATTCACCGTTTATGAAGAAGACTGCGTCGTCTGAAACTTGATTTTTGATAGATCTTGACGTTTGACTTTACAGAAGGGACACGATTATGTTTTTCTAGACCAAAAAAGAGACCCCATTTTGGTGCAAAGAGAAACGCCACATAGAGTGAATAAATTTTGCAAGAAGGGTAACGGTATGTAGCTATAAAAGTTAGATCCAGCTGCCGTCTGACTCCGGGTGAGAAAAGAGGATGTCATGTAGACTAACTTTTTTAATTGAGTAGGTGCTGATGAATGATGCTTTGATGGCCTTTGATGTTTTACCGGTACTTTTAAATGGCATTTTGTTCTTTCTTCTTTGCTTTGTTCACAGTCTTGTTGGTTGTGTGAATTTATTCATCAATCTCAAATTCTAGACTTCTGCTTACGTATACACAAGTACCCCCCAGGGGTAACGTTACGGTGCCACATAGGCAGTTTTCTGACCCCCGTGCAAGGAAACCCCGCTAGCGGAAACAACGATCCGCCCCGTCGCATTCTTTGCCAAGTTTCAAACTCAAGTGCCTCCGCAAATAATTTGCCTACGATGGCCACTCTCAACTAAGACTTTACACAAAATGGTTATTTTTTTAGCAAAGCCGTATATTTGCTAAACGTTTGTGTTAGAAATTATGCATTCAATTATTACCACGTCGACTGTGTTTAATTAGCGTAATTGGGACTTGTTATTTTGGCCAGATGCCTATTATCTTTAAAAGTTACACATTCTTTCTGGTAACCCCCAGTGGCCTTTTGCATATATTAATTTGTAACACTTGAAGTTGAAACTGCATAAGTTATGCAGCGTTACTTACTTATACATGGACTGATGGTGTAGAAAATTTTGCACATGTGGCACAAACTTGACCAAGGAGGTTCCCTACAATTCTAAACCTCCTTGGTAGCAACAAGGACATTATACTTCTGTACCATAGAAAACAATGGACTGTAGATGCATAGATTTTGCCATTTTGCAGTATTGTAAGACACTGTTTCAAACACTTTCATTTTCTTTAAGTAAACAGTCCAAGTACTAGTAAGTCAGTCTAAGCTTTTTCTCCAAGCAGATGTTGGGTTGTCCCCAGCATTATCTTTGTCAAGTCAACCTAAACCTAGTGGTAGTGATGCGTACCGGTTCACTGGACTTGGATCCGGACTTGTAAGAATGTACAGGTTCAAGTCCAAAAAAACCTAAAAGTCAAGAACCGAGTCCGGACTTATTACCATAAAAGACAATTTCACATACCCCTTTTCTTTCCAAACCACCTAAAACCTTCAGTAGATTGCAAAATCTTTGCGGCAAAATGAAGAAAACATAATGCCATCGGGCATCGTCAAGTACTGGCCTCCATGTTATGTGGCCAAAGTTTCACCAAGACAACATTGCAAGGTTGCCAACATGCAGTTTTGTATGTGTCTTGGGGTTAGGTCTGGACTTACAAGTCCGGAACTGAACCTAAACCTCTGGACTTGAATCCGGACCTGAACCTAAAATTGAGTTTAGGTATGCATCACTACCTAGTGGTTTGCATTTTATCCCCTGGGGCCCTAGGATTGTAATGCAGCCTGCTGTTAATTACAAAATCTACCATAGTACTGTGACAATTACTGTGGTGATTTGAATAACTGTGTAATTGCAAAAATAACAGGAGCTCCTGTTACCTCTGCATGGGGCCTCATTTCTTTTGTCCACAAAATAAGGCCATGTTGATTTGATAAAAAGAATCTATTATTCGCCAAAACTCTGTGTGTTTACGCCTTTGTTTAAACTTCATGACTACGTAGATTTTTTAACAAAGGAAACTTTTTTGGGCCAAATATTTTTTATTCACACGCATTAGTTTTGGGGTTCCCAGAGGATGTCATCCATATATATTAATCAAATGATCATGGCCTAAGCTGGGTGCAAACACTGCAAACACTTACAGTATGCGTAATTAGCCAAACTCAGCCAGCTTTACTTCTTTGGTTGTGTCATGAATTTCTGAGCAGATAATTATGATATCGTAATGTACGTTTTTAACATTTCTCTGATGACATGTCAGTTCTTAGCCAGTTTCTGCAAAGGTACTGTGGAGGTGCTCAAGTTGAGTACCAAGAACTACCTTTTAATAGTACAAATGTACATGTAATAAGCCATCAGAACAAAAACATGTTTTTTTTTTTTAATATGAAAGAGCCCAACCTCTAGTGCTTGCTAAGTAAGGGGTCTATGAGTATGAATCTGGTCTTTCTTAGTCTGCAGGCCATAGCCTGGTTACCATTTATTTTAGGCCACACCAATTTAATTTGTTGTTTCTCTGATTTTTTCAGAAAAAATATGAAGCGAGTCAAGCGACAGGGCGAAAAAAACAAACAGGCCAAGGCACCCCATGGTAGCCGGAAATGCCATGAAATCAGCATACAAGGCTGGTTTATATTTAGAACAATAGATTTTGAAGTTTTATTTTTTCAACAACATTAAAAAACTTAAACAACTGGGAAGAAAAGGACTTTCTTCCAACCGTTGGGGCCAAAATATGTCTTTTGATTGATTCAGAACATAAAATCTTTTTTTTTTTGCAAGTGAGAAAAAAATGGACAGTGCAAATCCGAAAAACAACAAATTAAATTGGTGTGACCTTAGCTCCAGCTTAAATACGTATACTGATATTATAGTAACTGGTTAACCAGGCTAGCAGGCCATTTCATAGTTCTAGTACTTAGGCAACAGCTTAATGAACTTAACCTTGCCTTTGTTGCTAATTTGGCTTTTACTTTGTTGTGTTTTCCCCACAGGTGTCTGACATGTTGTTAAATCCCAGTTGACCCCATTTTTGTTCAGTCACGACCGCGGCAACACCTTCGACTTCACCCTGGGCAAGGGGGAGGTCATCAAGGGGATGGACCAGGCACTGAGGGGGATGTGTGCTGGGGAGAAGAGGAAGATCACCATCCCTCCCCATCTGGCATACGGAGATGCTGGAGTTGGTGTGTAACATTGTTCTAGCCTGGTGTCTAAACCTGTTATAGTTCTGTCAGAAATAGGTCTAACCCCAAACGAACTAAAATAGGTCAGAAATTTTCCAATTTGTAAATTGGTTTCATGTTTGCACAAGTTCTGTTCTTCACTATTGTTTCAGTAGCAAAATTTCTCTATGATTCCACAAATTTTTGTATTAGGCTCTCCCTTGAAATTTACATCTAAGCATGGTGATCAAAGTTGTGCTGTAGTTTATGCAGGGTGAAACTTCAGCCCCTCCAAAAATTTGGTGAACTTTGAAGCAGACTCAATGTGGAAACTGATAAGGTGATGCTATGAGTAAGAATCATAATTCATAACAAGCTGCTCATAACAAGAGGGTAAAGCATAAATAAGCATGGTTCCATGAGTTAGGGGAGCTCTACACGCGTGTGTTGATGTTCTTGTTGTTATAACAGTTTGATTAGCTAGTGTGATCACATGCGGTGCTGCCATGAATATGTTGTTAGTACTAACTTACTTGTACTTCACTCAATTGTGTGATCCTGTTAATCAAATTGGCAAGACTGTATCAATACTATCAAATTGACGGGGCAGTATCCATTTGCCACCCAGCATGAAAAAATGTATCAGTGCAAAAAGAAAAGCCTGATAAAAAGGCCAACAAAATAGGCCGAAACCTAAAACCTCGTTCACACTAAAAAAATTGTGTGTGTCAGACTGTGTGTGTGAATGGGGTCTAAACCTGTGCATTGAGAGTATAATCCTGTCAGCTGATGAAGTTTTCTGAGATTGTATGATTCCATGTGGAGTTATCTTTGAATATGTCAATGAGAGAGAGAGAGGGTCTGGGTCAGGGACCAGGAACCCCCAACCTGATAATGATGATGTTGATGTATTTATTTATTTATTGTTGTTGTTTGCTCAGAGGGAGTGATCCCGTCTGGAGCGACCCTGGTGTTTGAGGTGGAGATGGTAGAGGTGCGGGACCCGAGCGAGGACGTGCCCAACGTGCTGTTCTGGTGGGTCGGGGAAACTCCCACCGACGCTTTCGGGGACATGGATGCCAACAAGGACAAGATCGTCACCAAAGACGAGGTAAAACATCCAACGACATGATTTTTCAGTCCTCAGGCCACACCAATTTAATTTCTTGGTTAATTAACAGATTTGCCCGCTTTGTGTTTTCCTGATTTGAAAATAAAAATAAAAATTCAGAATCAACTGCAAAAAGCTCATACTTTGCCCTGAACAGTTGAAAACAGTCCTTTTCTTCCTAGTTGTTACAGTTATTCCATCTTTCAATGTAGTGGTATCATCAAAAGTTCAAAATTCAATGTTTAAATTTTGAACCAGTCTGGTGTGTTGACTTCATGGCTCCTATCGTACCATTTTGGGCCATAATAGGATGCCTAGGCCTGTTTTTATTTTATTTTTTTGCCCGCCTGCTCCATTATTTTTCTAGAAAAATTCATTAACCAAGAAATTAAATTGGTGTGGCCTCAGTCTGGAATTCCTTGAGAGCTACTAGACTGGACTAGACTATGGAAGACATTAACAGTCTTCCTGAGTACCAGGCACTGAAATGTGCTATAGGTGATGATGATGACTAGACTCAATGTACCAATGAGAATCTTAAGGGAGGCGAAATCTTGATAGCATCTTTAAGACAAAGTTTCAGGCAACATAACATTGATGTACATTAGCACTACAAGCACTCACAAGCACCCACAAGTCCTTGTTTTAACAATGGTCAAGGTCAATTTGGGGTCTCCTGGTGGCTGCCCTTAGTATTGCAGCTGAATGCCCTGTTTTGTGTAGTTCATTCTAGACATGCTGTAGTCTTGATTTTTTGGTGGCAGATGATGTCAGTAAAAGTGGTGTAGGTTTGGTATCCCTAGCAGCTTGTCCTGGAACTGCAGGGGTGTTTTAATGATGTCTACCGTCTTTGTTGTTTTTCCAGTTTTCCACGTACTGCTACGAACAAGTGAAGACGGGATCTGGTAATTTCCTGGCTGGGCGCCGAGAGGCTGACCTCATCGAAGACATGTTCCACTTCCAGGACCAAGATGCCGACGGTGTCATCTCCTTCGCAGAGTTCTCCGGCCCAAAACAACATGACGAGCTCTAACTAGCAAATAACAACATCTCGCTGCCACTGAACATCTATGTTAAATAGAGAGCCAGTTATAGTCTAGATAACAAGTAGCTATGTAAGTAAGAAAGATCAAATTTCCACAATTTTCTCCAGCGAACAGTCAATATCTGATGTTTTTTTTCACATCAATGCTTTTTAGTTCTTTTACGTTTACCACTATTTGTTTTGAGCCAGTTATAAGGTTTAGAGAGTATAAAGGAATATTTTTTTTGTCTGTCTTACCCCCATCTTTTTAATTTGTAGACATCTCCAGCACTTTTTGGTTGCCCTGTCCAGACTTTTTATTTTTTTATTGTTAAAGCCCCTTGATGTTTGGATTGTTTATAGTTAACACCCAAATGTATCGCTTTTTTTTTATAACCCACAGTGACTTTGCCCTTTCGAACAAAAGCTCTTTCCTGTAGAATTACCTCCCTTACTTTGCTGAAGAAACCTTTGTTTTAATGAAAGAAACTGCTATGAAAAATAGAGGCGTAAAAAAGATGCTATGTTGCAGAAGTGCAAATGATATCTGTATATTAATGAGTCAGTATTATTGTTGACACTTCTCTCTTGCTATTTTAGATCATATTGTTTGATTTCTTTTAATTATAGAAAGTTCTTCTTGTCAAAAAGCCATATGAGACCTACTTTTGAAACTGAGATTTTTAACATAAAAAGAATGGAAAAGTTGTTGCTATAAAGGTAACATAGTAGTTTTCAAAACAATATTTTTCATCCATATTTAACTACAAATGTATGGCAGTAGACCTCTTTAATACTACACCAAGATGTAAAAGTGGAAAAGTAACAATAAGTTGGCTATCTTGCAGCTTGTAAGTAAAAGGCATTTTATTGTAGCTGTATGTATTGGGAACTAAGTACAAGAGTCTAACGCTCTTTTTTGATACAGCCCAATGACAATGTGTTGCCTACCCAACTCAAAGTGTATGTTGGGTTAATGAATTTGGTGCTACATTTTGTATTCAATCTAACTCTTTTAAGGCAAACAAAACTGGCGATGTGCGATCGTAACTTGTACTGCAATATTGTTCTGCAAAGCTGCAGTGTTATTTTTTAATCAAATGTACCAAACTTAGTGGAGATAACCATGAATTGCACAATGGATTTAATGTTTTCTTGTGTACAGCAAGTGTACAGCATTTTGCAGAGTGGTATTTTGGTAACATTTTGTACGTTTTTTTATATAGAAAATAAATGGGTCCTATCCTGCTATATCCTGTTTGTTATTGAGACTGTTCTTCATCCTCCTCAGAAATTTAGTTTTTTTGTGTGGAGCCTGTACAAGACGTTTTTATTTTCTTTTGGACATATTACTGTTGACAGTTGACGCAACAGGTTAGGTAAGGCAACTTTTAAATCTCCTTGGTTAAGGCCACACCAATTTAATTTCTTGGTGAATGGATTCGCCCGCTTCATTTTTTCCTGATTTGCAAATAAAAATAAAAATTCAGAATCAACTGCAATATGCTCATATTTTGCCCTGAACAGTTTTTTATTTTATTTTATTCACATGGATTTTTGAGCATTGGATAGGAAGCACTTGTTGTGCTTATGTAAATCCGCTGCTCATAAAACATAATACAAATGTAAACATAAAGATGACATAAAGTATAGCATTATCATAAAATGAAAGTGGCTGGCGCACCAATACCTAGCATAACATTATTGAGATTGGTCAAATCTTCCAGAGTGGTGGATATAGTTAAACACAATATCAAAGATACGGCAGTTGGTAGGGTAAGGGAGGCTGGGGCTACCTGTAAGAAGTAAGGTACATAATGTGGCGTCATTTACGTTGAGTGGGTCGGAAGGAAGTATGTTTTCAAGATGAAGGCAAGATATGGATAACAACATTTTGGTCCTTTCAGTATTATAACATTTGCAGTAACCCTGAACAGTTAAAAACAGTCCTTTTCATCCTAGTTGTTACAGTTATTCCATCTTTCAATGCAATGGTATCATTAAAAGTTCAAAAGTCATTGTTTGAATTCTGAACCAGCCTGGTGTGTTGACTTCATGGCTCCTATCGTACCATTTTGGGCCTTAATAGGATGCCTAGGTCTGTTTTTGTTTTCATTTTTTTTCCGCCCGCCCGCTCCATTATTTTTCTTAAAAAAAACGCTAACCAAGAAATTAAATTGGTGTGGCCTAAGGGTAAGTTTTCAGGGTCGGAAGTTTTGATCCAGAGATAAAAGCCCACAACGTCACCGACAAGGCTCCGTGTGCAGTACCAAAGCTTTCCGCTGGTGGAGCTTTTGATACATCCGCTGCTCTTCAGACATATTGTGGCTTGCACGCATTTTTCTCCCTGAACCATAGTAGTGGTACATTATCTTTCGCCCCTTGTCGTCCTCTGCAAAAGGGTAGAATCCGTACATGTGGATCTGGTCGCAAACACAGGCGGCCAGCGCGAACAGAATACTTCCTGTCGACGCTCGTTTCGGCTTGAATTCTGAATCCTCCCAAAGCCTAGGTAGATAGAAAGCATGTTAATAATGTTAAAAATGCAACTTGAATTTAGCAAATATATATGGTTGTTGTTTATTGCAGATTCATGCCCGAGGGCTAATTGCATACAGACATTGACAAGAAAAATGTGGTGATATAAGACTATTTGCTAACAGGAACTTCTACGTGTACGATATACTTATCGAACCTACTATCTCTAAAAAAAAAGTAACTAATAAAAAATAAAATAAAAAAAAGTAAATATGCAATATGTGAACAGGTAATAGGAACAAGTTAACCGCTATTCTAATCTATTCTATTCCATTAAACTATAAAGCGCAGCGTTTATATTCTCAAATGAATGTCAACTAAAGCGTTGTGTGTCTTACGGAATTCTTTGACTGATAAAATAAAAAGAAAACTCACGCATCTATCTTGTCAGTAGTTTCACTTGGTTGGATCGTAATTTTTATCGGCAGGTGATTTTTGCGGATCATCCCCACAGCGAAGTCCGCTTGTGGACGTCCGTGCACCGATACAAGAGCAGGGATGTGCAGAATCTGGTTGCCGACGGCGCGAAATCGCTTCAGTAGCCGCTCTTGTACGCTTCTGTTTGTGGCGTATCCTTCGTAATCGTGTGGAAGAACAGAGGGATTCATGGTGGTGAAGTTAGATTTTGTCCCCACGTCTTTCTCGAACCCCTCAATAGCAGGAAGGTTACATCTGAACACGAAGTCTGCAGAGTCGATCTGAGGACCACAGCGGCTGCCCAGGAGAATCCCAGAATTCCCCACTACAGCACAGGACTTGAAGTGCTTTCCTAGAAGAGGCGACGACTTGGGCAACAGACGGTAAAACTGTTGGGTGATGTTTTGGTACGGTCGCTTGATTCGCTTAGCCTTTAAAGCGTATTTGATTCGCTGTCCAGGCCAGGCATGAAACTTGTCCAAGGCAAGGTCTTTGTCGGGGTTGAAATGCTTCATAACCCACTTTCTATGTTGAAATAAAGTTGACTTGTTAGAGGTTAAGAACACGTACAAGTACGGTTCACAAAAATGCCCCATCATCCAAGAATATGCGTATATATCTATAGTATAAAACAGAACAGCTCGGCATAGACAATGGGCAATGATCAATGGATTACCCCCAAATTCATTACTAGCACACAGACGCCCAACATGCGTTTCTCTTTTAGTAAGAATATTTGTCAACACGAATGTGGGCTTAAACGGAAGAAGAAAAAGAATGATAATGATAAAAAATACGCATCTTTGTAGCAGAGCCTGAAATGCTATAATCTAAATCAAGGACATTATATACAGATGTCCTTGTCTAAAGCAAGTGCTTAAACACTAGAAGTGACTAAATTATCCTAAGTTGCATCCTGAATTATCCTAGTTTGTAGGAATGAAAACAGATCACGCACCGCATAAGTTGGACTTCAGATTCATTTATGTACGTTTTCCAGGCTTTCGTTGTTGCCATCGGTGGTGAGTTGGTCGGGAACTTGGTCCTATGAATGATATATGCGGGGGGATCAGATTAGATGTATTATCACACACAGCCATGGCGAAGTGTAAGAAGTAACATAGCTGTAGTCAAACGATTAACGTTAAAGCTATTATTTTTTTGCGCGCCGAAGTGCCAGCTTTTTGCAAAAGCACTTGTTTGTTTTCATGCAAAGGACGTTTTACATGTAAGGGTAACACTTACAGTTTTTTTTTTTCTTCGTTAGTTTGCACTTTAAAACCATAAGCTTCCTGATGCCATACTAAAAGTATAATTTTTTTGGGGGCCAAACATTTCTTTTATTCGCACGCTCGCGTCAGTTTTGGGGTTCCTAGAGGATGTCATCCACATAATCAAATCAACATGGCCTTATCAACTCTTATGAAAACATCGCATAAAACGGTCGACAACTTTCTATGGCCGCTCTAACCCCAACCGAGGACAATGTCCTTGTCCCAATGCAACCTTTATTAATTACTAGTACAACCTACCTGTACTGTGGAGAAACGGTGGATATCGATGTTATCCGAGCTTTGCGAAATGAAACCTGGTGCGAACGTTCTATCTTGATGCTGATCAGAATGGCCATACTGGTAGCAAAAAGTAGTCCCAGTGCCATCAGTCGAAAACAAGTCTTTCTGTCCGCCATGTTTAGAGCTGTTGCATAAAAACGAGTACGACAACTAGTTCCACCATGGAACCGAGTGCATTACTACATAATGCCTTTGGTTCCACACCGTACCATCATGCTGCGATAGTACCACCAGTGTTTCAAAATCACACAAGTACTGCATGCGCAAACTCTTGACTTGCTAGTATCCTCGGCGATCTTTACATTAAAAGTAATAGTTTACAGTATAACTTGAAGGTGTCTCCACCATGCAAATATTTGAGAAAGGTGATCATCAACCGGTCGGTCCGGTCCGGTGTTGAGCCAAATCCTTGAGCTGCCACATTGACACCGGGAATCATTGAACCGGTCAGGGAGTCAATCCCCGGAGTCACGTACACACAGCAGAACAAGAATTCGGAAATCTCAATATGTAAGTTTTTGTAACACACACACACACACACACACACACACACACACACACACACACACACACACACACAGTGACACACAGACACACAGGCTAGCATTACGCTCCGTCGTCAACACCGCCCCCGCCTCATATAAGTTATTATAACTACTGGTTCTCCCCCTTCTTAATCTTTGCCGTCTGGAATCAGCGCAAAGGACAAAACTGACAGACGTTTCGCCATACATTGCTAATCTTCTGTAGTTGTCAACCACGGGTTTTCCTCGGGTGCGAAAAAGGCCATACAAACTCTCATACATGAAGACATCTCAAATGATTTTTGTTTCACATGAATTCTATACGCATAATATACTAGTATCAAAGTAAACGAACACCCCCTTTGACGAATACTAAGTAGTTTGTTCCAAGAAGTTGCTCTCCGGGCATCGTGCCAATATTTGTACGCCAAGTCTTGTTACTGTAGACAGACAGTCCCTGAGCTCGGATTTTAAAGTTTCCCCAAAATGGTGTCCAGTGTTGTCATCCTTGCCGTCGCCTTACAAATCCTAGCAGCTCTAGCTGTGGACGATACCGGGGAAGTGGAGATCGAGGTGACTTTTAAGCCCAAGCGGTGCATTTTTGTGTCCCGGGACGGCTTCTTCCTGAGGTACCACTACAACGGCACCTTCCCAGATGGCGAGAAGTTCGACTCCAGGTTCGTATGACTGAGGCATACGTGGCAGAAGGACTTGGGGGAGGGTCCAGGACTGAAGAAAGGACTGAGCTGGGGAAACTTGACCTAGATAAGATATCTTGGGCTCCTGTCGTCTTGCAAGACGGTCTACAGGCTCCATTATAATAAGATAAGATACAAATGATCCAATAATAAGGAAATTATGTATATTGTCTTTGTTCAATGAGATTTTGCTAAATGTCATAAATAACCTGCGAATCGCATTTTGGTTTTATGTCGACTTTTTAACTGATTTGTGACAATTTGTTAGAATCCCTTTAACATCAGAATCACAGGGATCATTTAAGAATCACTTTCACTTTTCTGCGATGCAATGCAAAATTTTTATTCAAGACGCCATTATACAATCATAGCGGTTTGTCTGCATAGTCAAATGCATGCATGAGCAAACGTAGCTCTAGTTGTTTCCACATGCTGATCATGATGCCAGTGAAGAGTGAAATGTGGAGGTGGCAAAATTCTCTCCGGACCCCTTGAATACTGTACACTAACAGAAAAGTGACTCCCTGGTCGGGTCGAACGCCTGATTCGCATAAATTTCCAAACAGATGCGCGGGCCGACTGTTTATTTGCAGACAGGCCAGGGTCAGTGTTTGGGAAAGCCGCACCAGGGGTCAACAAACGGGTGTCAGTCAATCGAGAACAGTCAGTGGTGTGGAGGCACGTAGAAACAGTAACTGAGACAAAATGCCGGCCGGCGCCTCGCTCATTAATTCTATGGCATTGTTCCATGATATCCATAGTTAATTATAGTTTACTTGTACTTGTACCTTGAACGGACTTGGCTGTTTTAAATCCCAGTTGACCTATATTTTTATCTTGAAAGTTCATCTGTGTTGGTAGAAGCCGAGGTTAAATACATTTAACCTCCTTGGTAGAAGTCATTATGCAGCAAGATTAAACTGTAATTTCCAACACAAGAAATTGGACTCACCCAAATTTTCGACTGTACAACTCCAGTCTTTGTCAAGGAATGAACAATCCACCGCTTCCATTACAACCATCCCTCAACAGAGACGGGGGGCGCCACAGACTTTCTGTCATCTATGATCCACTGCTCACGGAGTCACGTGTGTTATCTGCGTGACGTCATGGAAGCGGTGGATTGCTCATTCCTTGACAAAGACTGGAGTTGTACAGTCGAAAATTTGGGTGAGTCCAATTTCTTGTGTTGGAAATTACAGTTTAATCTTGCTGCATAATGACCTATATTTTTGTTCAGTCATGACCGCGACAACACCTTTGACTTCATCCTTGGGCGAGGAGAAGTTATCAAGGGGATGGACCAGGGTCTGAAGGGGATGTGTGCTGGGGAGAAGAGGAAGATCACCATCCCTCCCCATCTGGCGTACGGGGATAAAGGCGTCGGTACGTACACTTTAAAAGGCCCATATTATTATACGTATACTCACATAGCCTCCGTAGTATGCTGTTTGGGGGGTCTTCAGGGTCTTTGGGATTTTTTTTATGTGCTATTTTCTGATTGCACATAAAGAACATAGCCGGCCTGATTGAATTACCCCCATTTTTTTAGAACTGGGCTTATCAGAAAACAGCCGAAGACCACCAAACCCCCAGTTCTATAACGGCCTGGACCTCGTAGACTGGAACTCGTTGCCACCAAGCACAGTTGGGGCATCATCACTGGAAAGCTTAAACAACTCCTGCAATTAAATGTGCTAAGATTGAGTGTAACAAGTCGTTCGGTGTGATATAGCTTAGCTGCCGCCGCACCGCGTGCCTGTGTGTTACACCGAAGGGCGGTTATACCGGCTATACTGATACAGAGATAGCCACCAAAAGACCCACTTGGCGGATTGATCTTCGATGGTTTAGCTTAACCTTAAGTCAAGTGTTTTTTGACAGTAATGTAATACATTGTATCACACGTTTCCTTCCATCCAGAGGGAGCCATCCCTCCCGGCGCCACGCTGGTGTTTGAGGTGGAGTTGATAGAACTGCTCGACCCGATGGACGACGTGCCCAAAAACTTGTTCTGGTGGGTCGGAGAGACGCCCCAAAACTCCTTCGGCGACTCAGACACGAACAGGGACAAGAAGATCTCCAAAGAAGAGGTACACACAATTGTAACGCCCACTTTCCGTAAAGCTGTACTGGCGAAATTATACCTAAGAAAGAGCAACGTAGAATTTATTTATCTTTGGACGCATGGGTGGTCCTACCCTGGATGCCAAACTAGTATCGGGCCGTTAGCCGTTTTCATTCGGCAGCCAAGAGCCCTTCGCCCGCGGGTCTAAATTGCCGCTACGGGGGAGTTGAGCCCGAGGTGTTTGTAGGGCCAGCCAAACTCCCCCCGGGCTAGACTCCCCCGTAGCGGTTACACCAGCGGGCGAAGGGCTCTTGCGGCCCGGAAAACGAGTTCTGGCTTCCAGGGTAGGGTGGTCCCTTCAGTCGAAAAGGGCTGATTTCCAAGGAAGCCAATGGAAACAGGATACAAAGACAGTAATGCAACATAAAATGTTGATTAGACATAGGAATACAAGTAAATCAATTTGCGAATAATAACAAAACAGAATCATGATACAAAGTTGATCGGTCGGTGGTCTTTGAGATGGTCAAATTCCAAATAATACAAACTTAGGAATTGAGTAGTCATAATTGAACATTGAGTATAAATAATTGAAGATATAAAGAAAGTAGTTATAAATCATGGAAACAAAATGGATTGATTGGACGTTTTTTTCTTACTTTTCTGCCATTTTTTTTCAGTTTGCCAACTATTGTCACAGAATGGCCGACAGCGACAAAGGCATCTTCCTACCCGGCCGGAGAGAACAGGACCTTATAGACGACATGTTCTCCTTCCAGGACAGGGACGCCGATGGTTTCATCTCCTTTGACGAATTTGCCGGCCCAAAAATTCACGACAAACACGACGAACTCTGAAGATGTACAGTTCATCACTGCTTTTATGTTGTCTACGACTAGGGTTTGAAGGGAAAGAGCTTTTAGTCGTTTTGAGTACATTGGTGTACTTATACAATTGCTTTGAAAACTACTGCAGAACACGGTTGAATTCGTTGTATTAGATTTACGGTTACATGACTGAGTAACCGTAACTTTTAGCTAGAGATGCGTACAACATGTAAGTCTGTTGATTGTTGGCTTTATAGGAACAGCATATTGCGGCCAGTTGATCATGAGGGTACCTGACGTAAAAATGGCCATGGATCAAAAGCGCTCCCTTACGACGAAAAATATTACTGCAGTAAAGAGGTCAGAAAGCACAAACATTAGCTGTTTGCTTAAATACTGTCCTGTATTTTTGCAATGACCCAATAAAATGTAACTTTCATACACCTTGGTCAACAGCACACGTGCTCAATAACAAAAATTTGCATACACTGTTTTCACACTCTTTATTTGCATTGCGTATGGTACTATATATATTAATGCAAGTTGGCTCGAAAGTGATGTTAGTACATGAAACAACATGTACCTCAGCAAGACATTAAACTATATTAATAAAAAACTGATACTTTTCATACATAATAAATCAGTGTATAAATCTCTCTTAAATGTAACATACGTTACGATATGCCAGAACACTTCGTATCTTAAAACACTTTCAAAGAATACAGACTGCAAGAGTATTAGAGTATAGATCTTACCACAGGTTTATAAGTGAGATTGCACAAAAGCAGAAACTAGCCCAATATTACAATGTGTAGGTCACACCAGTTTAATTTGTTGGTTCACGTATTTACCAGCTTCCTTTTTTTCTGACTTGCAAAAAAAAATTAGCCTCAGAATCAACTCCTAAATGCTCATATTATGTCCTTAACAGTTAAAGGAAGTCCCTTCTCTTCAGAGTTGTTACGATTTTTCCATATATCAATGCAGTGGTTTGATGAAAAGTTTTAAATCCATTGTTTGAATTACAAACCAGCCTGGTATGTTGACTTCATGGCGGCTCCTATCATAGCATTTGAGGCTATCATAGGATGCCTAGGTCATTTTTTTTTCACCCTGTCCCTTCGTATTTTAAAAAAATCAGAGAACCAACAAATCAAATTGGTGTGGCCTTATCTTACTTTGTATATGCAACACCCTAACCCCGAGTTTACAATGTGATCAAAGAAAGCACAATTCACCAATACAAACAAGAGGAACGACAAAATGTATACATTTACATGTAAGACAATCTTGCAAAAAACAAAATTCAGGTTTTGGGAACATAAAATTTGTATTGAATGAATAGCCTGATTGGGACTCAAAATCTATTGTTTTTTATTCTAAGGCCACACCAATTTAATTTCTTGGTTAACGGATTCGCCGCTTCATTTTTTTCTGATTTGCAAATAAAAATAAAAATTCAGAATCAACTGCAAAATGCTCATATTTTGCCGTGAACAGTTGAAAACAGTCCTTTTCCTACTTCTTTTTAAAGTCATTCCATCTTTCAATGCAGTGGTATCATTAAAAGTTCAAAATTCATTGTCAAAATTTTGAACCAGCCTGGTGTGTTGACTTCATGGCTCCTATCGTACCATTTTGGGCCATAATAGGATGCCTAGGCCTGTTTTTATTTTTATTTATTTTTCGCCCGCCCGCTCCATTATTTTTTGTAGAAAAATCCGTTAACCAAGAAATTAAATTGGTGTGGCCTAAGTAACTAAACAACATAATAACAACTAAATAACACTTGACTTTTCAGTACTGAAACATTTCAACTTAACATCTTCCATGATGGCTTTTAAAAGAGACAAAAGACAAAAAAAATGAATATCTAAAGACATACATGTATGGTGACAGTAGTGACCAAGTAGTTCTGCTGTGTTGCAAGTGGACTTTTGAAATCGATGGTCAAGAGTCAGCCTTAGATGTAAGTTACTGGTAGGCATCAAATTATGCAACGTAGCATTTGAATATCATTGTTACTTTTTAAAAACTGACAAAATGCTTTTGGTATCATTGATGTGTATAGCAGGCTACAGGAATGGGGATTAACAATATATATTATCTGTTAGGTTCACATGACTTGGAAATATACAGTCACCAATGCAAAATTTTCTTACACATGGTTAACTAATATTTTCAATTTCAATTTATTTATTCAACCAGTAATATACCACAACCCTGGCTAAAATGTCCCATGTTACAATGTGCCAGGTAGCCAGCTGTTCTTAGAAAGTGTGCTCGATTCTCTGTCTACTAACTGGCTTCTTCCATAATTAACAGAAAGTTTCTGCATGGATAAGTCCAAAGCAAGGTTAGTGTTGAAGTAATAGTTAATAAGGACGAAGACAACAGACAAGCTCACACCTACGCAACTTCTACCAACATCCAAACATGTTTTGAAAATGTACTTACTGGTATGCGCACCAATTTGAACACATTGAAGAGGGCCTGCAAGGGGGGGTCCCGACAACGCTCTACGCTGAATTCAAAAACCTCTCGATTACGCTTTACGATAAATTCCAAGTGGCTACAACGCATTACGTAGAATTAAAATGGTGAATACACTCTACGTTGAATTAGAGCGGTCCGGCTACGTTCTACGTAGAAATAAAATGGCCGATTACGCTCTACGGAAAAGGGCTTGTGGGCCCCCATTGAACGTGCGTATACCTAGCATGTTTTTGAATGCACATTTATTTGAATGTTGATGGAAATGACATCCTGCAATGCCGGTCTGTGAAAGTGTGAACTCAGGTATTATCCTCTTTAAGTGTTTGTTACAGACAGTAGTGACCTGTGCGTTCAGAAGTGCTATCTTTGGTTTATTTAGTTGTCCAGGCTACAGATGTGTGACTACAAGTCAGTTTGTATCTGGGCGAAACTTTGTCTTTGGCCTAGTATAAGATACATTGAGCATTAGTCAGCTATGTAAACAACAGTATGCCATACGGCGCTGTATATAGAGAGTTAATTGGTAACTTCCTATTTCATATTTCATATTTACCAGTCAGACAATTTTTTTCAATAAACATTAAACATCAGAATATATTTCACTTTTTTTCTAAATCCATGACAATTACGTTATCAACTTTTTCAAAAGATGCCTCTCTTTCATAATGGGTATAGTGAGTTCGTCAAATTTTGTACACAAAGTACTTGGAAGGCAGTACATGTACCAGTATCACTTTCAAATGTGATGACAAGTATGTGTAGGAGACTCAATCAAACTCTCAGTTCATCATTCATGGGCCAAATGTTGTCTTCGGCTACACATGTAAATTATCAGACAGTTCCACCACAAAACCTTTTCACCAGCAAGTACCAATCCACAATTCATTTTTCAACTATGCCAGGCTAGTTGCCAGCTCTATCATTGTAAAAGAATGCCTGCTCTTGACAGAGCAGTTGTGTTCCCGATTCTACAACTCTGCAACACCACACCGTTCCTCTCAAAGCTACAAACGTGCTCACCACTACTGAAACTACATTTGAACAATGCCCAAAAGTGCCTGATGACAGTATTTAAATTGCTGTTGTTGTGTTCACTGCAAGTGTGAGACAGGAAAGTCTCTTTCTCTCTACATCCATGTAAATCATGTCTATTCCTCCACTGTGCTCTAAGGGAGAATCCATTGTTTCACTGTGGGGATGGACCTTGAGAAATCATCCTACCAAAGCTATATCCACCAATTTTCAGGGATGTCTTCTAAATACGAGAAGCAGTTACGTAATCTTTTCCTAGAATAAAATCTTCCCTCTCTTCCAATCAAAAACCCTTCAAACAGTATCAGTCTTTCTCTGAGCAACAGTATCTTCACACCAGCCAAACCCTTCACCCTCTGTACATTTTCCTATTTGCTGGTTACATGAAACAAGGACATGAAACTACTACATGTAGTAGTAGTTTCCCCAAACTTCTAGCTGAGTTCGAAACCGGCGTTAGACTCCACGGCGTACAGTAGTTTGCTCCTCATGGTCTCTTCGTCCTGGAATTCGGGCAGTTTGAGCAGGTTCATGCAGGTACTGGCCGTGGGGAGTCTGTCCTCCTCAGGACCACCGTGGTGGATACAGAAGGCTGGGTACAACTCCTGGGGAGGGGAATTTTCTGTTAATTCACTTATTTTCAGTGTTTTCAGTCTGTATTTGAGACAATTCAGTAGTACAGTAATGTAGTAGTAATACATGGAACAAGCAAAATCATAATGAAAAAATTTAAACTGTTCTTCAACTCATAAATTTCAGTCACCAGAATTTTCGACTGAATCACTCAGTCTTCCTCAGCTATCAGTTAATTTAACAGTTGAAATTTTTTCATCGTGTAATTTACCAACTCAGATGAACTTTCATGCTGAAGCAAAATCATGATATCATGGATTTGTGTTTCATATGTAGTACAACTAAAAAATGTATCCATCAAAGATGGAGGTTTGGGGAAAATTGTCTGTCACGAGCAGCAAAATTCCGTCAAAAAGACTGATGCTAAGGCAACATCGACTTAATTTTATGGATGACATCCTCTGAAGACCCCCAAATAAGTGTGCACGGGCGAATAAAAAAAATTATGGCCAAAAATAAAAATGCTACTAAACTACAGGAACACAAAGCTGGTATTGTGAAATAGCGGCAGTACATAGCGATGTATATGACAAGCCGGCACATGCTGGCTTCTTGTGGAATTTATGAATCGGCACTGTACGCATGTACTGCATGAGTTCTTGAGTCGTGGAGCTTCGGAAGCCTAGGCCTGGGTGCCGTCCTCCATAGTTAGCTCCGGCTCTGTATTGTCCGGCTAACTACCATGGCCTAGAACCAGGCCAGAGCCTCGGAGGATGTGATTTTTCTTTTTTTTTTGAGAACAGGCAAAAATCAATGCGCGCGTGGATGTCAACCATAAAATTAAGGCAGTGTGGCCTAACTAGAAGTAACAACTGTTGTTAATAACTCTAACATTATAAAACACGTAGATACCTTGAAGCCCAGGAGTGGGGGCCGTGAACAGCTGGTGACAAACTTGAGCAGGTGTCGGCGCTGCCTGTTGGTAAACTCACGTACAACCTTCCAGAACGTCTCGATCACAGGATGTTCATCTGTGTAACCTCCTACACAACAAATAAACAAACAAACTAACACAGGATGTTCATCTGTGTAACCTCCTACACAACAAATAAACAAACAAACACAGGATGTTCATCTGTGTAACCTCCTACACAACAAACAAACAAACAAACAAACAAACAAACAAAGGATGTTCATCTGTGTAACCTCCTACACAACAAACAAACAAGCAAACAAACAAACACAGGATGTTCATCTGTGTAACCTCCTACACAACAAACAAACAATCACACTCAGGATGTTCATCTGTGTAACCTCCTATACAACAAATAAACAACAACAACAACTCCATTCAGCAAACAACTACAGTCAAACCTGCTAAAAACTTTTCAAGCTGGCCATCTGGCTATAATGACCACTTTTTCTCAGTCCCAAAATGTTTTCTTCCATGCCCAGACATTAAGTGACCTGTCCAAGAGGACCACTTCATCTGGGTCCCCTGGGTGGCCTTCTTGGGCAGAGTTAACTGTATAGAAATGTACTGTGTGCATCCCAGCATCCAACACTTTCAAGACAAGGAAAAACTATAGTCAAAAGACTCAAAACATTTCCAAGTTTCAATTGTTTTATGTGGGCTCTAGCTCCCCTACATTATAAGTTTGTATGTCAAGTTTAAGCCACTAGTTGTTCTTACCTGAATAGTTTGTATGCTTCCTAAGGTCAGCAACATCTATAGGCTGTTGGGAACCAGAAATCACCACCTTCAAAGGAAAGAAACATTTTCAAGATTCATTGGCTTGAAGATTGAAACTCTAGTCTAGTAAGAGTGATATTCTAGCATTCTGGCCTTCAACGAGGTCAACAGTTAGGGCTATTCCATTCTCAAAACTGTACGTAATTTTTTTTTAAATTTTGGCCACACCGATTTAATTTTATGGATGACATCCTCTGAAGACCCCCAAACTAGTGCGCGCGGGCGAATAAAAAAAAAATCAGGCCAAAAATAAAAATGCTACTAAACTACAGGAATACAAAGCTGGTATTGTGAATTTGCGACAGGACTTAGCGATGTATACGGCAAGCCGGCACATGCTGGCTTTTTGCGGTATTTATGAATCGGTACTGTACTTATGTACTGAGTTCTTGAGTCGTGGAGCTTCGAATTCGATAGCCTGGGTGCCCGGCTTCGTTTTGTCACTGACTACCATGGACTAACCAGGCCTAAGACTAGGCCAGAGCCTCGGTGGAGGTGATCTTTTTTTTTTTTTGGAGGGCGACAGGCCAAAATCAATGCGCGCGCGGATGTCATCCATAAAATTAAGTCAGTGTGGCCTTTTTAAAAATACAACCATGATAGTACAGAACAATATGATTATGTGGGGAGATATCATATAAATAGAAGATAAAGAGATCCGAGCTGCAGCTTCAGAAAATTATCAAATGAGGCAGCACCTATCAGACCCCAAGTGTTAAAAAGATGTTAAATTCATGTGCAAACCTGTAACTCTTGGTCATCAAACATTCGCAGCCACTCCAGGTTGACCACATCAGCTAGACCCTGTCTGAAGGACATGCAGTGGGCACGGATCTGGGGCGGGAGGGGGGCAGAGTAAGGAATATTTATAATGTATACTGTAACATGCATCAGACAATTTCATCAGAGGTAAACTTCACAAGTTTGCCTCAGTCAATTATGATACTGATTCAATGTCTCTCATTCACCACATTCACCTACATTTGTATATAAACCCAGTACATGGACCAGTGCAGGTTAGGTGCAGGTAGACATCAGAAATACCTGCACAGCTCCAATTTTACCTGCACTAACCTGCATATACCCAGTACATGGACCAGTGCAGGTTAGGTGCAGGTAGACATCAGAAATACCTGCACAGCTCCAATTTTACCTGCACTAACCTGCATATACCCAGTACATGGACCAGTGCAGGTTAGGTGCAGGTAGACATCAGAAATACCTACACCATGGGCTCCATTTTTATCTCCAATTTGTTGCACCCAGTACAACAATTTATGTCCTACCTGGGCCACGATTACGTTCGATACGGGTGTTCCGACCCGTGTGGGAACTAGCGGTACGGCCCGGGGTTTTTTTTACGCGTACGGCCCGGGCCTTCCAAATGTTCCATAGAACGATTCAAACGTGTTTCACCCTAACCGCATGCACCGCTGTCGCAAATTCGAATGCAAATGGAATTGATGTTGTTGCATTTTTTGGGTTTAGGGACACCAAATTGTTGCTTATTTCACATTGAAAGGCGTGTTTTCTTGGGTGGGTATGACATAAATAAAATACAACACGGTGTATTCCGCATCACCCTCGGTCCCAGCCCTCCCGTGGATCGGATCTCCCTCCGGCCTTCAGGCGATTCGACGCGCGGTCGGGCTGGTACCTCGGGTGATACGGAATACACCGTGTTGTATTCTATATGTATTATGAGCCCTGTGTTAGCTCCCAATTTTGATGAAAAGTTGACAAAGTGAAGATTGTTGTCCAGTGCTGACCTGTTTGTTGAGTCTATAGTCAGCCACCAGGTGGATGTACTGAATCCTGTTCTCTGATGTCACAGGGATGTTCTGACCACCAGGTTTCAGCTCTACAACCTAGAGGGAAAGTTATCAGTATGCTGTCTTAAGTTAGTTTCCAAATACTAGTACCTTCCAGTTTGAAGTCAGATATGATATGGATAGCAATATTTATAGGCATCATGTACACGATGTACATTTGAATTAGCTAGTGCAATAAAGAAATTGAAGGAATCAAAAGCTTACATACACTGCAATTATAACAACACACACCATAGTCAGACTATATTCTTGTATGTATACTGAACTCTTCTTTTAACATCTATTTGCTAATAAAGGGTTAATGCACTGCCCCGAGTTGTATATGGTGTCATAACTGCATGAGCAGCTGCCATAACCACCGAATAAACCACCGTGTGAGCGAAGCGAACGAGGTGGTTTATGAGGTGGTTATGGCAGCTGCCCATGCAGTTATGACACCATATACAACGAGGAAAAGGCAGTGCATTAAAATTATTATCATATAGCCTATCCAAACTGTCAATCAACACAATTCCTGTTTGAAATACAACAGCTTTAATATATATACATACATTAAAATACATTCGAATATATTATACGCTTTAAAACAAATATGGATAATTTCATTTAATGCAAATTGTAGTTTAAATGAAGCTAAACAAAAAAGTTTATTGGACAGAAAAATGCTACAAAGGTTTACAGAAAGAGTCGCATGCCCCTATACCCTATAACATAATGGTATCAGCCATAACACGACATGTGCTGTTATTCCGCCATAACAACACATGTGCTGTTATCGGGAAATAACAGCACGGGTATCCGGGCCTCTGATTGGTCCACGCCGTCCGGCTATATGATAATATATCATAATGCAACAAGAAGATACAGTTTGATTTTGTAATCTCATTCCAGTTACAGCTATTTTTTGAAAAACACTGTCTTCGAAATATCAACAGCAAAATATGACTACTTCAAACTTGTGATATCGGGCATTGAAATAGAAGAAAGAGCAAGTGTTGGTGACCTGTGCCTCTCCAAGGTCATTGTTGACAATGGTGAAGTTCAAGGCCAGGTCTGACACGTCTCCATCATAGTTCTTCAGGAACAACAGGTTTCTACAGGATGTAAAAAAGTCACATTTGGTATCATGATAATCAGTGTAACATACAAATATTAAGTACATATACCCCAATGGCTTGAACATCTAAAGTATTTATTAATAAAATCATCATTTTTTCTGATGTTATTTGCATACAGGACTATGTACTTTGTTTGATACTTTTATTAAGAATAGGCATGTACTGTTCACATCTGAAATACAATCTATGGAACATTTTTCAATGTCCTTTGATCTTTTCATCTCTTAAATGTGGCTCAACTTTCTCTTTGCTACCTAAGCCCATAACCAATACAAATTTGGTGCCTAACATATATTATATCACATACCCCTTTTTGTTCAAACCACCTGAAATCTTCAATAAAAGAAAACATTGCCATTGGGAATCATCAAGTGTCAGCCTCTGTAAATTATATGGCCACAGTTTTGCCCAGACCAGCCCTGCAAACAACATATCTTGCTTCTAAACCCTGGTAGTGCAGTGCAAAAATAGTAACAGATGCCCCATTTTCCATTGGGAAAGTCCCTTCCGTGTTTTGTATATGCCCTGAGTCTAAAAACCTCTGGACTTGAATTTGGACCTGGACCTGGACCTGAACATTAGGTAACCACTTGAAAGGGTAGGTTTTCTAACCTGTAGACTTCAGGGTCGAGTGACTGCAGCTGGTCGATGTCCACATGGTTGTGTTTACTGAGAATCTTGGACAGGAAGAAGCTGGCAAACGGGATCTCCACTAACATGTTCTCATACAGGGCCTGTGGAGCAGACATAGACAATTAAACTGTCATAACTATAGTACCTGGGTATTACTCTATATTCCAGTACATCTTAAGTCAAAAGTTAGCTGTTAATTAATGACAATAGACAAGGAAATGTCATGTTAGACCCGAGTACAATTAAACATATTTTTTTTCCATTTGTGTTTGTGTTGGAAAAACACAAAAGATCTGAAAGACTTACACATATTTCGTAACATTCAGCTAGTGAGGAAAATACATTAATAGGTAGCACACTCTAGCACAGAATGATAGCTACAAGATAGTTGAAGGGCTTAAAATTAAAGGTGTCCCGATGGCCACTGACCACTAAAATTTAGGCCTGGACAACTAAAATGACACTTTGGGACATTTGTGGGACAAAAGAAAAATAATCAACATCAGAATGTCAGCCCTTCTTTTGTTTATCAGGCACACATCCCGTCTTTTGGATCCGGAAAAGTCAACCAAATTTGCGGTCTACTCTGCAATTATGGTGCACCTGGGAGTCAGAACTAAAGCAAAATAAGGTTAATTCCAAGTTGAAGTCACACTGACAATACTTCCTGGAAAAACAGGTTGGGACAGTTCATCCTCACTTTGGGAGAACTGAAATTTATTTTCGGGACAGTGCTGTGACAATAGGAAGAAAAGTTAATTTAGAGGCCTGTAGTTATATTCGATAATTATGGTCTCACCTTTCCCAACATCCTGCCTAAGAAGTAGTAATGCCTGGCGTAGTGTTCCACAAGGAGTTCTGACGCGGGGTTTGGGTAGACCTGGCCGTCGTTGGTCGTACGGAAGAACCCGCGGTTTGGGTCGAACCCTGCCTTCAGGAGCTCGTGGAGAAACTCCCTAAAGATCCCGCCTCCGTCTATTCCTGCCTCCTCAAGACCCTGGAAGTTCACCAGGTTCACTCTCATTCTCTTCTTCAGGTTCGGTTCTGGAAATAGAAAATACACAGTAAGGCCTAGGAAAAAAATGACGTGTTTCCTGTTTCAGTCCTGAAAAAATAGCATCTTTTTTTTCAGTGATTGAACTTATCTACAGTGACACGATGCAGTTAAACAAAGTAAAACTTGTATGAGGACACTTATATTTTCAATGTCAATGTTAAAAAACTGGTTGTACAATCATGTTTCATCACTCACATGTCAGATCGTGGAGCTAGAAAAGGTTGATATGCTCAAAAAATTTATGTCCCTTGCAGGGTTCCACAAAAAAATAGGCAGGCTAGGGTTGGCAGGTTTTTTTAGGGTCAGTCGGGAAACAGGAAACACAACATTTTTTCCTAGGCCTTACTGTTAATAAGGAGGCCTATGTCTCTGGAGCAAAATTTCACAGTGGGAGGAAAATGGACATGTTTATGGAACTTAATCTTCACAGTGGTGGCCATTGCAGGGAAGGGGGAGCAAAAAACAAAGGATCAGATATTAAAGAGTATTTTAACTTCACAGTACACTGTAGTCAGCTCAACACGGAGTGGCTTTATCCAAGGTTTTTCAGCAATTACTTTCTACTGAAGACTCTAGCAAATTGACCAATATGAAGTTAAAAACCTATGTATGAAGATCATAGTTTTGTATAAAGATGATAGTTTTGCCAGGGCGAGCAGACATTACACAAATTACAGGCAGAATTTTGCAATTAATCTACTGTATAAATTAATAGCCAACAGAAAAAAGGATTTGAGCCTTGTCTGCTTTTCACATTGTTTGCTTACAATGAATTTTATATCACATCAAAACTGAGATTTTTAGCATACCGTTCTCTGGCGAGAGTTTGTCGTACGCGTCCTCGTAGATGTAGTTCCTCCTGATCATGACGTCGATGAGGCGAGAGTTTCCCCGCTCCAGGAAGAACATGGAGTCAGCCTGGTGCTCGTCTTTGTCCTTCAGAATCAGCTGCTGGAACAGCTGAAACAGCAAGGTCAAGGTCAAGGTCAAGTACATCCCAACAGGAAACCTTAGCTTATAGCCAAAAATACCATGAATTGGGATCTTGATCTTAGGCCACACCAATTCAATCTGTTGGTTTTTAGATTTAGGGCACAGCAAGTAATTTGTATGGATGACATCGGCACGCGCATTAATTTTCGCCTGATTTTGGAAAAAAACGCAAGAAATTTTGTTGCCTTCTGACGTCATGACAGTGGTCAACATGCCGAAAATGGGCAAAGATGCCTGTTGCCATGCCGGAAGGTGGATGGCAGATAACTATGAAGAGAGGAGACAAGAAAAGGCTCTGATTTAATGTTTTGTTTCTTACTTTGATGCAGTGATATGTGATGCTGGCTGTGTATATGTGATGTTCCCACTGAATCAAAACCGTTTGTACAATGATTGAGTCAAAATTTTGAATTGTAGGAACCTTGTTTTTTTCGGCCCGCCTTGTTTTTTTTCGCCCGCTCGCATTAGATTTGGAGTCTGCGGAGGATGTCATCCATAAAATTTACTTGCTGTGGCCTTTCCAAAGAAAAAAGATTCTGGTTCTGAATTAACTCAAATATGCTCATATTTTGCTCCCAACAGTTGAGAAAAGTCCTTTTCTTCCTAGTTGTTACAGTTTTTCCATCTATCAATGCAGCGGTTTGATTAAAAGTTCAAATTCAGTACTTAGATATTAAGCCAGCCTTTTGTGTTGACTTCATGGCTCCTATCGTAGCATTTGGGGCTATAATAGGATGCCTAGACCGGTCTTTGCTTCTTCTTTTTTTCTCCTTGTCGCTTCATATTTTTTCTGGAAATATCTGAGAACCAACAAATTGAATTGGTGTGGTCTTAATTCTACAGAAAATATTCACCATATTATGTTGATTAATTCACAACATATTACTTAAAACTTGGTAGAATCATTTTCATTAACAAAGAAATAGGTACTACTGACCTTGACCCTTTCCTCGAAGGGCACCACAAATGGTAGCTCCTTTAAGATGGTGAGTTGTCTAGTCTCCGTGACAGACAGTAAAGGAGCATCTTCATCTGTCAAGGAAAACAGAAGAATCAGGATAGCCAACTACAACTTCTAGTCATATCAAAATAACTATTGAATCAACAGTTTTTACAAACAACTTTTTGTACAGCCGAAAAAACTAGCCCAGAAGTTTATATCAAGAAAATTTCAAGTTACTGATAGTCAGTAGGACATGTCTAATAGTCAGGCGCTTCTTTCCAGCACCAATACCTGCACAGGGCAGCGCCCATCTCCATTCTAATAGCCCTTGGGCCACACAGTTGTGCAATCACTACAGCAGGGGGCTAGTCTTGTGGCAGTGGTATGTGCCAACATATAATATTGTATGAGAGATAGTAGATATCTGTGACACCTACCGTTAACATCCATGTCACTCCTGCCCAGCTGTACCAGACCTGGGAACGGCCTCCTTCTGCCAAACAGTGACATGGTCTGACCACGCTGCATGGCTGAGGGCTGTGTACAGTAACAGATATCAGCAAGGCAATGAGATTCTTAGGAAAGTACGACCCCTCCAAATATGTTTTACCTGTGGGTATATATGCTACATAGGAGGAAGGAAAGTAGGAAATTTTAAGCTTTTCGCTGGTGAATCACACCTTGGCTACTACTCATACATACAAAGTCCATGTATAATTTGTTTGTTTCGCATAACCGGTAAACTGCCTTTAGGTGTAACACACCAGTTTTGTACATGTAAGTACTGTAAGGTTTCAGCCACTCACACCGGGAAGGACCCCTACTCTTTTTGATAAGTGCGGTGGGTTCTTTAACGTGCGTGTCGTGTGGCTCGCCCCAAACACAGTACTGCCATTTAACGTCCTATCCGAGGGACGTCCCTAACCAAAGCTAGGTACTCATTTCCACCAGAGTGAATTGAGAAACGTCGTGAAAAGTAGCTTTCCCTGGGGCACAAGAACGGTGACATGGTAGGATTCAAACCCGGGACCTCTTGGTCCTGAGCCGAACACGCTACCATTTATGCCACACAACCTGGGCCCTACTAGGGTTTGGGTTGGCGTTAGGAAGGGCATCCAGCCGTAAAAATCTTGCTTCAACAAAAAGACTTGTACTTCGTGCAAGCACGTCTAATCCCCGGAAAAATGACGTTAAAACGGTAAAAAAAAAAGACACTTAGAATAATTGTACTGACCCTGGTAGCCTGTATGTTGACTCTGGTGGACAGCCAGTGGCCGTGTGGACAGAACCTCTGTCTGGTGTCACGTGCTTTCAACTGGGCAACTACATGGGTGATCACCTGTGGGAGGATAGAAGAAAATATTTAACTGCATTCATCTGCATTACAAACTTATCATAGCAGATAAAAAAGACTTACTGTTAAACTAGTCTAGGTATTTGGGACATGTGCCAAAGAAAAAAACAGTTTATACCAGGGCTCGAAATTCACTTTTGGGAATAGATGCACTGATGCACCCAACCTAAAAAATTGGGTGCACCATATAAGATAAACCTTTTGTCAGTGACACTGTTTTTGGTGTATCTTAATTCTTATTACCTGGATCTCTAACCTTCACCGATGTATTTGGGATACAATTTGTTTCATGATTTACATGTGACCTAAAAGTGTGAAAAAAAATGAAAATGACCTTGAACAGATGTGCCCAGTCTTCCGTCTGTCTCTGGAAGTCAAGGTCGGCCCCATCAGACACCTTGGCACCCACACTGTTCATGGCTTTCCTGTGAGCAACAATATTCAGGTTCAAAACAGTGTCCTTACCTATAGTCCTCCCCTACAGTAGGTTTAGTGTCAGGTATGGCCCTTACCTATAGTCCTCCCCTACAGTAGGTTTAGTGTCAGGTATAACCCTTACCTATAGTCCTCCCCTACAGTAGGTTTAGTGTCAGGTATGGCCCTTACCTATAGTCCTCCCCTACAGTAGGTTTAGTGTCAGGTATGGCCAGCTCTATGATGCCCACACACACGTCCCTCAGGACTGCGCTCATGGACACCAGCTCGGACAGGCGGAACGGCATGGCGTGGGAACGGTCTGCAACCAAGGGGAACCATGCAGTCAGAGATGGCAGACTTCAACCCAAGTCCGAAACACATACACACGGATAAATACAGACACATAGAGACATGAAAAAAAAAATCAACTAGAAAGGTAACGTTTGCAAAGCAAATGCATAATGTTTACCTTTGCATATGGTCCGATCTGTTAATTCTTACTCAAACACATTCTAGTACATGTGTATATGGTCAAACAGAAGTCTAAATCCCTCCTGCTATAAAATTGCAACATGATGTAACACAACACCAGTTACCAAGGTAACAGAGTAAACAGTCTGGATCAGGTCATTGAGGTCACTGTTTGGAGAAGAAGAAGAGGAAACGTAGCAAAAACAATGTTTTCCTTTGGTAAACATAACAATTCACGTTAAATCCAGAAAGGAAAGCAAAAATCTTTCCCTGCGGATCATACCTGGCTTCTCTGCATAGAAGTCGATGTCATGCAGGGACATGAGGGAATGGCTGAAGAGGGAACAGAACAGGGACAGCGGGGGGACGACTCGCTGGGCATCCTCAGGTGCCATGGGGATGCCACCTGCCAACAGCTGCAGCAGCTGCACCTTGGAGCTGATAAAGAAAAAATGAAGCCTCAGTCTGACATGTTCATCTACTCTTCCTTCTCCCCTCAATGTTTATTTGAGACAGGAAATCTACAGTCACTTTTGTATCTAATGTTGGAGGTACTGTTCGTCAATACTCCTTGCCTAGCTAATCAAACCTACATGTAACACTTTCAGTTGATAAATCTATTGTTTCCATCATTCCTTTTGGTGGGCTAATTTTCTCCCTGAGTCAAGCTTTAAGAATCCTGTTTACAGTTGTTCTTCAACTTGTTTGAGTCGTCAGTATAAACAGTTTTGTCTGAAGTACAGTAGGCCAACGTTGCATCAGAATTTTACCTGTTTCAGCCAATATCTTTGCCGACATAACATTTAGAAACTACAGACAGGATGTTAACCGTATATATATATGCAAATGCAACCTTATATGAGGCGTTCTGCCAAAGTGCTGTGCACAATACATTGTGGGTTTTGCGCAGTACATTCTGCCGATGTGCTGTACTTGGTATGGTGTAACTTTCAACGGTCCGCCTCAGTGCCAAGCACTAAAATGTAGCAATGATTATGTACTTTTTGTCACTTTTGCTGACTATATACATGTATATGTATTTTTGTAGTGTTTTGCATTAGTTACATAATTAAGGTTACTCAATTGCAATGACATAACATCACTCCCTGCTCACCCCGTGGCTGTTGTCTTGGTTGCACCCAACACTGCTGCATACAGCTGCCTCAGGAAGGCTCCGTTGAAGGCTAGTGTGTACAATAATCTGCAATACAACATCATAATCATAATCAGTGGCATGCTTTTATATCATAACCAGCCTGTGATAACGTTTGATACAGGTGTTCCGGACCGGGCCATACTTAACAGTACAGCCCGGGCTTCCATGGCTTCCATAGAATGATTCGAGCGCATTTCGCTCTAACCGCAAGTGCCACTTTCGAAAATTCGAAAACAGAATTTGTACGTTGGAATTGATGTTTTTGTGTTTTTTGGGTTTAGGGATGCCTAATCTTGGCTCATTTTGCATTTGAAAGACATGTTTTCTTGGGTGGGTATGACAGAGATAAAATACAACGCGGTGTATTCCGCATCGCCCTTGGTCCCGACTCTCCCGCGAGTCTGATCGCCCTCCAGCCTTCGGGCGATCCGACGCGCGGTCGGGCCGATACCTCAGGCTATACGGAATACACCGTGTTGTATTCTATATGAATATCACAAGGTGCACAAAATTATTCATATCATGTTTATTGATTTTGTTCATTGTACACTACTAAAATACATGGCAGTATCTTCTGCTGTTCTTCCTGAATAGACACTGAATTATGCATCTTAGGCCTCTTAACATTTCACAGTTACATGCCTGTAGCCAGGGGGGGTTCGGGCTCAAAGGTCCACTTTTTGTTCCACTTTTTATCTAAAGGTCCAAGATTTTTCTTTAAAAGATGGACTGATTCGTGTCACCAGCGAGGCTGGAATCGTAGGAAAACGGCTCACTTTGTCATAATGATTGAAAAAAGTTATCTCTGATTTTTTCTTTGTAATCCTCTCAAAACTGCATGAAATGTCCTTTCAGAAGGTTCATTTTTGAAAATTTTCCGGGGGAGCATGCCCCCAGACCCCCCTAGGAACCTCGCGCCTACGGTGCTCGCTGGTCCCTCAAGCAGTGGGAAGAACCCCCCATTCAGAATTCTGGCTACGGGCATGCATTACATTGTAATTAAAACAGGTATACCAACTGTTGTACCTGAACTTGTGGACCTGTAGGTTATGCCTGGCCATGAGGGTGTGTAAGATAGAACACAGGGCCAGCAGGGTGGGGTGGGACAGACCGCTGAAGATACAGCGCAGGAAACAGTTGATGTGGTTCCAGGACCCCAGCATGGCGATGCACTGTTCCCTCAGGGCCTGGGGGGAGTTCAGGCTGCCCGACTGGGGAGGATGAAGAATTTGTTTGTTTTGCTTAACTGGATAACTGGGAAGGACCCCTACTTTTTTTATAAGTGCGGTGGGTTCTTTGACCTGCAATGGTGTGGCTCTCCCCAAACACAGGACCTCTATGCTTAGATGGTTTACGTGTATGATACTGATATAAGCTACAAATTGCCCATGTTTTCTTGTGTTAAACTTAAAACTACGAAATGCATTGGCCTTTTGCAGAAAATGCTACAAGCAGTTCAAAGGCAAACAGCTCGTAAGTACAGTACTGCTGTGTAAAAAATGTACATTTTCATTTTTTTTGTCTTATGAGCTGTTATTGAATTGAAAATATCAAAGAGCAGCCAGTAATAGAGATGCCACAAAAGGTTTTTTTTGTGTGCTAAAGGTGTATGTATGTGCACATTACTGTGATACAGGTACATGTGGGAAGGGTACTTCCAAATAGACTAGTTTACAAAATCTACTCCTAGAGATACAATGTACATGTATGTATGTAAACAAACCAGTAGACTCAGTATCTCAAATAGTTGAAAACATGTACCTTTAAGAACATGGGGTCTAAGGTATCCATGTCTTCTTCTTCTGAGTCTGAGTCAGCTGCCTGGTGACTAGCGGCCCTCCCCACACTGGGTAATGTTGGCAGGAGAGTCTCTAACACATGCAGGTACGATGTCAGGGCTGACTGGTTCAACCTCTCTGTACACGTAGCAGAGAAAAACCATAACACTTTAACAGGGTAAGTTCTGTGGTGGTTCTTGTGGCTACGAATATTTTTTCAGGCTTAAAAAAGTCCGTAGTAAGGTGGATTTTTGGGCCGATTAAATGGAGACTCTGATAAATCGAGCAACTTGTCTCTAGGCTAGTTTCTGCACTGTTTCAAACGCCAAACATATGAATAAATGTGCTGATACTTGGCAGTATGTGTTAATACCATACAGATTGTCTTGTTCTAAATATTTCCTATTTTAATGCCCTGATATCGCTTTAGGGCACCTTTAATACATGCAAAATGGGCAAAACGATCACATAGAAATGGTTGAAAAGGTGGAGTAAGAACGCAGATATACATGTAAGAACATGAGTAGTGAATAGTAAATCGCATTCCTGAATAATAAGTACCCTAAAATGACTAAAACGAGAAAACTGGTTATTGGCTACCATTCATTCTCCCATTACTTGACCCTAATACACTTGGTTAATCAGTCAATCTTAAGACAAGATTAGCCTACTTGATTGTGGTACAAAAACATAGTTTTGGGAAGCAAAGGAGGCCGTATATGTGTTAATTGTCTGTTAATTTCATTGCTGAATGTAACAAGAGTAAGAATTTTGTACCTTAAGCAGGGCTCGAAATTAACAGTGTCCTGATGGCCAGTGACCACTAAAATTTAGGCTGGGACAAGTAAAAAGACACTTTTGGAAATTATTGGGACAAAAGAAAAATGATGAACATCACAATGTCAGCCTTTCTATTCTTTATTGGGCACACATCCCGGCTTTTGGCTCCAAATGTCCTGTCTACTCTGCAATTATAGCGCACCTGGGAGTCAGAACGTAAGCAAAATAAAGTTGACTTAAAGTTGAAGCCATACATGTAACTGTTACATACCTCCCGAAAAACAGGTTGGGACAGTTCATCCTCACTTTGGGACAATTAAAATTTATTTTTGGGACAGTGCTGGGACAATAGGAAGAAAAGTTAATTTCGAGACTTGCTTAAGGCTAATTTGCTTTCGACTTTCACTGCTAGTAAGTACTACGGTCTCTAATAAAATCCAGAACATGGAAATACACTCACCTACTTGACAATCTCCTAATTCTAACAAGGAATACAGCAACCAAGGAGATGGCTCCACCCTAGAATGACTGACAGGTGAAGACTCCCCCTCATTGGCTGGAACATCGTGATTGACAGGAGCCAATGCCTGTAAAAGGTCCTCAAATGGGAAGCCTTGTTTCCCACCAGCCATGGCCGGCAGGATGAAGTTTCTAACCTGCTCTGTGATTGGTTGAGTTAGAAGGTCCTTACACAAGGCCCACAGGACAGTATCTCTGGAAAGTTGATAAAGTGATGTTAAACATTGTTACAACAAAACATTTGCTGACATACAAAATATATTTGTGTGTGTCTACATACTTTATGAAGTCTCTGATAACCTCAATATTTAATCGAAAGCGTACTTATGTTGAAAAAAAACTAGGAACTTAATAAGTATCCTTACTCTAAAAATCCATATCAATTACTTAAGGCCACAGCAAGTAAATTTTATGGATGACATCCTCCGTATACTCATAATCTAATGCGAGGAGGCGAAAAAAAACAAGACGGGCCGAAAAAAAACAAGATTCCTAGATTTTAACATTTTGACTCGATCATTGTACAAATGGTTTTGATTCAGTGGGAACATCACATATACACAGCCAACATCACACATCACTGCATCAAAGTAGGAAACAAAACATTAAATCAGAGCCTTTTCTTGTCTCCTCTCTTCATAGTTATCTGTCATCCATCTTCCGGCATGGCAACAGACATCTTTGCCCATTTTCGGCATGTTAACCACTGTCAGAAGGCAACAAAATTTCTTTTTTTTTTTCCAAAATCAGGCGAAAATTAATGTGTGCGCTGTTGTCATCCATAAAAATTACTTGCTATGGCCTTATACATTATGACACAGAGAGCAAAGAAGTCAGCACCATATTGTAACCTTCTTACCTGTATGTGTCTTTGGCTTGCTGTGAGCTGATCAAAGTTAGTGGCTTTACTATAAACTCTAGTAAGGTAGCAGCAAGAGGGGTGGGAGGGTTGGTGGAGTGTTCAATGCTGTCAGGTATTCTACTGTTCACCAGAGACCCAACATGTCTGAAGTAACCTGTGGGGTAAAGATACAACAAGATGAACATTTTTGTGTTTTAATATGAATTTTTACATGTAAAAATGACAATCTACTAGTATCAATTTTAGATAGTGTTAAGTTAAAATAAAGTTATGTTGGTGAAGGTTAGACATCGAGGTAATAAGATACACCAAAAAACAGTTTCTAAAGCAACTGGATTTCCAAAAGTCATCTGGATAGTTTGACATAGAGTCCTTAAACTCTAGCCAAACAGTTTGTTTCTTAATTCCTCTAGCATTGTCAAATCACCTTTAATTCTTACTGTAACTATATAGGAAACCCATGGTTTCTTCCATTGTTTAATCATTTCTAACTCTTACCATGACTACACAGAAAATCCATGGTTTCTGATACTGTTAAAATCATCTCTAACTCTTACCATGACCACACAAAATCCATGGTTTCTGATACTGTCAAAATCATCTCTAACTCTTACCATGACTACACAGGTAATCCATGGTTTCTGACACTGTCGAATTATTTCTAACTCTTACCATGACTACACAGGTAATCCATGGTTTCTGATACTGTTAAGTCTAACTCTTACCATGACTACACAGGTAATCCATGGTTTCTGATACTGTTAAAATCATTTCTAACGCTCACCATGACTACACACTGTCAAAATCATCTCTAACTCTTACCATGACTACAAAATCCATTGTTTCTGACACTGTCAAAATCATCTCTAACTCTTACCATGACTACACAGGTAATCCATGGTTTCTGACACTGTTAAAATCATCTCTAACTCTTATCATGACTACACAGGTAATCCATGGTTTCTGATACTGTTAAGTCTAACTCTTACCATGACTACACAGGTAATCCATGGTTTCTGACACTGTTGAATTATTTTTAACTCTTACCATGACTACACACTGTCAAAATCATCTCTAACTCTTACCGTGACTACACATTGTTAAAATCTCTAACTCTTACCGTGACTACACAGGTAATCCATGGTTTCTGACACTGTTAAAATCATCTCTAACTCTTAGTCTTACCATGACTGCACAGGTAATCCATGGTTTCTAACACGACCATCTCTGACTGTTGGTGAGTGAGGAGGGAACTCTCCTGGTAGACTGCGGTGTCTGTAAACGTCTCTAACATCCGCAGGGGAACAGCAATGGGGCTACGGGACTCTGCTATCATCTCTAGGTACCTAAACAGAAACATAGTCATGTTTCACATAATTACAGTCAAGGTATGGTCAAATTTTTAAGGCACACACACACACATGCACACACACACACGCACACACACACATACACACACACACTCTCTCTCTTTCTCTCTTTGGACTTAGGACAGTGTAAGTCATGAGACAAGGCATCTAGATTTATAAACTTGATTGCTTCTGAAGCCAAGTACCAAAACAAACAAAAAATGCTGGTAAAAATATAACCTCTTTGGTTGATCAAGTTAATAATTAAGGCTTTTACATGCACATTGAAGACATCTACCTGTATCTGTATCTGTATAGCTGGTATAACCATTCGGTGTAACACACCAGCTACGTAGGCACGCGGCACGGCGGCAGCTGGCTATATTACACCGAACGACCTATTACACCCTTGAAAATCTAACTCTTAACATTGTTTAAAGCTATCTAATAATCTACCTGCTTTTAATTACATTTAGATATGGTAAACATGGATGTCAGTCTTACCAAGAAATAAAGTTTGAATGATTACTTAATCTAACCTTGAAGACAGCAGTAAGATCCGTTTGATCTGGTGAGTCCATGTGTCCTTCCCGATGGTACACACCAGACTGCCCACATTCTTCTTCTTCAGCAACAGCTGGCACAGTTTCACCTGGGAAGGGGAGTTTCCAGCAGGGTAAATTTCACTGTCAAGGTTAGAACATGTTCAAATGTTACCAGAAATGATGTACATCCTGGTGATGTAAGTACTTTTTTTGTGAACTCGTTTATTCTGTTACATATATAATACATGGGGTGGGGTCGTGTGTCTTGTGCCCTTGGGAAAGGCACTTTACATGACTTTCCTCACTTCACTCAGGTGTAAATGAGTACCTAGCTTTGCTTATATTATTAGGGACGTCCCTCGGATAGGACATTAAATGGAGGTCCAGTGTTTGGGAGAGCCACACCCCACACACGTTAAAGAACCCAACGCACTTATCAAAAAGAGTAGGGGACCTTCCCAGTGTGAGTGGTTCAAACCTTACAGTCTGGTCTCAGGTTTGACATGTTGAAGAGGTGATAGTCACCTGTTATGTCAATACTTCCACAAATGTAGTAAATCTTCATAAAATAAAATAAACACTAGAAAGGCCGACATTTGCTTGGGAGCAAATACAGCATACAATGTATTTCAGTCCATCTCCCTCCCACGCAAAAGTGGACTATTCCAAACTTACCCCAGTGCAAAACTGGCAAAGGTTCTCAAATTAATGAATTAAATAGTAGCTATATGAGAACAAAGATGCAACAACAAGTACTTTGAATCTCGAAAGCTTTACTAATCTTATTACAGGTATTAAAAAACTAACAATGATGAGATTTGATACATTTTGAAGGTCTTAGGCACATAAAATTGAATGTGTGGGTCATCACTCACCACTTAGGTGCAATGTGACCTCAGGTAACCCGCAGTGGAACACTGTTCCATGGATGGAACCGGCCATTCTTTAGATAGAACATGGAACGGGTATAGCACTTTTGGCCCTTTTTTTGCTGAAAATAGCCATTAAAGTCCCCCAAATGAGTCATTTGGAAGTGGTGTATGCCAAATACATGACTGCTATTCTGTAGACACACGTTCAAGGTACCCTTATACCGAATGTCATATCATTAAGTAAGTCAAGTCATATCATTTGGTTGTAATACCAGGGCTCAGGATCCAAAAATCCATTTTTTGTCGAAAAATGCCCCAAAAAACCTTCATAAAAATTTTTCAAAGGCATGTTTCAAAAAAATGAAAAAAACGTCTGGGGGTATTGGCCCACTCTACCTCCATGCCAAATATCAGGTCATTTGGCTGAATGATGGCGGAGTTGAATCCCTTTGAGTGTTTGGCAGGAGGAGAAGGAGGAGAAGGAGAAACATGAGGGAACACAATATATTTCATCCATACCATGGTATGGACTGAAATATAAATACATATGTCCTGTGACCGTCTATGTCCTGTGTGCTACCATGACTAACAGCTAGACTGACCAATCTAGCTGTCTGTGTCCTGTATACTGACCAGTCTGTCTGTGTGCTGTATACTGACCAGTCTGTCTGTGTCCTGTATACTGACCAGTCTGTCTGTGTCCTGTATACTGACCAGTCTGTCTGTGTCCTGTATACTGACCAGTCTGTCTGTGCCCTGTATACTGACCAGTCTGTCTGTGTCCTGTATACTGACCAGTCTGTCTGTGTGCTGTATACTGACCAGTCTGTCTGTGTCCTGTTGTTGTGTGTAGAAGAACAGCAGCCTCCTGGCCAGCCAGGACAGGTTACTTGGGTCAGGGGTGACCTGTCCCCTCTCCATGTCTGTCATACAGGCATCATACAGCATCCTCTGGTGGTCTTTCTGTGGGAGGGAATTTCAACAGGTCTTAGTAAGGACATACTACCACCATTGACTATTCATCTAAGACATTCTAGTGACATGTAACAATCTGATTGAACCTACGAAAATAATGTGTTTCTGATTGCGGTCCTGAAGAAATTAGGTTTGGTTGATTATTATTATGTTTACCAAAGGAAAATAAACATAATGTTTTTGCTCTGTTTTTTCTTCTTCCATTCCAAACAAATAAGGTCAATGACCTGAGCCAGATGTTTGTCACCATGGTAACTAGTGTTGGGTTACAACATGTTGCAATTTCATAGCAGGAGGGATTTAGACACAATTGTGTTTGAGTAAGAATTAACAGAGCAGACCATATGTCCAAGGTTAATATTATGCATTTGCTTTGCAAATGTTACCTTTCTAGTTTTTCTTTTTATATATAATAGGTTTTTTATTTTTTTTTGTTACCTGTTCGTTCCTGACCCACATGGCCCGTGCGTAAGACTGGATAGTGATGCTGGCATTCTGACGTCTTCTCTGCTCCTGTAACAGTGGGAATATACACGTAAAAGGAAGTGAATGGGCATCATCAAAAAGTACTAAACTGTTTTAGACCCAAAGTTCAAAGTCTTTCAAGGTTTACATTCTACATGACTGTAGTTGTTAACTGTAGTTGACTGTAGTTGTTGTAGTTGTTGTTTTATGTTTTATTAATATGGGCCTTGATCCTCATTCATCATAAATAACCCTTACCATGCCCGTAGCCAGAGGGGTCGGGGGGTCCACTTTTTGGTCCACTTTTTATCTAATGGGTCCAAGATTTCTCTTTAGATGGACTGATCTTGTGCAAGCACGTCTAACCTCGGAAGACGGGGAACAACAGACGATAAACCGGACAGTGAGTGAGTGAGTGAGTGATTCGTATCATCAGCGGGCCTGGCAGGATATAAAAACTGCCTACTTTGTAATTGAATAAAAAAGTTATCTCTGATTTTTTTCTCTGAAATCCTCTCAAAAATGCACGAAATGTCATTTCAGAAGTTTCGTTTTTCAAAATTTTCCGGGGGAGTATACCCCCTTATATCATACCTGGGCCGCGATAACGTTCGATAACGGGTTCTGGACCAGGCCGTACTTTACGGGACGGCCCGGTCCGGAACCCGTTATCGAACGCTTTCATGGCTTCCATAAAACGATTCGAACGCGTTTCGCCCTACCCACTTGTGCCCCTTTCGAAAATTCGAATACAGAATCCGGACGTTGGAATTGATGTTGTTGCATTTTAGGGTTTAGTGGCACCAACTTTTGGCTCATCTTGCACTGAAAGGCGTGTTTTCTTGGGTGGGTATGACATAAATAAAATACAACACGGTGTATTCCGCATCGCCCTCGGTCCCGGCCCTCCTGCGAGTCGGATCGCCCTCCGGCCTGCGGGCGATCCGACCCGCGGTCGGGCCGATACCTCGGGCGATACGGAATACCCCGTGTTGTATTCTATATGGACACTCCTTATATTATATAGGAACCTACTGCACTCGCTGGTCCCTCAAGCAGTGGGAAGAACCCCCCATTCAAAATCCTGGCTACGGGCATGCTTACCTCTCTTTTCTCTCTTTCCACCTGAGCTCTCTTCAGTAGTACATCCCGGGGTTCCTGAAAAGAACACAACAAGGTGTAACCAAAGGTGTTATAGGCATGGTTATTACCTCCGGGGAAGGAGATATCCTTCCGCGAGGAGGTTTTACTATGGTTCGAAACATTTCTGTCAGCAGCTGTTTCTCGCGATCGGCTGGACGGATTTGTCTGTGGTTCGGTATACGTATTGCTATTGGGCTACAGATGATGCAGAACGTTTTTGTTTAATTGCATATGTGTTTATGGGCGTCGAAATAAAAGGTTTTTAAGTGCTCCGGACACCCCCGCCATGCTGAAAATGGTAATTACCATGTTGTTAAGGAATGGGGCGGTTGCAGTTTTGGGTCTTAGCATTCAAAAGGGGTCAAACAGAGGGGTGTCTGGTTCCGATAAAAATTTTGGGTGACGGCGCAGCAATGACGGCGCGGGATGACGGCGGGGGTAATGGCGCGGGTGACGGTGCAGGCTGTCAGACTGTGAGACACGTTAATCAACAGTCCATACCGAACCAACCGTCAGTAGCCATCAAACACATACAAACATATTACGCACATAACTTTCATACTACACACAAACAAATAACCTAAACCAATAGAACACAAAAAAACCCGGAGGTTTGAAATCTACGATTTCCCTTGTTTATCTTATTTTAGAACACACATGGAAACATCCTTACATTTTATGAGTGATTGAAATCATAGCAATTAGATAATTACAAAAGATACGTAGTTGACGGCAATGAAGTTATAGTCAACACGAACTGATGCAGAAATTAGCGTAAGGCAGTTTGGTTTATAGATTATAATGTCTACAAAATGTATAATATTTTTCAAGTCATAATGCCCCCCTCCCCACTACGTGAAATTATAATTTTGCTTCTCGAAACCAAAAGCAGAAAATTATGCCGTGGTGTGATCAGATGTATGCAGAAGTCCACGACACATCCTTACCTTCCTGCTCGCTCCACCTAACGCTACGGTAGGTCTTGTTCGGAAATCTCCACTGAAACCACTGAAACTTGAAGTGTACATCTTATTCTCCTAGACACAGGGACATCGGAAGTCAGCTTGTTTACGCTTAAAATAACGTCGCACACAGTTCAGATCTCGATATCCAGCCCTTCGAAAGTAAAAGAAATATCCGTGCTGGCTCAAGTAACACCTTAGTGTTTAAAAAGCTGAGTAACTTGTCTTAGAACTTGCTAGAAACGTATTGTCTTGTCGTCTTCTTCTGTTTACAACCACGGAGATGTGAAACTCTCCCTCATTGGCTGAAAGGACGGGTCAGGTCAAATTGAACCAATCAAAATGTAGGTTATAAATTGTTGTGTATGTGAGGGAACACCGCATGTTTTGATGGCGTCACATCAAAAATGCACCATCACGATGACGTCTTCGTGATGACGCAATACACCTGCCGCAAAGTTTCGTCGTAATGGATGATGTCACATACATGTAGTACGTAGAAATATAAAAGGGCATTCAAAGGGCGACTAAAGCTGATCACTACACTGTAATAATAGAACAAGAAGACAAAGCGACATTTTGAAATGAATCATTTCATATGCATGTTTTTCTTCTCAGTCTGTGACGCACGGGGGCATAGCAATCGTGGTCAGCAAGTAAATTTTATGGATGACATCCTCCTAATGCGATTGGGCGAAAAAAACAAGGCGGGCCAAAAAAAGAAAGATTTCTACATTTTAAAATTTTGACATCATATTAAAGTTAAACAAAATGGTAAATATATTGTGCTAAGTTTACTGCCAACAATTACAACATCCATTGTCACTGAAAAAATAAAAGTTTTCAATCATTGTATTGATGGTTTTGATTCAGGAACATCATATATAAAAGGAATGAAATACATCACTACATCAAAGACAAAACATCAAATCAGAGCCTTTTCTTATCTCCTCTTTTCATCACCATTTACCTGGCTTCCACGTTTCGGCATGGCAACAGACATGTTTGCCCATAATTTTGGCACGTTGACCACTGTCAGAAGGCAACAAAATTTATTTTTTTATCCAAAATCAGGCGAAAATCAATGCGCGCGCTAATTCATGCAGATGAGGACGTCATTTGCATACATTTATAATTCATCAGTCGTAAAGGTTATCTGGATAAGGTATGGGGTCGTGTAGCTCTAGTTGGATATCGGCCAGAAAAGGTGCTTATTTTCTCGTTACAGCGCAATTGGAGCAAAGAACACACTATCCGGATGGATATATGATAGTTGTAACTTTACTTTATATTTCTCCGCATAATGACATGCAATTAATGCTGTGTATTTGAAAAACATATTCTAATAAACAATACCTCAAGTGTGCAGTTTTCAAGTACTCCTATTTCACATTGTACCCACAGACAGACACAAAGTCAACATACACAGACTTATTGACAGACCAAAGTCAACAGACTAATTTACCCTCCAAACCCGAGTATGTAGACTTTGAACCTATGGCACAGGTGGTTGATCCCAACCATAACATGGTTTCCATGACACAGTTAATATATCATGCCGTTGTCCAATCACAGCGTAGAAAAACATGCCCGTGGTGACTCTCAAGAAGAAAACTTGTGTGTCACAATCCATTACTCGTTATGTAACGGTCTTTGTTGTACCCGAAGTAGTGACAGAATCACCGGTAGCTAATCCAGTTAATACTGACCAATTAGTGCGCTGTTTTACGTCAACATCAAAAATGGCGATCGCTCAAGCCGAAGTCTTCCATGATGAAGAGCACATTTTGAACTGCGCGATTTGCAGGGACCGGTTTGATAACCCCAAAGAGCTGCCGTGCCTTCACACGTTTTGCCGGGACTGCCTGGAGCGATATGTCGGTGGGGAAACTGGTGCCTTCTGCTGTCCAACCTGTCACAGAATAACGGCCGTACCGCGAGCTGGGGTGGACGGCTTTCTCAACAACAGTCACATCAGCAGCCTCGTGCAGCTAAACGAGCTGTTCAGAGGCGGGGACTCTCACCCGGTCTGCCAGTTCTGTCCGTCCAAGGTCATGGCGACATCTTGGTGCCAGGACTGTTCGTCCTTCCTCTGCAAAACCTGCCGAGATCGGGCTACTCAGATCTACCAGGGGATGAGGTTCTTCACGTTAGAGGAGTTCTGTGATCCTAGTAAGTACAAAGCTACAGGCACCCCTGACGAAGTGGCGACGCTGACCTGTTTATGCCTGACGAATGAGTGTCGCGACAGTGACGCTGTCCTCGACCAAAAAGTGACAGACGTCACCACAAGCAGCGACGGGTCAGACACAAGCGACTCCGCCAACTGACATTAGATATAGAGCAGTACAAAAATATACACAACACATCGCGTCTTGGTGCTCTGAAGACAGAGGAAACTTTCACCAAAGAAGGACACTAACTAAACTGAAGGACGACTGAAGCTTCAGTAGACAAGAACCCTGTCAAGAAGAAGGTGTATGAAACCTTGTTACAAGTAACCGTTTTAGGTTTATTATTTGCCTTTGTCGAGAAATCGCGCAGTTTTAAATACTTCAAAAGATTCCGAGAACTACGAGTTGATATATTATACACGATAAACAATGTGAAAATGAAAGTGAAAGACAGATAATGACGCATTTGACTCTTGACTATCGTGAGGTACTCAGTGGCCAATACGTATTTTCACTTCGATCCCCAAAGAAATGTCGAAGAAAGGCCTCGCAAAGTCTAGCATATACTGTATACATATACTTTTGTCTTTCAAAATGCACGTATATCTAACGGAGACCCTTACACCGTATTATCGATTCAGAATGACCTACTAGTAACCATATGGTAGTACAGGACGGTATGTATATTTAACTTTAATCACAGAAAAGGCGGAAAGGTAGACGTTGTGTGAATAATTTCTCTTTTAACTCTTTATATTTCTAAGACCTCGTACTATTTAAGTAAGATTTTATTCTGCTAGCCAGTACAGTCCATTCAGCCTGTATGATTGATGTACTTACCATGTCAGTTTTATCTTGCACATGTACATACATTTTGTTCCTAGTAAAGTGACGCACCTCTAGTTTCTTAAATGCCATTTAGATATTCAAAACAAGTCATACTGTATAAATGTTATCAATTGATCTCACATTATCTTTTACAAATATTTGTCTAGCTTTTTTTAAACACATGCTAGTGAAAGCTTTATTTGCGAGATGTATATACTACTTATGGATATTTTGTCTTATGCCTTAATATCATATGTGATGTGTACTCTTACGCTGATTCCACTGATTGAGTACGGCAGCACATATAGTTTTCTTCGAACGTTTCAAAGTGAACACACACACACACACACACACACACAAACACACACACACACACACACACACACACACACACACACACTACACACACACACACACACACACACACACACACACACACACACACACACACACACACAAAACACTTGATGTTTCAATGCATGTTTTTCGTCCGAACAATGACATCATGAACTCAAATGACACCCGTTACACACCTTCATTTTGTACATCTGATCTGTTCCATTGTTCTTCCGCATAGTTGACGGTTGAATCAAAGCCGCCTTTAATACCTGACCTGTGACTCACAACGCTGCAAGGGGGTGGGGGGCGATCAACAGGGCAATTTTTGGCCGTCGCCGTTTTATTTATTTATTTATCACAACTTTGTCACAAGGACTGGACAGTGGGAACAGGCAGATGCCTTTTCAATGCCCCCTGTCCCGATAAAAACATACATAAATCTAAAATACAACTAATAACAAATACAATTAATTACTAACAATAATCTTAAAGGTAAGTAGTAAAACAAAAACAAACGTTTGCCTGGACTTTTCCCCAAAGATGAATGTTTGGTCGAACATCTTTGTTTGGATATAATATTTGTTATGCTCTTTGAGCAAATTTCTATAAACCATGCCCATCCACACACCCACAACTAGAATTCACCCCTTAACTTAAGAGGATCGCCACAGGGCCTTAAGGCTTAAAAATTTGCACGTACAAGTACTAGATCAGGTATTACTCATAGTAGAAAGGCGTTGCATTGACACGCCTCACTGTTGTACATGTAATTATAAACGGTTCAAATAGAGACATGGCGGATGTGAAACAAATAGAAGGTAACGAGAGCTCGACGATTACTTCCTGGCGTGTACGCTGACGTTGTGTCTTGTACGTAACCTGTACGTTACTAGGAGCCTATAGGATTCTTCCAGATCCGTGTCTGCATGCGTTCTAGATATCTGTCTGGAGTTGTTGTGAGGAAACTTCAGCGGGCTAGTGGCGGCCTCGGGTGACCGACGTGCCGTGCTGTCCTCGCTCTTCCGTCGGGCGGTGTCGAGGGTCTGCCCAACAACTTCTACGTGAAGGAACCGCTCGAGTTTCCCCGTACGGTAGGAGGTTGACACTCAGAACTTTCAGCCGTGTATGTTTTTTTTTTTTAATCGGTTTTTTAGATACAGAGACTGTTCTTTGTTTCTTTGGGAAGGTTGTCGTACTGAGGAACAGTCAGACATGCCCGTGACAAAATCTCACGACGTCTCTGCGGTTGATCATGAAGAGTTGTGCCAAAAGGAGGTTAATTTTCAGGACGCCACGCTGTGTCCCGTACATAAGGACCAAGTCGTGACGTCCTACTGTAATACATGTGAGACCCTCTTATGTCTGCGCTGCACGCAGTCGGACAGTCACCCCGGACCCGACCATGACCTGTGTGAGTTGGCGAAAATTGCCGAAAGGCACCGAACCAGCCTTCGGGAGCTCCTCACCAGAGTTTGGGACTTGAGGTCGGATATTATAAGAGCCACTGACAAGGTCAAATCGCAACAAGAGACTCTTGGACTAGAGAAAGAAAGGGCCGAGGAGGGCATCAAAGATTTCTTTGACAAATTAACCGCACTTTTGGAAGTGAAGAAGATCGACCTCCTGAAAGAGGTTCAACGAGTCAGCGCCGACAAAATGGCGACCTTGACTCAGCAATCCCGTGAATTGGACGACTTTTTAACCGATTTAGAGTCCGAGGCGAAGTTTTGCGGTCAAACCTTGGCCCACCATAGTAACGCTGAACTCGTGCATGTACAGAAACAAATACAGGAAAACCTAGACCAAATTCTATCGCGAAAGATCGACGTTAATTCAAAAACGAACACGCTAATCGTGTACAGGGCTGACGAAACATGTCTGCAAACGTTACAGGATATCGACGCTGGTTATATCCAATCCTCTCCCTGTTCTCCCCCACACTCAACACTCTCTATAGAAGACGCGACGGAGGGATTTTTCACAACGATCCAAGTGCAACCACGAGACGAACACGGTCAGAAATGTCACACAGACAGCGGGAATGTAGAAATTGAGATAAAGGAACCCACGGGTGGTATACAAGAGGCGAACGTTGAACCCAGGCTTGACGGTACGTGGTCTGTGGAGTGGAGACCGCGGGTAGCCGGCGAGCATTGCGTGGTGGCCAGTATTGACGGGTACCCTGTGAATGGTAGCCCTTACGTCATCAACGTCAAGAGCAACAACCCCGTCCTGCAGTTTGGGAAGAGAGGAACGAGGAAAGGTCGTTTTAGAGAGCCAATCGGGATCGCCATAGACAAATTAGGTCAAGTCGTGGTGGCGGATTCGACTAACGCGAGGATTCAGATTTTCGACCCTTACGGGAGGTGTCTCCATGCCTTTCCGGCGTTGTCCTCTCATGCTACAGGCGTGAGCGTCAGTCCTCTTGGCGACATCGTGGTAGTGGAGTGGGAGGAGAACACTGTGATGATATTCTCCGCAGAGGGGAAGCTTCTCCAGCGGTTTCGTTGCGAACATTTCAGGCAGCCGTACGGGGTAGCCGTGCGACAGGACGGCTGGATAGTCGTAGCCGACGCCAAGGCTCACCGCGTCTTCGTGCTGGCACCTGACGGGACGCTCGTCCGGACGGTCGGGGAGAGGGGGACCGGGGAAGGACAGTTCGAACAGCCGTACTTCGTCGCCACCGACCAGAACGACGACATCGTCGTGGCCGAGATGTCCAACCACCGCATTCAGGTCTTCGACATGTTCGGGAACTTCAAGCGCAAGTTCGGTTCGTACGGACCGAAGCTGGGGCAGTTCTCCTGCCCGGCCGGAGTGGCCGTGGACAGGGACGGTCACATCATCGTGGTGGACACGGACAACCAGCGGGTCCAGGTGTTCCGGGACGACGGGAAGGTGTTGTCGGTGGTGAGTAGCGCAGAACACCGGCTGAACATTCCTCACGGCGTGGTCGCCACGGAGGACGGGCACATCTTTGTAGCGGACACCTACAACCACTGTGTCAAAAAATATCGATACATATGAGAAGAAAAAGTTAGTCAAGAAAATTTTTCTTAGCACTGGCACTGTATGTAACGTACATGTGTTATAAAACCAAATGACAGTTTTCAAAATCTCAACATCTATCCAGTTGCTGGAGTAACTTTTTTATTGTGTATCTCATTACTTGGACATCTAACGTTCATTAACTTATTTTGCTCCAGTATTTCCTATTTATTGGCTACGTCATGTACGGTACGTACACAAAGCTTATTTTAATAGGCAATCTACACTGCAATTCTTATAGTAGTCGCCAGGCAGACAAAATATTTTTCCAGTCAAAGTCCAGCTGGCTTGTACTTGAATTGTGTGTTAACAATTAACTGTTTGGGGGCGAGGAATAAGACATATATAAAATGTTCATTCATACATATATTCAAATACAAAAACATGTCATTGATAAGTGAAGTGCAAAACTACGGTAAATACTTCACAAGTTCACAATACTTCACGCAAAGATATAACGTCAGGTAATTTTGTGGCTGCACATGAATTGAACAAGATACGATGTACAAACCGCGTCTGATGTCAGTGTCTGGTGTCGCCGCACAAACATTCAATAAAACAGCCAGTTCTATGCTAGATCAAAGCTTGGTTCTGGAAAGGATTCTCGATTGTTACTCTTATTCAACAATAGAGAAGTGCCGTTCTAGAACGTCTGTCTTGTAGCCACCCAAAGATCTGCTTGGAAAATATGAAATAATGATTTGAAAAAAAAAGGAACATAAAGATTCGTTTGAATCGCATAACGTTCCATCGTTATGTTTACCGAAGGAAAACATATTGTTTTTGCTACATTTCCTCTTCTTCTTCCATTCCAAACACTGACCTCTGACCCTGGGAAATGACCTGATTTGTTGACGTCTGTCACCATGGTAATCGGTGTTGTGTTACATGATGTTGCAATTTTATCGGTAGGAGGGATTTCCTTTCTGACCATATATATAAATGTATTTGAGTAAAAATCAACAGAGCCTACCATATGCGAAGGTTAACATTATGCATTTGCCTTTCTAGTTTCAATTGCATTGTACCTTTTGTTTTATGTAATCTAGATACAGAATATCACTTATCAACTACAAATAAAAGACAACTGTCAATCACAGTATCATTCTACAACCATAAACAAACCTGCGTTTCACAAGTATCGGATGGCTGTCTAACAATAAGCAAGCCAAGGGTCACCTTTGTAAGGCCATGTTGATTTGATTATATGGATGACATCCGCGCGCGCATGAATTTTCGGCCGTTTCCAAAAAAAAAAGTTTTCAACCATACTGTAAATCGAACAAAACAGTTGCAATATGAGCAAAAATATACCATAAGTTACAAAAAAAATTCATAAAGACTATACCAATGTCGTAGAATGCCAAAATCAAACGAAAAAAGACGAAATTGTAAAGAAATTAACTTGAAGACTAGATTATTCGCCAAACCATATTCTGTGCCATTTGCTCAACCCTCATGACCACGTAGATTTCATAATGAAAATAACTTTTTTTTTTTGCAAAACTTTTTTTTTTATTCGCACGCGCGCATCAGTTTTGGGGCTCCCGGAGGATGTCATCCATATAATGAAATCAACATGGCCTAAGATGTACACACGAACACTTTGTCGGGGGTAACGGAAAACGTACGGCAATACTTGGACGAACTCAACTGTTCGTTGTTATGTCTGGTCCTTTGTCAGGTCTTCTTAAAACATTAACGTACGTTTCTTCAAGGAAATTTATGAAAGACCGATGCCAAAGTCTTGTGGTGTATATATACTAATGTGTATTAAGGCCACAGCAAGTAAATTTTATGGATGACATCCTCCGCAGACTTGAAATCTAATGCGAGCGGGCGAAAAAAAACAAGGCGGGCCGAAAAAAACAAGGTTCCCACCTTTGGCTCAAACATTGTACAAATGGTTTTGATTCAGTGGAAACATCACATATACACAGCCAACATCACATATCACTGCAACAAAGTGAAAAACAAAACATTACATCAGAGCCTTTTCTTGTTTCCTTTCTTCATAGTTATCTGCCATCCACGTTCCGGCATGGCAACAGGTATCTTTGCCCATTTTCGGCATGTTGACCACTGTCAGAGGGCAACAAAATTTCTTGTTTTTTTTTTTTCCAAAATCAGGCGAAAATTAATGCGCGCGCTGATGTCATCCATAAAAATTACTTGCTGTGGCCTAAGGCACGGATCATAAGAACACACGTTGTCTTCTTGCCTTTGTCTATGTCGTTAGAGGACGGTGTTCTAGAATTGCAAAGATTGTTACGAAATTGATTGTCTCTCCATAGCCATGGTTTCGTCACAGTAGAAATACCTGCAGGACAATTTGATTGTCGCGTACAATCGTAACCTGGCAAACGAGTACAAAAAACAGGTGTCACATCGAACTGGCATGCTTGTGGAGGAAATAACATCGCCATGGGGATACCGCTGTCTAAGAAGACCCGAGCGGAAAGAAAGGCCCTGGCCGCGCCCAAGATGCTAACCGCTGTCAAGGCGTTCAAGGAAGCCGGGGCGAATGCAAGTCCCTGGAAGAGAACGGCAGGGGGCGCTGCTGCACAGACGGCCTGGGGTCCCAAATCAAGGTGTGTACTTTGACATGTATCTAAGGCCATGTTGATTTGATTATATGGATGACATCCACTGGGAACCCCAAAACTGATGCGAGCGTGCGAATAAAAAAAAGTTTGACAAAAAATGCTTTCATCATGAAATCTACGATTCAAATTCATTTCTTTAAATTTTCGTCTTTTTGGCATTGTAGGACATTGGTATCGTTTTCCAATATTTTTTTTCGCAAATTACGGTATATATTTGCTTATTTTGCAAAAGTTTTGTACGGTTTACAGTATGGTTGAAAACTTTTTTTTGGAAACGGCCGAAAATTCATGCACGAGCTGATGTCATCCATGTAATCAAATCAATATGGCCTAACCAAGTACTTTTTTATATATGTGTAACAGAATTCTAACTTTCAATCTTGAAATTATTACTCAGTAACTTCCGGAGGAATCTTACGGTCAGTTAGATTTTTCTGTGTTGGTAGCTAGCTGTGACTCACGGTCTCTTTGCTGCATTGACATGTAGTTTTAGCCTCTACCAGGCTTGGGGAGGCGGCTGGAAAGAGTAGAAATTGGCCAAATAGAGAGATAAGCATGCCAAGGGGTGCGGCGAAATGTTCTCTCAACGGACAAACTCCCTTGGCATGCTTATCTCTCTATTTGGCCGATTTCTACTCTTTCCAGCCGCCTCCCCACCAAGCCTGGTAGAGGCTCATTGAATGTAGTTTGGCATCGTCGTCTGCTTTGTAGTTCGCACGAGATGATGCATATGCACGTTGGCATGTCGGTAGTTAAGGGATTATCAAACACTTGAGCTACACCGCAAACACCATCATTACTTCACGTTCTAGGGGCACTTGTTCTATTTTAGGTGCTGTAGGCCACAGCAAGTAATATTTTTGGATGAATTAAAGCGCGCGCATTGATTTTCGACTGATTCTGACCAAAAAAAAAAAGAAATTCTGTTGACCTTGATGTTGGACGGTGAACAACATCAGGGGTGCCAGAGTATACAGTGATATTTTTGGGAATACAATGCAATTTTACGGAATACAGTGCAATTTTACAGAATACAGTGCAATCTTACGGAATACAGTGCAATCGTATTAGTATACAGTTTCAATTTTACTAGTAAAATTTACTGTATACTAATACGATTGCACTGTATACTCTGACACCCCTGAACATGCTGAAAATGAACAAAATGTTGTAAATGTTGGAATAAAGACCTGTTGGTTGTGATGCGATGCCATGTTTTGTTGCAATTGCCTCAAATCTTGTTTAACAAGGTTTATGATCTGAAAAGTTGAAAATTTAGAAATCCCGCCTTATTTTTTCACCCTATCGCATTAGATTTAGAGTATGAGGAGGATGTCATCCATAAAATTTACTTGCTGTGGCCTTATATGGCTACAATAACTCATGCGGTGGACAGCAAGATAGATTGCGACATGTAACGTTGCGTGTAATAAAACGATATAAAGGCCAGGGCTGGTCTCGTTTCGGAAAAGAAATGGATCAGCTAGAAAATATCACGATTTTCCTCACTACATCTGCTTGGAGATGAAGATTACAATATCCATATCTACTCCTCCTTAAATTGTATGACTACAAGTGCGGTCCTACCATTGGCTTAGTCTCTACCAGACTAACTACGCTGGCTATGTATAGGAGAATATTTGCAAGGGAGTTTGGCCGCCTTGTAGGTTTGACTGACCGCGCCGGAGGGAAAGAAACTACCTCCCCGCGGCCGGACTCCCTTGGCCCATTTTATTCTCTTTTTCGCCGAATTCTACGAGCCGTACTGCCCGTAGAAAGGCCTGGTGGAGGCTACCGTTGGGTTGTGAAAGAGCGATACTGTTCGCTCAACAAGGTGTCAGAAGGCCAAGGCCAACGTCACGTTGGATACAGCCACAGGGTACGCAAGGAATTTCATGACGACACACAGCTAGTTCACCACAATGCGCCTTTATACCGGGTTTCAAAGCGTCTGGAGCCGCCGTGAGATTGATAGCAACAAACGACTGTTAATAAAAATAACATGCCGACGTCAGCCTCCGTTTGCCTCGCGGATTATAAAACATTTACAGGGTCACATCGTCACGTCACCCTGTCTGAATCAAGATTTATATGTCTTTCAAAAACTCCTCTGTACCGTACATAATGGGGGATAATATAGAAAAGCACACCCTCTCCTGAAATATCAGCACCTTTTATTCCTGCAACAAACGCCTGTCAATTAACGATTAACAACTTAGTAATCGGGTTTGGAGGGTGTTTGTTGTTATGTTCTCAGGCGTCACACTACCACGTAGCCATTCAGGGTGTAGAAAGCCTGCAGAAGTGGACATATAGCGGACAGAAGTGTGCGTGTGTGAGAGGTAAACACAAGTGGGCCAGTCAGTAAAGCTCTGCTTGAAGTGGAGTACGTCATCATACGGCTGAGCCGGTAAGCTGCGGTTCTAGGTCGATCGATAGTGTGAGAGTTTTCAGGCGGCGTTGTTCAGAGCGAGGTCCCGGCAATGTCAGAACCACCGGCGGCGACAACGTTTGCGGAAGTTGCAAATTGCCGTGGGAGAGACCACATTTGACAATAGCCGCGACAGGGGAAACCCTTGTGCCCAGGTGTCTCAACATTATCCACTCAAGTACTAGTCGTCCTGTTCCTGTCGGCATCTGTCTTTCGGCTCTGGGAATTCGTCCCGCGGTGTGAACGTTACCCAGTTGTCGGTGAATGGGCGTCATGGCCTCCCCTCAGCCTACCCCTCACCGCCCGTCTCTGGAGAAGTGGGCGCGAGTCGTGCGTTTTGCCCGGATGGCCCACGCCATGAAGCCGCCGGACAAGTCGGGTCTGCCCGCGCCCGAAGTCCGCGTGTGCGCCTTCACGACCTGGTCCGTGAGGAGGAGGAACAGCGACGAGAGGGCCAAAAACGCCTTCAACAAACCCACTCAGAGGTGAGTAGAGAGAAAAAACAACAACAACAACCGTTTCTACACAAGGGGCACCTGTTTAGTTTGCGGGTGGCGGTTTCACAGCGACCAACAAGTTTTGCTCCCTCGTCTTATATTCAATTTGTCACAATGTCGGATCAGACGTTCTCGCAACATTCTGTCATTCCTCTAACGCTTTTGACAAGAAAGGGCGCCGATGTGTCGTTGCCATACAACGATTTAAAACACCGGCTATAAATTCCCGCACCTATACAGAAGTTCAAGTAGCTGTGTTTGAAGGTTAGTCAGAATGAATTAGTTATAAGAGACTATTTATCAGCCTAAGCCCACGTGCACGATATAAATGTCGATAGCAAACGTTTATAATTGAGATATACATAATATACAGCCCAAGCTGATTTGGACTGCCTACTGCCTAAATGCTTAGGCCAGAACTGGCCCCTTGCTCCTCTTCATTTTTTCCCGCCAGGCGTCACGGTCCTTAGCCTTTCGTTCAGCGTACTTGAGGGACCACCCCGTATCCTGTACTATCTGGTCCCTCCATCTTTTAGGGGGTCTTCCTCTAGGTCTGGGGTTTGTGAAATCCTGATGGTAGGCCCCATATACCAAAGAGTCTGGGGGTCTCCTCTTGGGTATATACATCTTACACAATAAACGGATAGCTGTATGTTAGTGCATCCCCCGAAATTTGAAGTAGCATTTTGGGTTGCTTCTATATAATGTGATTTTTATGAGGGTATATGTGTTCTCAGAACTCTGTTTTGAGGCGGCGCACAACAAATTGAAGACCGAGAATTAATATGCCATCAGAAGTAAGCCCATCACATGTATGAAACGCCGGCTTAAGTGTGAAATGCCCCCACCACCAATTCACCTCTCTTTAGAGACTGCTAGCAAGGAGGCTATATATAGTACCATGACCATCATACTTGGTAATACTGAAGAGTACCGGCCATGCATGTTGTTGGGTTGCATATTGCAGTAGCGTGAGTTTCGCCAATCAGTCAATCCGGTAGAGACTGTTCTAACATGAAGACACTGACAGACAGGACCTCTCGTCGACCTTTTCGAGATTTGAAAAATTTCCCCAATGGAAATATTACACTAAGCCAGTGTCCCGCCTTATCAACCTTTACATACTTGGTTTGTAGGGAAAATTTTTCAGTCCGTTGCATTTTTATGTATGTTTCATAAAAGTTGATAGAACAACAAGCAAATTATACGAATGTAACCCTGCAAATTCTTTTACAAGGCAAGAGAAACTGTTTGTATATGACGCTAGGAAAAAAACTTGTTTTGGTAACAAAAAGTCCTGCTAAAGAATGAAAAACCTGGCAACAAGGAAATATTCTTTTGAACTCGGACACATGGCACATACATTTCTGTGATGTTGATATAACCACTTGTACGATAACGGAAAATACAATCAAACAACAACTATATTTACTTTTATTTTGTATCCAGTGTCTGTTGCGATATCACACCAACCTTTTGCCTGTGACCTATACATCGTTAGATTATCATTAATCAAAATAAGATAGACCCTTTGATATATTTGTAATCTATCCGACACCTTAATGTCATCGGAACAAATGTATTTCTTTTGTTTCCCCCCGAGTCTACACAATTGATTTACTACTTTCCCCGGCGCTATTTGAAATGTCATGGTGTTTTTTTTATGTCACTGTATGTCACAGGTTGTCGTCAGTTTGTCGCAAAAGTCTGTCCACAAATTGTGTGTCTCAGACAAGAAAGTACGATCTGAAAGACCATATATTTTTACGACTAGTATATAGGCAATAGGTACCTTTGACATCAGAAAGAAATCACATTTTGGAACAATATCGTGCTACGGATCGGAATAGAATCAAGTCATCTATACAATACCAGCCATCACTGTATGTATGGTGAGCTACTTTTAAACTTTATTAATTATTTACGCTACGATTAATTTCGACCCAAACTCAAAACATGTTTGCGTGTTTGACGCAAAGAAAACACACGGCAAAACCATTCAAACACCCCCTTTCAGGATTAAAAGGAAAACACAAATTGGCAGCAGCGAAAGCCGTGTGTCTCCAACAAAGATTAAGGTGCCAACTGACTATTGATACTTGACTTAAAACAGACCTTACGTTTAGCTACGTTGATTTTCTTAGATATTGAACACAATGTTTCCCCTCCAAAGCTTTGGTTTCATCCCGTATAATGTAGATTAATATGTAATCTCGTGACAAATTGATTGAAAAATGACTCCAGACATACATATACATGTAGTATATAATATCCGTTTCCCTTATAAAACGGTGAGACAAGTTACCGGGGCGTTAGAACAGAACGACACATCTGCTCGGGCCCGACCTATAAGACGACGGGTAACTCTGGTCTCTGCAGCTGTTTCGTCAGGCATGGCTTGTGGAAGGTATGGTAAGATAGACGTAATTGTATCTTCTGAATATATTCATCTTATACGGCTTTAATTTCAAAGATAATGTATCGGCCGGGCTAGTTTTGTCGCGCGCGCGTGTGGCCGTTTCTGCGTTCAGGCCCATTCGCCCCTCTAGTTGTACGCGTTTTTACTGTTCAACTCTTAGCTAGTAAGATCTAGAAACGAAAAAAAAACAAGACAAGCCGGACCAAAAGTCTGTTTGGACACCACAACGTTCGCCCATTCTATTACCCTTTGAAGTATCAGTTGTAATAGTATACTACAAGGCAGGTAGGCATAGTATACTAACATTTTTTCCCAGTATGCATGCTTTTATTGCATTTTCTCAAGGTTGCTCAAAATATACACTTGAACGTCATCACAACATTGATGAGGTCCGCGTTTCTAGTGAAGTGATTTTATGCAACACCTTGTTAAAGGCTGACTATTCTGAAGGACGTTGTTGAATGCGCTACAGTCTGTGGGTCCCGTCAGCACACAGTACGACAGATGGGTTACGGGTCCGCGAATTCTCAACGAGGGATGCCAACAGCCCTTCAGAATCAATTCTGCACGGTTCAAATGTAGCTACAAGAGAAACATCTTGGTATATCTACCCTGGAAGCCAGAACTCGTTTTCCGGGCCGCAAGAGCCCTTCGCCCGCTGGTGTAAATTTAATTACCGCCACGGGGGAGTCTAGCCCGGGGGGAGTTTGGCTGGCCCTACAAACGGACCGGACAAAACTCCCGGGCTCAACTCCCCCGTAGCGGTAATTTAGATAGGCGGACGAAGGGCTCTTGGCTGCCGAAGGAAAACGACTAACGGCCCGATACTAGTTTGGCATCCAGGGTATGGCATATCGAGATGCTAAGTTTTAAAGATATTCTTGCATTATAGGACACTTTAGAGGCGAAATCTGGATTTTGTTTTCGTACAGTGTGTAGATGACATGCTGTACTGTGTTACTAGGTGAAATTATGCAGGAGAAAGAATTCTATTGGAAATACAAGCTTGTTTTGTTTGCTTTGAACCAACCACGCAAAATGAATTTTCAGATCATTGTTGCTCGGTTTGAATTCTATTATGTTTTTTATGTATTAAGCCTCTTAAACATTCATCCAAATGCTTGGCTGATGACGACGGCTTAGTGCTTAAACCTAACACAGATAATATTATACCTGTATGAATTGTATTGACTTTGACCTTTTGATAACTAACCTTAGTGAGGGTAAGTACATGTACTTCGTTCTGACTCGCTTGTTTTCTAAAAAAAAACAAGAGGAAAGTCAGGCCACAGCAAGTAAATTTAATGGCTGACATCCTCCGCAGATTCCAAATCTAATGCGAACGAGCGAAAAAAACAAGGCGGGCCGAAAAAAAACAAGGTCCCTACATTTTAAAATGTTGACTCAATCATTGTACAAATGCTTTTGATTCAGTTGGAACATCACATATACACAGCCAGTATCACATATCACTGCATCAAAGTAGGAAACAAAACATTAAATCAAAGCCTTTTCTTGTCTCCTCTCTTCGTAGTTATCTGCCATCAACGTTCCGGCATGGCAACAGACATCTTTGCCCATTTTCGGCATGTTGACCACTGTCCGAAGGCAACAAAATTTCTTGTTTTCTTTTCCGAAATAAGGCGAAAATTAATCGCACCTGAAGTCATCCATAAAATTACTTGCTGTGGCCTCAGCGATACTTATAATTAGGACTATTTACAACCGACTTGATCGCGTCAAGTGCTGAACAAAGAATGTCATGGACATTGGAGCAATAATGAAGTTTGTCAGACTAAATCATTCGTTGTCCTATTCTATAACTCAGCTAATATTTGCGAACAAGCAATTACGTACCCACGACTCTGAGTGTCAGGCTGTCTACATGTGCTGTACTTTGCACTTTCAACTAGGCAGACGGAGGCCAAAACATTCGTAAGGACAGCACATCGTGAAATATTGGTTAAAACTCGTAGCTAGTGGCGAAAATTTTTAAACTTCTTGAATCAGAATCCGCATCTGAATATTTCAGAAGAATCCAGTCATTTCTAACTACAAAACATCTTGAAAACTTTGAGTCATATCTTGAGTTATCAGAAAAACAACGTTCAACCAAGAAAACAACTTAAGGCTGGTCTTTAAAGGTCTTTAAATGTTCGCTCTGTCATGTGGTCAATCTCCAAGCAGATGCATTCGGGGGCAGGGGGCGATCAAATTGTCCACCCGACTGACATACTTACCATTACTGAGTTACCATTGACCCCGGAGAGTGTGGCGTATTTGATACCGTCTTGTTAATTTGATACCGTCTTGCCAGTTTGATACCGTCTGGCCAATATTTGATACTGTCTTGTCAATTTGATACCGTCTGACCAATTTGATACTGTCTTGTCAATTTGATACCGTCTTGCCAGTTTGATACCGTCTTGCCAATTTCATACTGTCTTGCCAATTTCATACTGTCTTGCCAATTTCATACTGTCTTGCCAATTTGATACCGTCTGGCCAATTTGATACTGTCTTGTCAATTTGATACCGTCTTGCCAGTATGATACCGTCTTGCCAATTTGATACCGTCTTGCCAATTTGATACCGTCTTGCCAATTTGATAGTGTCTTGCCAATTTGATAGTGTCTTGCCAATTTGATACTACCTGGCCCAGTTTGATACTGTCTTGCCAATTTGATACCGTATTGCCAATTTGATACCGTATTGCCAATTTGATACCGTATTGCCAATTTGATACCGTCTTGCCAATTTGATACCGTCTTGCCAATTTGATACTGTCTGGCCAATTTGATACTGTCTGGCCAATTTGATACTGTATTGCAACCACCAAAGTATCTGCTTGGAGATTATCGTGTGGTGATGTTGCTGTGTATTTTTCAGCTCGGGTGGCGGCGGTAAAGTGTTCAGCCTGTCCGGGCAGAGGAAGACGTACCTGCCCCGTGATGAGGAGTACTACACCATCCCGTATGACGAGGAACCACGGGTGAGTATCATGCCAGTAGCCAGGATTTTGAAGGGGGGGGTTCTTCGCACTGCTTGAGGGGACCTCGAGCGCCGAAGGCGCGAGGTTCCGTAGGGGGGTCCGGGGGCATGCTCCCCGGAAAATTTTGAAAAATTTTTATTCAATGACAAAGGGAGCAGTTTTTCTACGATTCCAGTCCATTTTTTCAAGAAAAATCTTGGAGCTTTACATAAAATGTGGACCAAAAAGTGGACCTTTACATAAAATGTGGACCAAAAAGTGGACCTTCACATAAAATGTGGACCAAAAAGTGGACCTTCACATAAAAAGTGGACCAAAAAGTGGACCTTTGAGACTTGTGGGGGAGGGGCTTCCGAACCCCCGAACCCCCGAACCCCCCCTGGCTACGGGCATAAGTATGCTGATATATGGCGCCAATCGATTACTAGTAATCCGATAACGTTTTTCTCTGAAAAACGTGATATCCCGTAAAACAGAGGTTACCCATGTGTTTTCAGTGACATTGTATGTCCGTGTGTGCGTGGACAAGGGTTTGAGACAAAAGTCGTGCCTTAGCTATAGATTTAAACTGTAATGGTATTTGGCATGTCATGGAATAGGTGTTGTGATCCGAACGTTTGTAGGCCCCCTAGACGGCTTTCATTGATACTGCAGCAATTTTTTTTTATATTTCTGTTTTGGACATGCCAACATTGGTTTTGCTGCATAATACATGTATACCACATTCCACAAAACTGCCAACAAAATCTGTGCACGGCAACGACTTCAATATCGTCAAAAAACACACATTGTCGTTTCTAAAAACAAATTGAAAATTCAACGTTTTAAAGATTAAAATCTTGTCGGACTTGCGAGTGTTGTTTGCATCTTTTTTTTTTCAGATCACTGTGGACGTGACATGTACGATATGTAAAGGTTTTGAGCGGTCGGCTAAGATCCAGTGCCGTGTGTGCGGCCGGAACTGTCACACCAACTGTTTCGAGCGGCGGTACCGGGGAGACGAGCAGGCCATGGAGGCGTCCAAACGCGCGGACACCGAGGCCGGATGGACTTGTGCCGACTGTGTAAGGAGTTAAGACTTGTGTATAGTAAATATACCCCCCCTCTGTCTCCCTCTCTCTGTCTCCTTCCATCTCTGACTCTTTGTATCTTTGTCTCTGTCTGACTCACTCACTCACTCACTCACTCACTCACTCACTCACTCACTCACTCACTCACTCACTCTCACTCACTCACTCACTCACTCTCACTCACTCACTCACTCTCATTCACTCTCACTCACTCACTCACTCTCACTCACTAGCTCACTCTCACTCACTCACTCACTCACTCTCTCACTCTCACTCACTCACTCGCTCGCTCGCTCGCTCGCTCACTCGCTCACTCACTCACTCACTCACTCACTCACTCACTCAATCACTCACTCACTCACTCACGCACTCACTCACTCACTCACTCACTCACTCACTCACTCACTCCCCCAGGAATCTTTGAAAACCGCCATACAGGCGACATGTATATCCTGGATAAATAAATAAACAAACAAACAAACTCACTCACTCTCACTCACTCACTCACTCACTCACTCACTCACTCACTCACTCACTCACTCACTCACTCACTCACTCACTCTCACTCACGCACTCACCCACCCACTCACGCACTCACTCACTCACTCACTCACTCACTCACCCAGTCACTCTCGCTCGCTCGCTCACTCACTCACTCTCTTTCTCTCCTTCCCCCTCTATTCTTTCTCTCACTAGCTCTTTCCAGCCAGGGTTTCACGCTGGTGACTGAATATCAGAAAATCTCTGAAGAACGTGTACTATAATAAGTTTAGCAATCATTTATAGCTAACGAATAAAGTATTCAATGACTGATCCTTTAATTTCGTTTCCGGTTTTCAGGAAAACCTCGGCCAGCTTTTAGACGAGTACGAAACAAGTCTGCTGATGGACAAGTTCGACGAATACGACTCGGACCAGAGTAAGATTTAATTTGATTATCTTCTCTTAAAATTTCTTAGCATTGCCAAACTAGAGGTCGGAGATCTCATGTCTTCGTCAGAGGTACATCGTTCTAGAGAAAATAACATGCGTATTCTTCAATCTTTTTAATAATCAATTTGGTCTAAAGAACAAAAGAATCTCTGTACTATTTTTATGGTACAGAACACCCTGAAACGGTTTGCCGCAGATTATACAGATGCGTCGTCACCCGTGTTAGCCCCCCCTCCCCCCTACGTTATTTGAGTTTGGACTGTTACTGGAAAAAAAACGTTCAAGAAATTCTTACTGTGTTGAAAGTGTCACGACAGCGCCGCAAAATATAAAAAGAGAAGATGTTATAAAGGAAAGAACCAGAACAGGGTGACTACTGCTGTTTTGTTAATTTGTCTTTATGACAAATAGAAGACTTGTTTCTTGTGTTCTTTGTGTCCTAACATTTGTACTTCTACAGTTAGTATATTCCAAATCTAGGCATCTCGTTTTCGGCCCTTCGTGTTTTTATTGCGCGCTTGCCTTAAATTTAAGGTAATTAGATTTAAGGTCTCCAGTGGACGTCATCCATAGCAATTACTTAGTGTGGCCGTAGAAATAACCTGACATATGTCCAACCTATCCCCCCCCTGCTGAAGTTATAGTACAATCCCTCAATGTAACGTCATTTGATCCCATCCCATTATGGGGTTCCCCGCTATATCCAGCTGTCGGCTGTCTCCAAGCAGATGTAGGTGGGGGATTTCTAAACACAAAAGGTCCTATTACGGGGACATAACGACCTCCACGACTCTCATCTTTGAACTCAATCTTGGAGACCACGACAGTAATATGCCTATCAAATTTCATTAACTTCCATCCACACATACAAAAGTTATCCTGCTCACAAGAAAAATTAACAAAATGCCCCCTGTAGTCACAACGAAACCCCCCACGAAGCTCAGTAACGAACTTAACGTTGGTCCCGACAATAGTAAGCACCACACCAAGAATTATAATCAACATTTTACAAATACTTGAGTTATCTTGCTAACAGGCCACAAACACAAAAGGTGCACTAACGTGACGCACGGACCCCCCACGAAGCCAAAACTTGTACTTGACTTCGGCCTTAACAGCGGTAATCTGCCTGCCAAAAATCATGGACGTCGAATCATGCCTTCCAGAGTTATATCGCAAAATTCGCAGTTCCCCACACTCCGGCGAGACAATTTCATAGTCCTTCTGACGAAGACAATTACGTTCTGCGCTTGCCATACGCTTTTCTACAACTTTGTACTAGTATCTCCTTCGCTCTCCCAGGTACCCAGATCACCCTAGAGGAGTACATAGAGTTCCAGAAGGACCTGTGTTTGGAGTCGGAGGGGATCGAGCTGAGTAAAGAACGGGAGGAGGAGGAACGGGAACTGGTGCGACATCTTTTTATCTGGACATGAATGAAGTATTAAGGAAGGGGGAGGGTACATGTACTTCACACTGCATTTTAATACTACATTTTCCTGTTGATGTAAAACGAATTTTACCTGGCGTAGTGGCGTCGGTGGCGCAACGGTTAGAGCGTTGGACTCGGAACCAATGGTTGGACTCGGAACCAACCGACGTTGTGCCCTTGGGAAAGGCATTTTACACGACTTCCCCACCTGTACGGTGGAGTGGCGCCCACCGAGCCTCTTAGGCTAATCTGTCTAATTGTGTGCTAAAAACACACTACGGATTTGGTGCGCCAATGTGACAACATCAGCACATTTGCCACCAAAAGCCGTTAAAATTTGTATTATACTGAAAATTAATTTGACCTGGGCACCATCCTCGTTGCTTCAATTCACGCACATTTCCATACTTGGTACCAATTATTTCAATTATATACTGACACACTACCTTCATTTCGTACCTACACTGTACCAAGGACATTATCTGTGTACAATGTCCTTGACTGTACATATTTTATTTCTCTTGACAGTTTGGGAACATCGACATCAGCGGGGACGGCGCCATCAACTGGTGGGAGTTCCTCACGGCGAAGAGCATCCACTTCCTCAAGAAAAAACCAAAGGTAAGATTGAGATTATGGCGTCATGTAATAAACGAGATTCTTGGACACATAGTCAATTTCAACACCCTTACACCTTGGTCACAGCCTGCCGCACGTGCTTTATTGTCCGTACGTTTTTTGGGAGGCTACGTCTGCTACGTTTTTTCTGAAAACGTGGGGAAGGATTGGCGTCGACGCACGTCACTCGCACGTCACTCGTACGATTGCATAAGGTCGTACGGCACGTACGGGGCACGCGCGTCGCACGTACTCGCACGTACGGGTGGTGAATCCGCAGACCCCACGTAGAAACAGTTTTACATGCACTTAAAGTTCTACGGCGTGTCTGCGTGCTCCAAAATCTGTAGGATTCCGTACGGAGGTGGTACTCACCACGCACGAATGCCCTACGTTTGCCCACGTAGACAGCACGCAGAAGCACGTACGGTGGGTTGTGACCGAGGCTTTACTGACAAACGTCAATGCAAAACAACTTTTAGTTCTTCGCGGCAGTTTGTTTGTTCCTATGACATCAACTGTAAAATTGTGTTAGCCACACAAAACTACATAACAAAAAATAAACGCTCTCAGCTATATATGTCCTGTTTTGCTTTCTTTTCCTCAGGGATGGGAGTTTTGATTCACGCTTCAACTATGTCTCTCAAACGTGTTGTAAAATACCTTAATTTTTTATTGTAAAAGTAGCTACGAGAAGTTTTTCCTAACTTGAGTTCGCGGTCACTTTGTGTCCTTTCATTTGTATCTATTGTTGTTTTTCTGAATTAAAAAAAATGAGATTTGAAAAATCACGATTATTTGGTAAAGATGATAGAATCTTACACGCTCATTTATTTAGGAATAACTTTTGTATTGTCTTTTCGCCAGTCCTACGTGTTGAAGCAGCTGAAGCCGCGAGAGATCAAGCGCATCCGGGACATTTTCAAGGTCAACGACATGAGCCAACATGGCGTCCTGGACTATGACGAGGCGGTCAAAGTCATGAAGGAGTGGATGAACAGTGTCGGGTGGGTGACGTCACACGTCATGATTTTAATATATACTCATTATAATAATACAATTGAATTGAATAGGCATGTCACTGGTGGTATCTTTGATGCCATAGGCTCATGTCATCATGTGACAGGGCATGACTGACGAATCAGCACCAAGGACAGAGCAAGTGAAATATCTCACGTGTACAATGTGCTATCGCGAGGACCAATCACAATGCATGAAAATGGCGGGAATAATGGGGATAGATAGAATTCGAGCCATTTTCAACACCCTCCCTCTAGTGGATATTGGCAAACTATCTTATTAAGATGCACGAATGAAGTAAGCATATAGAGGGCAGGAAGCACCCCTATGGCAATTATTGCTATCCTGCCTCCCCCCCCCCCTTTCTGACTGATGTCTGGGGTACAACCCTGACCATGATCTTGTTTTGTTTCCATGGCAGCCTGGAGTCCCCGGATGGAGACTACTCTAAGTATCTGCTGACGTCATCGTGGTATATGTTGTTCAATGTTTAGAGACTAAATAGAGTATTTCATACTTTGCATCTAATTTGGATCTCTCACCATAATGTAAACGTTATATACCTACAAAGATGAACTTTTATTTTAGTGTTTTTCAACAAAATATATTGAGATTTCGTCGATGAAGGTTAGACATCCAGGTAAGGCCATGTTGATTTGATTATATGGATGACATCCGCTCGCGCGCATGAATTTTCAGCCGTACCATACTGTAAATCGTACAAAACAGTTACAAAATGAGCAAATATATACCGTAAGTTGCAAAAAATATTGGAAAACAATACCAATGTCGTAGAATGCTAAAATCAAACAAAAAAGACAAAAATTTAAAGAAATGAATTTGAAGACGTAGATTTCGCAATGAAAGCATTTTCTTTCTTGCCAAACTTTTATTCGCACGCTCGCATCAGTTTCGGGGTTACCAGAGGATGTCATCCATATAATTAAATCAACATGGCCAAATGAGATACAAAAAAAATTCTTGAGTATTGAGAGTTTGTTCTGTTTTCCACCAGTGTGATCCCCTGGGACACTTTCATCCGGGAACACGCAGTCACTATCATCGCCGCTCGGCCCAACAACGTCGGCAAACAACACTTCTTACCTGTCAAGAGAAAGAGCTGAGGGGACTGTGACACATGTGGGGGAGGGGGGCGATGTGAGCAACGTCACGATATATGAACTATGGAACAATGGGCAAATGTAGTAAAGCACTGCACAAACGATAAGCTAGGCATTGATATGACATATCAGACATACGAGGGAACCTGAGTGAGTGGGAAACATGTCAATTAAAAGAAGATAGTGATTGTATCTGGACGGACAACAAGGATCCTTATGAACATTTATGAACGTTGGAGATGTCAACAAACAAACAAACAAACAAACAAACAAGCAAGTTTGAGAATAGAAGGCACTGCCTTTCATCAATTGTAGATTTCTACAAAGATCTCACAGTTACATGAAGCAAAACTAGTTTGCTTCATGAATTCAGGACTTTCAGTGACTTTTCGTTGCTATACCACACTGATGCTATTGTAGGAAAGTCTTCAATCATCAATGTCTTAACTTTAGGCTCTACTGTGCCGCTCTACAAATGTAGTAAAAAGACGCTTGTAGTAGAATATCTACAACACACTGTGAGATCGCCAGGTTGAAAGACTTGCTTATACCAGTAGAATTATAACATTAAAACTGCTGATTCAAATACAGAGGACTAGTCTGTGACATAATATTGTCTGAATAAACGTACAATCCAAATGTTATCATGACAATGTTCCTCCATCTTTGCAACTTTGTAGCTGAGTTCCTCTCTATGTAAGAGCTGTTTGTTTTTGCTTGGTTTTTGATACCTACTCTCCCCCTCAAAGACTGAGGGAACGCGTTTTTTTTTCAGCGCTAGCCTGCTAGGTTGTCTTTCAACCTTTCAGAACCAGTTCAACGAAAGTGTTTGCGGTAACACTACAGTCTGCTCGACTTCTGCCTGATCAAATTATCACCATGCTCTTTACTAAAGAAGCCATTTAAAAAGGAGAGACGCTGTTTGATAATCCTGTCACTTGACCCAAATCTGACCAGGAGAAAAGTAGTTTATAGACACAGTGGCAGCTTGTTAACCTCATTCAGGGGTGTAAGAATGCGGTAATATCAGAAAATCCCTCCAACTACGATGGCTAAGCTCTTCTTTTGTGCTATTTTGGGGGATAAGTAGTTTTGCTGGTCTAGTTGGCTCAGAAGAAGATTAGTTTGTTGATCTAAAAAAATCTATGTTTTTCTTCGCTATACCAACATTCGCGTCCTACTCAAAGAGACGCCAGTCCCGACGCAAGGCTAAAATACGTATTTTGGACAGGATTATTCTTCCAATGAAATATTTACAGGTACACACGGGCCTCTTACCAACGTGACGTACCTACAATGACTGGAAGTGTTTTTCTTTCCTCACAGGCGTCACATGTTGAATGGACACAGAAAGACTACACCACGTGCGACGTAACCTTCTTAAGAAATACAAGTTAGACCCCAAACACGTGCATTCATGGCGGGTGGGGGGAGTTATCAGGTTTCTGAACTAAAGTAAACTGTTTTCCTCCCTGATACACCTGCTGTAATCCGGCTTAAAGCTGTTACAGAACGGCTTAGAAGCTGAGAAAGGAGAGTGTGTGAGTCTGAATCGAAGATGTTTTCATATGACGCAGAGCTTGATGTAAGTAATGTACAAAAGGGAATACTTTAAAACGCATAGCATTGTTGTATAGGAAGCGGACCTCATGTGTTATGGGGAGGGTCACTGGTACTTGTATGAGGCTGCCATGGTCAGTATTTTTGACACAGACGTAATGCCAATGCGCTGGATATTGTAGGGCTTACATTACATTATTGAGTACTATTGCTGGCCCAGCCGCTACAGATCCCCGAATAATGTTACGTTCTACATGTCGATTTCTTAGTCTTGTGATAGGTTCATGAATAAACACGTATTGTATGTATGTAGTTGAAGGGTATGTTGAGATGTGTTGCCTCAGATTGATGATCTGTGTATACTACATGACAAGTGTATAGCCGTATGCCGTCTGTTTTATAAACTTTAATTGGAACGGAACGACAGTTGCTATAGGTGAGGTATCAATTTATAGGTCGCTATGACTGAAGCTTTCTTCTAAACAAAGACAACACAGACACATCAGTAACTTATTGAATACGCTTCGTCACTCCTTCCCCACCGTATGGCCCAGACCTCGGCGGACCGTTCGTGCCATGTGCGCGGCTGCCCGGGGTTCGACAGCTCGGTGAAGCTGGAGTGCCGTGTGTGCGGGCGGTGCTGCCACACGTCCTGCCTCACCAGGAAGAACAAGGGGGACCAGCACGCCATGGCCGCCATGGAGAACGCGGGGACAGACAAGGGCTGGAGCTGCTTCAACTGCGTGAGTTTTAGGAGGTTTAAGATCGCTGATTTGACGCTCACAAATAGTTCCAGCGCACGCACGGTAACATATGGACTACTTTGCGACACAACTTCGTGTAACATATTTGAGAATATATACCTTACACAGCGTATTATACAGCTACTCAAGTGGTCAATGTCAGCGTGTGTGTGTGTGCATGTTGTGATGCCAGAAAGTTCTGAGGCTCTGATTGATGGAAATAGTCAAAACATGGAAAAAGGTCAAACCTCAAAACCTTCAAAAATCAGTTATTCCTTTCAATACGAAGACGTGTACATATGTTGTTGCGTACAAGTAATTTACTGAGTAGATTTTTGTATGGAATTTTATAATACAGCTCATACTGGGACAAGCAAGAGATCGTAACCCGAGCTCATGTTTTCATAAAGATACAGTTGTGCCTCCCCTTTCACCTCGCTTGGCTTCAAAACAACAAAGGCAACTGCCTTCATCCACTCGAAAGTGTATCCGATCCTGATTACGTACTGGGCTTAATGTTACGGGCACGCCCCTAGAAAAACCGTGTAGACTTCCCTTTTATTTATACAGGAAACAACACCGTAAGTTTTTCTGTCATCGTAGCTATTAAATGGGTGATTTAACACATGAAGAAAGCATATATAGGCTCCTTGTCCCATTCTTTTTATGTTTATCTATCTGCAAACCACAGGAAAATATTGGCTCCCTGTTGGAGGAAGAGGACACCCAGCTCATGATGGACAACTTCGACCAGCACGATCCCGACCAGAGTAAGGGTGTCAACATTTAGTGGTGGGCTAGGGGGCGCTCGTGCATGGTCTGCATAACATAGACACACACGTGCATTGTAGTCTCCACCAGACTTCTTTTGCGGGGTGAATAAATCGTAGAAATCGGCCTAAAAAGTGTATTAATTGGCCAGAGAAGGTAGCCGGCAAGAGAAGCTCCATTTAAAATTGCGGGGAAATGGAGCTTCTCTTGCCGGCTACCTTCTTTTTAGGCCGATTTCTACGATTTATTCACCCCGCTAAAGAAGTCTGGTGGAGACTACGTGCATTCCTCGAAGCCACCTTTATAATAAAAGTGTCCGTAGGTCACGTTATAATTGCTACATATACAAAGCTATGAAATTGGAAGCTCAAAAGAGAAAAATCATAAGGAAGTGAGCGAATGAGCGTAATTGTTCCCAATGTTTACGCCTCAGACACACAGGTGACTGTGGATGAGTTCGTGACCTTCCAACAGAACTTGTGCCGTCAGATGAAGGGGAGAGAACTGAGCGAGGCAGAGGAACAACAGGCGAGAGACGCGGTAGGAAAATAGTTCCTTTTTTTATAAGTGTGCAGCTGATATAACGCCGCTTTCAGCTAGCTGTATCCAATAAATTAATACAATATTCTGTTTCAGAAAAGCACAATCCCACGGGTGCATTATGATCACTACATTATCACTACAAAACGACGAACAAAAGTTAAACAACGAATAAATCAAGGCCATCAGGTACCGTTAGGGGAGGACAATTAACAATACTAAACGTTTGTACATGATAGAGGTCCCATGTGAGTAACATGTAGGAAACACTGTACCAAAACGCCGACTAAGCGAAATTCTATCAACAAAAGCCTTGTATACATGTAGTTGTATTGGAATGTCTAACACGTTTGGCTACAATGTCCTGGCATTTTCTGTCGCAGTTCGACAACATCGACATCAACAGAGACGGGTCTATCGGCTGGTGGGAGTTTGTGACGGCAGAGAGCGTACGTTTCCTGCAGAAGAAGCCCAAAGTAAGTTAATAAAGCCCATTTCTACATCTCCATCTTTTAAAAACCCTGCCTCTTTAATATTGCTTTGATAAAACATTCTACGATCGTATTCATGATCATGATCGTTGAGACACCATCTGGAACTTGCGGTCTGTTACACTGTGCAATGAGACACCCATGCGGAACATGATTGAACTGCAAGCATTTTTAAAAGACAGGTTTATTGTTGCAACGTTCAGGAGTACCTCCTCAAAAAGCTGACCCCGCGAGAGATCCAGCGCGTCCGGGACATCTACAAGGAACAAGACTTTAACGGCCAGGGGATGATCCTGAAAGATAACTACCAAGAAGTCATCAAGCAGTGGATGGATGGTCTTGGGTAGGTTTGTTACATGACGTGAAGGGGGCGCTATGGGGCCTTGTGTATCTATACTACCAGGGTTTAAAATAAGCGGTTTTGCAGTTAATTTTACCTCTAGAATACAATGGCGGCTGAAAGGTGCTCCCAAAACTGAAGGAGTGCTTGACAAAATGGAAGAACAAAAGTTGAACAATGAGTCCACCTACTCTGATCAACATATCAGCACCAAGGACAGGACCATAGCCGTCAGTGTATTCGTTTTGTACCTCTTGTTCAAGAAGGGTTATTCCATCAAAACACTAGTAAAGGGGTAGATACAAAAACGCTCTGTACCCACCATCGAGACATTGCTTCACCCTATATGCACAAACACACTCCACAATTACTACTCAATCAGTCTCAGGCCATCCTATCAAGTATCTTGAACAGTGCTTTGTTTATGTCAAATTTATTATCCTCCCCTCCAAACAAGTATCAAATGAACCATCCCTAATCTCACCTTTCTGTTGCAGACTGGAACCCAAGGATGGAGACTACACCAAGTACCTACTGGTGGAGCCTGGGTAGGTATACAGATGTGTTTGTGGCCTAACAGCCTTTAACAAGGTTGATATTGGAAAGAAACCTAAACCTAAAATTGATCAAGTATCAAATTTACGTTTCAATTTCAGTGACTCCGATAATATATACCCGGTACGATGGTGTCACTAGTCTCCAAGCAGATCCTAGGGTCTCAAAAATAGAGTATCAAATTGGCCAGGCAGTACCAAATTAGCCAGATAGGGACCCAAGGCGGGGGTAGCGACAAAATAATACGGGCCATATATAAAAAGCTAAGGATCATTCCCCCACAACCTCTGCTTGGAGAGTGGGTGTCACTGCAACTTACCCCTCAAATTTATTATTGTACTTGCTGTAACCTGAATACATTTAACCATTATTTGAATATAACAGTGTTACTGACACAGTTATGTACATGTATTTTACAGGATAGTTCAGTGGGACACGTTCCTCCGAGAACACGCCATCTCCATCCTATCTGCACGTCCCAACATCTCCGGCAAAAAACACTTCCTGCCGACTGCACACAGAAGCTGAAATCTCGGACAGACACTGATGTGAATTAAACGTCACCATTATGTTCGCACACAAGAAATGGCATTGGGATAACGGCAAAACAACCTCTACGACAAACCAAAGCACTGTGATGGTCTCATTATCAAATAGAAAAGATTGAAATCGCTAGCGCTTGCCCGTTATGATTCTGATTCAACTGATTTGCTTTTCAAATGACGCTGTAGTTGTCTCCAGTACGTAACCGTCATGCGGACATGGCTCAGAAGAAAATGTTCCATTTCCCAACTCTGTGTAAATAAAGCAACTTGTTTTCTCTTCTCAGACTGTTACAATATGCCATGTATTGTGTTTAGTATGGTCCATCTTGAAAAACAAGTTCAATTGACAGAATTGAATGGGGCTCCCCATCTTATTAAACTTCAAGGTTCAGTGAATAAATAAAATAGAGCCCTTCAAGGCACCTGGTACGGTATGCGTTGTAACAAGTAACAAAAGGTCTAGTAAACAGACGAATCATAGTCATCACGGGGTATAAAAACAAATTAAATTTCAATATCTAACAAATTCATTCCGGCCTAGGCCCAGTATGCGTAATGTATGTGGAATGCCCGTCTATTGTGAATAAAGGTGTGTGATAGTTGATACATGGTTGACAAGAAGATAACAATCACCACATTGACAAAAAATGCTTTTCGAAATGTTTAAACAACAGAGAACAATAAGCTTGACTGTTGTAGTAAGACGCAGGTGCAACTCGACCTAGACCTTTGATGCATACGGCACATGTTCCATGTAATACATGGAACATGTGCCCAAAATATTTTGGTACAAACTGACGGAGGTTTTCGTCTAAGTCAACATTGCAAATACCAAGCTGGTGCCATCTCTTTGGTGAGGTATATTGCTTCGTTTGTTTTCTTACTTTCCCATGGCCAGCAGGATAAGATAACACTTTGAGAACGGAGTGGTAGGGAACAACATCTACATTCAGCCTTGACGGTACAAGACATGTTTTGCAGACATGCATAAATCTGGACAAAAATGTCCCTCGGATTGTTTTTAAACACCAGACAACAGTATAGTACTGTTGTATCACACACAGGTGCAACTTGACCTAGACCTTTGATGGCAGTTATGTATATATTTCGGTCAAAGAACAGGCGAAGAGTTTCGTTTAAGTCAATATTGCAAAATACCAAGCTGACATTATCTCTTTGATGAGACATTCCTTCCTTTGTTGAGCACTACGAAGGTTGACAACAACATCGTTTGATAGACATGTGCGCAATTATGCGTTACTTTTTCTTACAAAGAACCAGCGGAAAGTTTTCTTCAAAAGTCAACATTGCAAATACCAAGCTGGTACCATCTGTTTGGTTAGGTACATGTATATGGTTTTGTTTGTTCTTTTTACTTTTCCGTGGCCACGCAGCAGGAAATGTAAGTAACACCTTGAGCACGGAGTGGTAGAGTACAATATCTACATTCAGCCTTGAAGGTACAAAACATGTTTTGCAGACATGCATAAATCCTCGTACTTTGAAGTAAGGCAGGTGCTGATTGGATGAGTAAAGTAATGTTCTTGCGTGTCAGACGCATCGATTGGTTGAGCAAAACTGTCGGTGGTAGAGGAATTCGCGTTCTGACAACACCTTTTCATTCTCACGCGAACACCAACACGAATTGGACGTCGCAGAGTTCTGGGCCTGCTAGAACAAGTAAGTTTGTTTTCTGTCTGTTCACTGTTGTCTCCTCTAAAGTTCGAATCAGTTCAGTTCTTTTTTCCAAAAGTAGCTCTTGACACTAAATAACATATCTTAGAAGTGTAACCTATATATTATAGATAAGTATCTGCATGCTTTAATGATGTAACGTTACATGTATTAAGCCTCTGTGACATGTTGGTTGAAGTTCAGAAACAGTCTGATCAGATTTTGTCACACCTACTTTTCTATACGAATCGACTTTGAGTTAAATTTGACCCCTGACCACGCCCGAACACTGCTGACTTTAATACTCCTGGAAATTAACAAAAAAACAGCCAGGACTATCCGCTCGCGGAAAGTATAATTGCACACACGAAACATGGCATAACAAACTTAATTGTTCCAGAAGCTGATGTAACGAACGTTTTCTTTAAAGCAAAATGCATGATTGGCAGATGATTTGCATACATATGTGTTAAACTTTGCAGTCTAGAACAAAAGTCTGGAAGAAAGGGCAGCACACTCATTCTCCAGTCACTACGTGCAACCAACTGAACAGGTAAGTTGTGATCGTCTGGAATAAGTCCCCAACTAAGTTCACGGCTTTTGCATTCTCTACTGAACCACCGTTATTCCTTTGCATTATAAGTTTTAGAATTGGTGACCCTCCAAAGAATAAGTTTCCCTTATTACCTTCGCCAAGAAGGTTATGTTTTCAGAGGCATTCGTGTGTGTGTGTGTGTGTGTGTGTGTGTGTGTGTGTGTGTTTGTGTGTGTGTGTCTGTAAACAAGATAACTTGAGAAGGCTTCTATGGATTGTAATGATATTTGGTAGGTGAGTAGGTATTGATGAGACCTCAAAATGACGAGATTTTGGGCCCCCTGGCAGCTTGTTACGGTACTGCAGCTGAACGTCTGGTTTTGATATTTCATTACCTAGACATGCTAGGGTCACGAAACTTGGGTGGCATATAGCTCTTGTGCTGGAGAAGAAATGACGTGACCCCCTAGTGGCTTGCTTTAGAACTGCAGGAGCTTTTTGTTCAATATTCAAAAGAGGATAACTGAAGAACCCGTTGACGGATCGTCATGATTTTTTGGTCTGTAAGTAGCTTACGTGATGCTTGACATACTTATGTGACAATTATACAAATATTGATATAATTTGCATGATTTATGAGGAAATTCTATAAATCAGCTGCATTCCATGATAGGAGTATTGAAGCTTGTTACATTGAGAACGAGAGAAACATAGGCAGATATTGATTATGTATATGAAGAGTTGATTTGTTATAATGTTATAATTTCGTAATGGTAACAGCCTAGAAAGTCATTTTAAAGTGGTATTTGAAAGTTAAGTGAAGGTGAAAATCATTAAACATAACGTATTCAAATCAGGACCTCATTTGCATAATTTAGGGGGAAATGCTAGAATGGCATTCTTTATCGCAAGACTCTTTTGGAGAATATCAAATTCATGCAAATGAGGATCCTACTCTCCACGTCGCCTTACCTAGCTCATAATGGGATAAGGGTTCCATCGGACCAATGGGAAGAGTCCTGGACATCACGTGAAGCACTTTTGCAGAGACAGTGACGAAAACCATAGATTGTTGTACGTGGCAGTCAGTCTATTAAACCGCTGCGTGTAGGATAGGTATGTCATTTCCCTGCCATGTTAACGTTGTGTTGGACCAAATGTTTTAACTTTAAACACTCTTGCCATGTTATTAGCTTGGAACAGACTAGTGTTATATCGACTCCCTCTTTGGAAGGATTTTGCCCGTAGCTGTTGCAAAAAAAGAAGATCGGATAAGGATTTCTGTTGCACAGATGAGTTGAGAAATAAGTACAGAGACACACACATAAACACTATAATTACACTTTTCTGAAAGCACGTTAATAAAATATCATGTATAGGTGCTAGTGGGGTGTACATCCTGTTTATGTTTTTCCAAAAATAAAATGGGGCCCCGCAGCTTACCTGTCTTTAAGATACCACGTTGTCATGTAATTAAGAACGAGAGGAACATCTTATAATGATATAGATTATGTAAATGAATACCTAATTTGTATAACTAATGGTAAATTGCTATATTTCATAGTATATGCTGATAATTTCATACTTGTCGCATTTGGAAGTTAAGTGTATATTAAAAGGTGAACATCAATAAACATTCTCTCAAATCATGACCTCATTGTGGAAGTACTAGAATAGCCTTTTTTCATTGGGTGGAGAATATGATCAACTGATATAATCCATGCAAATGAGGCTCTTATTTGCAAAACAAATGAGTAAACATGTACAATTCCTCCAGTGGAAGGGTTAACATCATTTGGCGAAGGTATGAGATCGTGGAACTCTTGTTTTCTGTGGCACTGAGTTTGTCACCGAAGAAAGCCCTGATGTTCGTGTAGCAATGACACTTGTGTTAAACGCAGTGAAACGGATCATCCCGCGACGTAGCTCAGTGATTGATAGCACTTCACATTTCTCTGGACATCTTGATGGCTCTTCCTTGAATGGACAGCCCTACAGTAATTTAATTATAGGTTTCGAATGCTAACTTTCACGCGTAAATTTGAATTACTATGCGTGTCTTTGTGGTTCGTTACGAGACAAGCTACACGTAAAGCCCCTGTCATACTTCCAGGGTCTCCCGTGGTTTTGTTCTAGATCAATCTCCGTCCAAGATTGGCGCTTGATCGGGAGTAGCCTTAAACGTACCCTATTCTCCTCTGCAAATGCAGGGCTTTACTGACCTTGGTCTTTTAAATTTTATAGTCAGCTGGCGCAGACGATCGCGACTTATAAGATTAACAGGCAACTTCGACGGCCAACCACCTTGTTCGCAAGTAGCTGAATGACCGTAGTCTTGAGAAAGTCCAGAGGCGTACAGATCATAGCATTTATCTGTTAATTGCTGTACTTAATTGCACTACATTTTGCTTTGTTTCTCACAATAATTTCTTATTTCGAGGCAAATTTTATTAAGGATTGGAGCATTATTAGATATATCGGTATAGGTGTGGATATTTCACTTTTGGGAAAACAGGCATAACAGTGCGCATTCTGAGTCCCTGTATAAAGTTATGTTCATGTGACATCGCCACGTTCTTGTTTGATAAAACAGGGACAAAAGCACAGCCATCCTGTCCTTGGTCAGAATTTATTCCAGCTCGTTTGGTGCCCGGGTGTCCGATGATGGCGCTATTCATAATAGACTAGAACGCCATTGTTAAAAAGGCATTCCTAACTTACATACCGACTTGATACAAGTGATGTACTCGAAACAAGATGTGTATTATTCATAGCGTTTGAGACATTTAACCACCAACGATCTGATTTGTGTAAATGTCGACACGTTTAAAACCTGAACTTTTTTTGTCAATATATCATTGTTCGATGTCTAGTACACGCGCGTTAGTAGAGGTCATACATTGACCGGTGTTGTTGGACCGGTGTTGACACTTGTTTAAAACACCATATCATATAACCAAGGTGCATGCATATATTATGTTAATGCAGAGGTCATTTGCGTAATTAAAGAAGAAATTTACATTTACATATCAAGCCCATATTTCATGGAGGTATGAGATCTCGGAACTCTTGTTTTAGGATAATTAAGGTTTTTACCTCCGAGGGGGAAGGGATCATTTCACCCGAATGTTCTGTTTTTGGTCCCGTTTTTTTGTTTGTTTGTTCGTCGCAGATATAACTCACGATCCTCATGATAGATTTTTTTCGACTTGTTTTTAGATATTGAGGTCCTGATGAAACATGGTGATTTGGACATTTTAGCAATATTTTTAGATGCTTTAAAATAAAAGGTCGACACACTGTACTTAGACGTTTTGTGGCATCGACCGTACGGAACCAGTCGCATGCCGGATGACTGCTATTATTTTTTTTAATTTATTTTCACTATAATCAAACATTCACATAGACATAGAGCCTCTCTAATTGACCATAAGCATTAAATGGCTACTACATAAAGTAAAGTACATATGCATTAAATGACTAATACATAAAGCAATATCTATAATTAAGCCTTACATAAGGTACCCCAATTACCCCGATGCCTCTCCAGCTTCCCTCTCCGAGACGCAATCAGGTATTCTGTCTTTTGATAGAAAATTGCTAGTTGTTTCGAAATTGAAAATTTTAGATGCCCTGGACTGAAAGATAAAAAGCTTACCTAATAAAATGATCAAATTTGTTAACCGTTTTGCTCATCTGGACAGGTCAAAAATAACATTTAAGGAAGTTAATTTTAAATTTGAACCAGTTTCCTGTAATAACCATTCCTGCACTTTCCTTCAGAAGGGGACAACATACTAGTAAATACATACATAAAACACATGTATAATAACTTTCTTCATCACTGCCACAAAATGAACATAAATTTGATTCAATCAGCTTCCAAATTTTAATCATTTTATTACAGGGTAGGTATTTATATAACGATCTATATTGAAAATATCTTAAATTAGGGTCGATAGTAGACTTTTTACATAGTATTACTGTTTTCCAAGGTATTCTATGTGTGTCGAAGTAATAAAACCACGATAGTCTAATTTTGTGCGCTACATCAGCTTGGTTCAGAGACATGAGAAATAAATTATAGATAGCTTTGCTAATCTTATCTTTTCTTAACCAATCATAATCCTTTATCGATGGTACACACACTAAATTTCTTGATAGCTCTCTATTTAACAATTTTTTTCCGCTTCAATGGGATTGAAGTAGTTATCTGTTGGTATCGCAGTTGATTACAAATATCAGGGTACACTTAACAAAAATCGTGGAATGGCATCAGGTGTCCATCTTCTGATAACAAATCATTCATAAAAATTATTTTCTTATTCAAAAGTGCATTACAAATAATAGGCTTGGCATCAAGGATGATATTTGAGTTACTCCAAAGAATCTGTTGTCGCACAGTATCTGGCGTTTCGGGTTCTGTATATTGAAAAAAAAAGCCAAGCAGCTAATGCCTCCTAAATGAAATCTTTTAAATCAAGAGAGGACACTGAAGTCAGTTGGAAGAAGGGTAGTAATCGGTGCACACCCCAGTTCTTGTCCGTGATAGTCCGTTGTAAAAAAGTGACGAAAGGGTTTTGAGGGTCCAAGTTTGAGGTGACATTTCTCATAAACTGCCACGAAGTATCATTAAACATTAACATTGCTGAAGAGTGTAAGAAATGGTGATTTTGGGGTGAAAATTTCTTTTGGCTCCGAACCTTACTTCCGGGTATCCTTGCGCGCCAAGTGTAATCCGCCCGTTTGAGCTAGATTTCGCTCTGCGGCTTCGTAGGGGTGGATTTGCAGCCCCTCGCGCCGTGGACTGTTTAGAAAATTTCAGTACTAGAATTTTCTTTATAATTTACTCGGGTATAGTCAAGGCTTGGGTCTTTCTGCCAGCATCAGTCATTTCTGCCGGAAATTTTTTTTTCTATGAGATTATCCTTCGCGAAAATTCGCAATTTTGGGCATTAATTTTGGAGTGAAAATTATGTTTTCCCGTTGGTTTTACCAAACTTAAAAAGGTTGAAGAAACCAAACTCCGTTGCTCTTGTAGCTGAAGAGATATCCTTTCGTCCCATATACAGTTATTCTCCTTCCGAATTATTCCACGCCAGAGACGGTCGCTAGATTTGAGGGTGTGCAGCTTCGAATAGAGATGCCAAATAAACTGGGGTGTGCCCCCTTAAGCGTGGGTTATAATCTATCCACTTAGATGAGAACCATTCAGGATTAAACTATAATTTCGGAGTCCACGATAAAACACCTTAATCCCTTTTTTGTGTGCCTGTGTGTGTCTGCACCAATGAAATTTTGAACTTATTCTAATTTGCAGAATGATATCGTTTTCATTTTACTCTCTCTCTCTATCCCTCTCCCCCCCCC